TATTGCCAGCTTGAGTGCAGGTGGCGCAATTCTCGCCACAGACTGTGCATGTAGCGGTACCACTACCACTATTTGCGCTATTGTAGTATCCGTCGAGGCATGTCTTGCACTGAGGATTTGTACCAGAATTAGCTTTAGAGCATGTGCTACAACCAAGAACACCTGTATTGCCAGGGGTTGAATCTGCAGTGTTATTGCAGAGAATGCACTTTTTGTTCGGTTCAGTTAGAAAGTTCGGACCATCGTTCCCGTTTTGGGTACAAGCCCCCTCAGCAATGCAGGTGGTCGTCCCGTCGGCCTCTTCCTTGACTATCTTACCAGTACAGGTCAGGCACTTCGGCTTCTGCAGCGTCGTATCATACTCACATGTGTCGCATCCATCTATCCCCACTTCTTGAGCGTTACAAGCTGTGCACTTGCCGGTGCTTGGGTCGGGGTACTTATTTCCAGTGCATTGACCAGCCTCTACGCAAGTGTTAGTATCAGTCTTCAGGAACGTATTTCCCTTACAAGAGGTACAGTGGGTCGCCTCAGTCTCACAGGTGGCACAGTTCCCTTGGCACTTCTCACATGCACTGTCCTTCGTAACGTACCCAGCCTTGCACTCAGTACACGTGGCAGGTCCTGGACTACTAGCTGGTGCCGTACATGTGGCGCAGTTAGCCACCCCCGTATATCCATCTGCTCCCTTGGTATCCCAGCACAGGATGCACTCACTACCAGACTTCGGTGCTGTAGCTGGGTTCTTGAACAGGCCGTTAGCTGTATTACAAGCAGTGCATACTCCGTTACTGGCTGTTGTGCATATCACACTCCACTATCATACTATCACCCACTATCACCCATTATCATCACTCATAGCATTCACTACCTAAGTACCTACGCCTTCCCTCTACACACAAACCACCAACACAAGAAGCCCACGAGGCCCCCCACGACGACGACCACGGCGACGGAGATCCCCGCGATGGCCCCCGTGGAGAGCCCGCTCCTGTTGGCGCCAGAGGACACACAGGAGGCCCCACTGCTGTCTAGGCTGAAGCCACTGTTGCACTCCTCACACACACCGTCCATCACACAGCTCTTGCAGTTGGTGTCAGAGCACAGCACACACCCAGTACCATCCTTGTTGGGCTTCCTATCACTGTCACAGGAGGTACACACAGCAGCGGTCATGCCAGCTGTTGTTAGAGCTGTCGGGGCTGTACACTGAGAGCAGCCCTCGACCCCCACGTATGCCTTAGTATCTACTAGTGTGCCTAGGGGGTTACCACATGCTAGTACAGACTGATTCTGATTGGATGCCCCTGGGACTATGAAGTACTTATTGTTCTCACTAACAGCTGTACAGACACCGTTGTTAGCTGTCTTGCACATATGACTACCTGGTACTGTATTAACCTTATAACAACCACCCATATAGAGGAAGTAGTTAGCAGCAGTACATGATGTACAGACACCATTGGCACATCCATTATTATTAGCCTTGTCACTAGCACAGAGACCATCTATAGGGAACTTACCACTCTCCCCACAGAATGAACAATAATGCTTTGTGTTGCCATTCTCGTCAATTACTATTGCATCACAGGCCCCAGAAGTACCACCACAAGCCGTCTCGTCCTCACAAGTCTTCACACATGTATAGTTGTCTGAAGTTCCCTCTTTTTTGTAGTTAGGCTTACAGTCAGTGCACTTGAAAGCACCGTTGCTAGAGCATGCACTGCACCCTTCGTGGCCCCCATTGTTTTTGTCACTACATGAGATGCACTCACCAGAGGAGCTATCCTTCAAGAAGAACCCAGGCTTACAGGTCGTGCATTGGTCTTTTGTATCTTTAACACAGGTGGCACAGTTAGCACCTGGACAAGCGGTGCATGTAACCGTACCACTACCACTATCGTAGTATCCGTCGAGGCACTTTGTACATGTAGTTTTAGAGGAGCAAGTACTACAACCTAGAACCCCACCATTTGTAGTATCACCACATGGGACACAAAGCTTTTGGTTAGTACCTTCAACAAAGTGCGTATTGCCATTTGTACATCCACCATCATCGACACAAGTGGTCGTCCCGTCTGCCGCTGTCTTCACCATCTTGTTACTACTAGTACTGCAGGTCTTACACTGTGGTTGACTAATAGTTGCATTGTACTCACAGGTGGCACAGTCAGTTATTCCACATGGCTTGCATTGGCCTGTTGTCGGGTCTGCATAGGTGCCTTGATCACATTGACCAGCATCTACACATTGATTATTCTTCAGGTATTTCCCGTCCTCACATGTTGTGCATTGATTTGCACCGGTGCAGTCTATGCATCCATCAACGCACTTCTTACATGCGCCACCATCGTTGTAGTACCCATCTTGACACTCTGTGCACGTGGCTGCCCCCTTATTATTAGTTGGTGCTGTACATGTAGCGCAGCCCTCGACTCCCATATATCCATCTGCTCCCGTGGCATCATGACAGAGTATGCACTCCCTTCCTTTCTCTGGTGCTGTAGCAGGGTTCTTGAACAGGCCGTTCTTTGTATTACACTCAGTGCATACTCCGTTACTGGCTGCTGTGCATATGTCACTGCCGGGCTGACTCTCTGTCTTGTAGCATCCGCCCATGAAGAGGAGGTACCCGTCGCCGCACTTCCCGCAGGTGGCTGCCGTCTTGTCGAGGGTACCCCGTCTTCCTCGGTGCACCCGGCTGCCGCGGCCTGGGGGAAGCCGGGGGGCCAGCAGAAGCCGTCGACCGGGACGCCCCGGCCCTGCACTGGGTGCAGATCTCTGTGTTACCGACCGTCTCGCACTTATCGGCCTGGCAGGTTACTGCAAGCGCGCTCACCACGAACAGGGGTATCAGTAGAGAGGCTGTGGTGTGGACCGGATTGCGCGCAGCGGGTGGGGGTGCCCCGGCGGCCTCCTCTCTGAGACTCCCACTCCGAGGGCTGCCCCAGGGGGGAGCCCGCTGGCCTGGTCGCACACGAGGCGCCTTGTCGTGTGCCCGGAGGGACAGTGCTGCACGGGCGACGAGTGGCAGGCGGGATCGGCTCGTCGGGACAGAGTAATGGCTCTACTCGATAGCCCTTAGACTCCCTGCTTCACTGGCAACCATTCCTGAGTATGTAGCGAAGACCCGTGCGAATAGCCCGCCTTCCTCCGCCACTGGATTGTTGCTGAGATACAGGCCTATAGAGGGGAAGGTTGCAATCTGATCCCCGAGAGTAAATGCATCAAAGATTGACCCCAGAAACAAAACAAGGAAGTCGACGAAGAGCTGGCCTGCGCCGGTAGTGTGCCACCGCCTCGCAGCAGAGCTGTCAGACATAAGGCTCTGGCCCGGCTCTGGGTAGGGGGGAGCCCATGCTGCAGGGCCGCTGAAGTTTTGACGAATACGCTCTACATATGCCTCGATGGGGGACGCAGCGGACCGACCGAACAGCCGCCCGATTACACGAGGCCGCCCCCTTGCCCGGGCCAGCTTCAATCGCGCAGAAAAGTAGGGCCCCGTCTCTTCGATCCCGCCCAGCAAAAGGCCTGCCTCTCCGCTCTCACTCATCAGCCCAGTCGGGAAGGACACAGAAAAGGCGTGCTCGCACGCAGAAACGAAAGACCTCGCGGCGTGGAGCAGCGCAGTCAAGGGTCCGCTGTCGCCCAGGTGCATACGGCGCCTAACCTGTTCCGACACCGAAAGGGCGAGTGAAGACAGGGACTCGCAGACAACGGCTGCTTCGCGGCAGAGAGCCGTGTAGAAGAGCTGGTCGCTCCAGTGCGCCGAAATGGGGGCAGCATCCTCCACACGGAGGCCGGACAGGAGGCTAGCCAGCTGGTCGGAGGCCTCTGGCTTCGTAAGATGCGCTTGAGCGCGCGTCTCGTGGCAGGCGCGGAGGCGCGAAGCAAGGATCCTGTCCAGCGCCCCTCGGATTCCTGCTGAAAAGTGCTCACAGATGGACGACGCTATGCACTGCCGCTGCCTCTCTAGAGAGACGCCACGGCCAGCCGGAGGCGGGGATATGCTTAGGGCGGAGTGTGCGCGAAGAAGGCACCGGAGGCAGGCCGGGTCGCTGATCTGTGCCATGCAGGCACTCGAACACTCAATGGCGTCCAGCAAGCGGTCTGTTTCCTGCAGCCTTGCGAGCCGCGCTAGAAGCTGGTGGAGCCTTGCGCAGTGCGTCTCCGGGCCCACTCGGCTTCTCCCCGACATCGCGTCAGCCTGGCCCAGAAGAAGGCCCAGCCTAGAACGCAGGTCGCAGGCTCTGCGTCCCTCTCGGAGACGACTCGCCCCACCGGGGTCATGCCCGCCGGTTGACGCTGGAACAGGCGGCCGCACAAGCATCTGCAGCGCAGAGGACACAGACGGGAAGGAGGGAGCCTCCGCCGGCGACGACGCCCTGGGCGCCATAAACTTAAGATTTGGTCCACGGCCGGTGCATTACGCATGTAAACACCTTCCACGTCGAGTGAAGAATAGCCAGACAGGTGAGGGGCTTCGCTACTATAACGTGGCAAGTAGATACGCATGCGGACCGGTGGACCAGGAGGCGAGGGCTCTTCGGAGACCGCGGTGAGTGGGCGATGGGCCGGGCTCTCTGCCGAGGAGGGCGACCATGGCAAGGCTGCTGGCCCTTGCTGCCTGTCGTGCTCTCGCCAGAGGGGTGTCTCCCGACTTGCTCCGCCTCCGGGGCTGGCAGCTGGATGGACGGGGCCCGGAAAGAAGCATGCGCGTGCCCGATAGGCGACCTAGTGGTGCAGTCCAGGGCCAGTGGCTCCTCGTCGTCGGAGGCGCTAAGATGCTGCCCAGCGTGCCCGGTAGGCCAGTGCATTGTGCGACAGCCAAACGGGCTCTGTAGCCTGCCACTGCGTGGACGGGCCTGGGAGACACGACGCTACGCTGAAGCTCCAGTCCATCAGGGAAGGAGACGAAATCTCAAAATGCAATCGTATGCAATTTGGCAAGAATAATTCCCGGACAGGCGGACAACCGGAGAGGCTGCCGAGGAGGGCTCATGCTTGCGTCTTCGTTGCGCTCCCTGATGGCGAACTACCACGCCACCGGCGGCGTCGTGCAGGACGCGGAGCTGCTGGCGCTGAGTGACGGCCTGCTCGAGGATGCACGGCGCGGCCCTGCCTCGTGTGCCTTCGCAGCGAGCCTTGCAACGCGCACAGCAGGGGAGGGGCCCGAGAGGCTGGAGCGGATCGTCCTGCTGTCAGACCTACAGCTCGGGGTGGAGCAGCGAGTGCGTCCTCAACTGGCCTACAACGAGGCTGCTGCTGTGCCTTGTGTGCGCGCATTTACTCGACGCCACCGCATTCGGAGCAGCCCTTGCGGAGCTCTGTGTCACCGGGGGCGTAGACACTGTGCGGGACGTCTTGACCGCTCCCCTGGGCACTGACGCAGCTCCGTTTCTGAGCGTTTATGCGTGTGGTACAGCGCTGCTGTGCATGCTGCTGGGCTTTGGCAAGGGCTGCGGAGAGCCTTTCGGCGCTTGCCTTCCGCTGCTGGAGAATCTGAGGGCTGACGCATGCGCGTTCGCAGCCCATCGAGCCGCTTCGTCGGTCAATCCGTGGCTGCCCCCGCTGGCCCGGCGGCCTTCCCCAGGCTTCTTACAGCGAGCGACACTTTCCAGGTGCTTCTCACATGCAGGCGGGCGCGCAAGTTGACCGGCGCCGACTCTCTGCTGTGCAGGCCGTAACCGACAGGATTAACGGTGTGGCTGCGGCGGAACTACGTGGCGCAACGACATTGGTGAGGCTTTTTTCTGCATGTATCGCTCCAGATAGCCTGGCTGCTCTGGTTGCAAACAGAGGCTCAGTCGCCACAATGGCACTCGCTGCAAAGCAGAATGCTGCCAACGACATCACGGCGCCCGGCGTGGCCTTCTGCTCTGCCGCAGCCTAGCACACTATCGATCATGATAGCAGAGGTAGACTATATAATAACTGCTTTAGTAGGCCACTAACTCCATTGAATACTTGGAAAGGAAAAATAGGAACATTTTGATTGAGGTACTTAAAAGTCAGCAGAGAAAGGTCTAGCTCAGTCTTATACCTCAGTAGCAGCATTAGATACTTCATGGATTGAGCAAGCAGTGTTGGCAATTTTAACATAAGCTAAGATCTAAAAATGAGTAAAGCCACTAGTTGCAAAGATGCTATTAAGGCATGGGCTGCTAAGACTGGTCAAAAGCCAGAGGAGGCCGAGGTTATCAAGCTCTTCTACCAGTTCCCCCCTATTGAGCGAATGGACGCGTCCCTCTCAACCCTTAAGGGCTGTGTTCATCTTTCCTTAAGCTCTAACAACATAGACCGTATTGCCGGGCTCAATAGCCTTCCGAATCTTAAAATACTCTCGTTGGGACGCAACCTCATCAAGAGGATAGAGGGCTTGGATGGCGTGAAGGACACCCTGGAGCAGCTCTGGATTTCTTATAATATGATAGAAAAGCTAGCTCCCCTTATATCTCTTAAGAGGCTCCGCTGCTTGTTTATCGGAAACAACCTCATAGCTTCGTTTGGTGAAGTTGAGCGGCTGGCCGAGTTGCCCGATCTTCAGGAATTGGTTCTTATCGGCAATCCACTTCACCAGCAGCACGCATCTACTGGAAACTGGCGCAGAGAAGTTGTTCGCAGGCTTCCGGGTCTTAAGAAGCTAGACGGCCTTCCTGTCACTGACGATGACCGGGAATAAGCAGTCAGCAGATATGCTGTAAATTGCTACTGGAAGACATGTTTACCCTAACTTTCATACTTCTGGCTCTAAATCAGATCTCTGAATCAGCTACCACTCAAGTCATCTGCCATTGGGGCGATGAATAGTTTCTGTACAATTCAAAGGTTGAGACTACAGGGAGCATTTACCTATACAACTGATTATACAGTTACAAAGATAAAATGAACATTCCGGCGGACCCCCAAGTAGCCCGTAAAACAAAAAGATACTATGATCCCCAGCCTAGCATGAAACGCACAAACATACTCCGTATTATACTGCTGCTATCATCGTTGGTTATTGGGGGTGTTGTGGTGTTTCTTATTGTCTACTTCGTCACTAGAAAGCCACAGTTGATCCCCCCGCCGTCGGGTCAGACTATCTCTGATGAATTATTCAGCGACTATCTCCAAACTGAGAAAGCTATATATGCATGGTCTCATACGTCTCAGTCGAAGCTCGATGGGCTACCTGCCTACAGCTCCCTCCTATCAAATGCTGATAATGCGTTTGACTATCTACTAAACTTCACTGATAGACACACAATCAAAACGATATACTTATATGGTGGTTGTGCACAGTGGGACAGCGATACGTGGGCTAAGGGTACCCTTCCATTTTCATCATCGTTAGAGAATGCCATTAAAAAGGCCAAACTTAAAGGTTATACCGTAAACCTGGTGGCATATTTGAACGATGATGCCAACAACATGACTAACTACGCATCTATTGAAAAGTTATCTACAGCAATTGTTGCTATGAATAAAAATCTAGGCTCTCAAGGCATAGACTCTGTCTCGCTCAAGATAAGCCCTACACAACCAGAAGCCTATGCATACTCCCTGGAAGCATACCAGTTAGCCCAGTCTATTCTCCGCCCGGCTGGCATAAGCCTTGAAGGCATAGCCCTTCCAGAGGAGTCACTGGCTCACTGGGCATTTCGTCCAGAGCTCTACGTTAACCTGGGGGTTACAAGCACCATCCTCCAAATCATCAACGAAGGCAGAACCTTGACATATGCAGTAGTACTCAGTGCCCTTGTAGATATAATTAATGTGGTAGCCACCACAACTAGCGAATACACCCTTATAGAGCAATGGGATAAGTTTCTTGAGCTTTCTAAAGAAATAAGGCCCCACTTTGACGTTAGCGTAGCACCGTTGAAGGAGGCTGTGGCCACAGATCCTGCCAGCTTTCTCCGAACGCTTCCTCAATTGACGACTCTGTGTAGAACGTATGAGAGTGTAGGACACAGCTGTGGAAGGCCGAGCCTGTCATCGTATCTAGACTACCACACTGGTCTGTATATACTGGAGCCCATCAATTCTGATGCACGATACCTAGCGGATATTTATTACAATAACGGACGCTAGAATCTAGAGCACCTTTAGCTTTGCGTGTACTTTTTGTAATAGTATATCCCCAACAGCAAGGGTACAAGAAGAGTAATCTGATAGGCGCTATAGAGGAAAGAAAAGCTCAAAGCAATGGGCAGCACCGCCGCATCTTTCTTCCTAGCTTTCTTTATGATTGCAATTGGCTTAAAAAGAATAGGGAATGCTGACCTAACGGTTGTTCGGTCCATGGTCAAAAATACAAGGGGGACCAAGATGCCTGTAATGGCACCCATGAGACAGAGCTGGAAGGCGTACTCGAAGCTTGCAGATCTATCTGTATATATGCAAAGCAATATTAAAAGGACAACTCCCTCTGCAATGCGCATGCAAAATGGTGTCCAAGTGGCATATATGTAACAAAGAACCGCTAAGATACCAGTGAAAGCAACCATTTGAAGGTTCGATCTACCTGTAATTAAAGAGACACATCCGGTACAGATTAAAACACATATGAAGTTGGTCCAGAAAAATAGCGTCGATAGCTCCTTCTTCAAAGGCGTAAAGACTGCTCGCAGAAGGAGCATGAGTACAGCGGGAAAGAGGATGAACTCATCAGCCGAAAAAACTCTTACCGATATATATACAGAATACAAACACGGAGCCGGAATAGGCACTAGAAGTCCTGCAATATATGCATTTAGCGTTGCAAGGGTGATGGAGCATACTTCTATGAACGTAAACAGAGGAAGCGTATATATTAGTACCCACAATGCCCAGACACACATCTTCAAATCAAGCATGTCATACAAACTGCTGTAGAACGAGAAGATCTCATAGTCGCTGCTTCGAGCGCACATGCCCCTTGTGTGGAACCACTCCCATGCGGGATTTGAATACATCCCTCCTGAGTTTTTGATTTTAAGTAGATAAGTAGAAATCGCGCAAGATACTGGTCCCTTATTTACTCACTCTTTGAACGTCTTGGAGAAGTACTCCTTCTTCTTCTCGGGGTCGGGGATGATAGTGTCATTCTTCTCGGGGGTCCAGCCGCACGGGATGTCGCCGCCGGTTTTATCAGCGTACTGGAAGGCCTGGACCAGGCGCATGGCCTCCTCCACCGAGCGACCCACTGGAAGATCGTTGATCGTGACGTGGCGAACGACGCCCTTGTCAGAGACGATGAACATCCCGCGGAGCGCAATGCCGGCGTCCTCGACCAGAACGCCGAAGTCGCGGGCCATCTTGTGGTTCGTGTCGGCGAAGAGGTCGCACTTGCACGTCCCGATGCCGCCCTCGTTCTGGCCCTGGAGGCACCAGGCGTAGTGGCTGTAGACGGAGTCCGTCGAGCCGATGATGATCTCCGCGTTGCACTTCTTCTTCAGCTGCTCAGCCAGGTTCGAGAAGTGGATGATCTCCGAGGGGCAGACGAAGGTGAAGTCGAGCGGATAGAAGAAGACAATCAGGTACTTGCCCTTGTAGTCAGAGAGCTTACGCTTGGCGAACTTAAGCTCAGGGGTGACGACGTCGACCTCGAAGTCGGGGCAGGGCGTGCCGGGGATGGGGACGGGCATTTTAATTCATCTCTATCATGTGTACCTCCTTTCTACCAGAATGTGCCACCAGAAGTTAAGATCTTTCATGTAAATCTGTGATTCTGTATATAGCTATCGTGCTTGCAAGGTTTAAACTCATCCATCTCAGGTGCTCATCAGAGGGAAGTTTGGATTGCGACTTCAATAATAGCTTTGAACATCAAAAAATGTGTACACCGTCAACCTCGAAGCAACCAGCGTGCGGATGGATTGTGCCACCACGTATTGATGATTTCTCAACATATGTGTTCCTGGTGCTTCCCACTGGACGACTGATCCCAGGCAAGGCCACTATTGGGGGCAACTCCCTCGCCTTTTTGGCCATGGAAACCCAATCTTACAGCTATTCAACCAACTTCTGCTCTAACTCTAGCCATACATCCCTCTTAAACCTCTACTGCATAGATTGTGTAACCGTTCATTCATGCTTAGAAGAACCCAGATTTCAGCATGACGAGCTTATCATTCTGCGAGCCTTAGGTGTAGCCCCTGATGATACGACTCTTTCAGCGATTAATGCTGAGTTTAAGGCTCATAAAGGCCGGGTTAAAGACGAGTCTTGCCCGCTAAACTTCTATCACTGCTTTGGGGCTATCAACCCCTGCCGCTCCAAGAAAACCAAGTACAGAGTGCTCAATCTCTCCTTTCTACGTAAAATAATCAGCTACCGATCTAGCTACCTACTTTCAGACAACTGCAAGGTTAAGTCCAACAGTTTTCTTAGCTCGCCAATCTTGATTGATCGGTTTTCACAACTGGTGACAGCTCGAAGCGGTGTACACAGATACCTGAAAATTCGATTATATGACGAATCAGTGTTAATCTTTTTTGGTCTGCCTCGCAAGATAGATGCCCTAATGAACCAACTTAATAAAACTTTACTTAGTTCACATACCCTACAGGTTGGTAAAAAGATTTCAACGTGGGAGCCCCGAAAAACTTCGTTGACAGCCTATTTTCCAAACGCCACGGAGGTGGTTCCCTCTCAAAATACTGAAACCCAACATACTTCCAAAGATGGTGGTCACAATAAAGGCGAAAGCAATCACGATTTAGGAAGTAACTTTTCTATTGTAACAAATAGGCGAGATCCGTCCCTGCCTATAATAAGGTCTGCATCTCAAATTGCCATCTCCACCAGTCTCGAGTACACAGGAGAGCACGAGGTATCGCATGCAGAGACCGAGATGACACACGGTGCATCTTCAATGAGCCACATCCCCTCCTTTGTATCCGCACGCAGTGCCAGTATAGGACCTAGAACAGTCAAGTTTCAAAGTCCCGTGGAGACATCTATGGTGAAGGCAGAGCCAGATAGGTTCAACATAGGATTTCTCTCGCAACCCAATCTTGACCCCATAAGTCAAGGCTTTGGGACTAAGCACGGTAAACAGGCTTCTTTCTCGGGAAAACACTTTCCAACAGAAGGATCAAGTCATGTCTCATCTGTGCAGGAATCACAGTCTTCGGACACCATCACAGAGGACAGCAACCAGGACAACGTAAGGGGGCCAACAAATTATTTAAGTTCGTCCGGAACAGAAGACTTTACAATGTATGTCTACGAACCATGCCTTGATGTCGATTCGGAGATTCTCCGCCGCAGGTGTCGTAAATTTAGAAGCAAGAAGCTCGTTACCATGACAGCAAGAGAAAAGGCTATTATCCAAGCAGATAGCAATAGTATTCTTTCCTATATGACCAGCAAGACAGAAAAGGAGGCTAAGCGAAACATATATGATAAGAAGTACAGTAGCTCCTCCAAACCTCTGTGGCCTGGTACCTCAGATTCGGTATATATCAGTTTAAAGCAATTCTGTGCATCGTCTAAGACCAGAGAGAAACAGTTTTTCAAATCGATAGACTCAAAGTTATGGAAAACGCCTGAAGACAGTATAGCAAAGCAGCGCCATAAGAACAAGGATCTCAGTGACTCCGACCTGGCCATTGATCTTCCAGTAATGTCGCTGCTTCAAGTAAGACCATCGAAACATATGCGCAAGTCCTTTTCGCGTGAAAATATTGAGAGTCTTCAGCAGGGGATAGAATCGCTTAACGATATGCTGAAGCACGACAGTATTGTGGTGGGATCCAGTATCATGCAGACAGTTTATAACACACACAAGACAAGAAAGGGGGCACCAATCATACCAACAAATCGAGGTGCCCACGGGATCCTCTCAATAGAGCGCCAGACCCTTGAAAGGGGTCTTGCAGACGTAATAAAAGAATGCATGGACGCTATCTGCCTTCAAATAACGAACAGCGATATCCGAAAGAGCTTGGAGATTGAGCGTATGCGCCGAGGCTCCCTGGAGTACGTATCAGATGGTAACCTCGTTGTGGAGAGCAGTAGTTCTCGTATTGACGATAGCGACAATGACTCGGCTGTTAATACCCGTGTCGTGGGAGGCTTTTCCCTCGCAATGCTTTACTTTGATCCAGAACGAGATGTGGATACAACATCTAAGTCTCTTTGTATTCGCCAGCTGGCCGCAGCAAGTGCCTGTTCTAATCTGACCTCACATGGCATGACCTGTAATATAACCAATTCAACAACCAAGACAGGCGATGGAGTCTTCCAACTGGATCGTAGGTCTAAGCTCTTAACAACGCCTTTGATAAAAGAACTTCTGGTGCACTTACCTCCTGAGTACCATTCGATGGGTACCTCAATCAGCAAGTACAAAGTGGCAGTCATATATAGTATGAACTTCGACGGAAGGCACCTCTCACATCTCTATGCAGCAATGAACAAGTGTGCTCGAGGAGATATTCACGTCGGTTCTCCCAGCTCCACGCAGAGATTGGTTTATGACACTGCATCCCTTCTCCTTATCCAGACTACTAATATGCAGGTATGCGGTGTCTTCATGACACAGCCTGTAGGCATGATTGGAATCCCTAACGGGACCTCTGATAACTTTGTGTTTTCCCACGAGACGCGAGGCTCTGTAGAAGACTCGAGTCAAGCAACAAAGGTCTATCATACGACTGGAAAAAACACCATATTCCAAGTTAGACAAGAGGAAATGCTGACCTTTGGTGCTGGGGGTGGAAGCGCTGTAGTTCTTTATGGAGACATGTATTATGCTCAGACAGGTCAGTCGGAGACATATGGAAATGACTTCTTATTTTCTGGAGAAGACTTTCCTCGGTTTAAGAGGCAGCAAGTATTAAACGTTGAGCTTCTTTCTTTTATTCGTTTAAAGAATAAATAGCATGGATTGGCGTCGCTCTGTATATTTTTAGGAGGAAGGAATTTGACCAATTGGGCTGCCTGTACTGTAAATTAAAGTCCTTCATATTTTTATTCTGGAGACTTCGGCATTTCAAGAAGCGAACCAAGGCCTTGTCCATTTCTTGTTTGCCCACTTTCATGAATGACATAGAACAACTTGCAGATACTCACGTGCTATGGCATTGCTGTGGCTGTGGTACTACCCTCTATTCCCCCTCTTTCATAGTTAGAGGTGTTTATTGCCACATTTGCTGGGAAGAGAAGAGGCTCTTGCTTCGCACCTTTGGACCTTGCATATGGGTCAAGCAGCTTTCTTGTAAGCTTGATATACAGATACCCCCTTCTACACAGTCTTCCGGCAGTGTAAAGCAGACGCACGAGTTTCTATACAATGGTTTGCTCCTGAGTAGCACCTTTTATGAAATATGTTCCTCCGACCTTCTAAACAACGACGTGTCTTTTGTGGTAGACATTCACTATAGCCCAGATCCGATATCTTCGTCTGAAGCGTCGCAGCTTCTCTCTCCCTCCATGTATATGCCGGGGCTCACCAACCAAGGGATGACGTGCTATATTAACGTTACCTTACAGGCGTTGTTCTCACTTCCTAAATTCCGGTATTTAGTTATTACATCACGTGAAGGAGCACAAAACTTTCTGACGGAGTTGCAAACTCTATTTACTGAAATGCTGGTCAACGCGCTTGCCCTGAAGACTGCGCTCTGTAGTGAAGCTATCATTCCCAGTATAAGTACTACTTTTCAAGCCCTTGATACACAGAAGTTTATCTCTTTTCTCAGTACACTGTTGCCTGATATAAATGCTCAAGGAGACGCTCAGGAATTCATCTTGTTTATGTTTGATCAGTTGCGGAACACTCCGATAGAATCAGATATTCACAAGCTCTTCTTGATAGAGGGCTATAAGCTCATAGAAAGGGGAAAGAAGCCGGGTGTTTCCACAGACTCCACTTCAAAAGATATAGTGCCCCAGCATGACCTTTTTATAAATGTTCCAGCGCCATTAACCGGAAAGCTGGATGATAGCCTCCGCACGCTTTTTGAAAAGGAAAATCTGATGCATAACAATGTTTCTCAGACAGCAGTCACTTATACAATCAAGAGGTTGCCGGATGTTCTTATCATTTCGCTTCAGAGATCAATCTACAATCCAAAGAAAGCAGCTGTTGAAAAAGATATGTCACCAATTAGGCTATCTGAGCGCCTGGATTTATCAAAGGTCCAAGGCGCTACGGAGTTTCTAAGTGACGCGGATAGCAAGTACATATTAGTCTCAGTCATAACTCATCAGGGAACAAGCGGCCACGGACATTATCTTGCATATGTGCTTCCCTATCTATATGTTCCTTCGGATCAGCCACTGTCTGTCGCACGTGCCTCAGACATGGAGTCAGATTTGTTGACAGATGAGACTCTGGTTGGTCCCTCATGTAACTTATCCCTTTCCGATGTACGCTGCTATAGAATTAGTGACTCTCATATATCGTTAGTTGATATAACAAGAGTACTGTCAATTGACAACCAGAAGAAAGAGACAATATATATGCTGTTCTATATGAGGGTCTCTGCATTCCAGCACATATGTAGATCAAATAAGTATCCGATTGAGAAGATTTATTGGCAGCAAGTACAGAAGCACAGGTCCACTTTGAAGCAGCTAACTACGTTGTCGACCAAACAACATACGAGGAGAGTCTCAGTCCTATCACAAAGGCTAACTGGTGTCTCTCCTGACGGTATTATCACTATCACACCCACTACCTATGAACTTCCTTGTTTCGCTGGGTTGGAGTTTCTTCGCAATCGGGGATGCGCACCGGATTGGTCTGCAGTCTCAATTTACCCCCTCTTTGTTAAAAATAATAAGATCCTTTGCATTCAAAAGCCTCTTAATTATTCTTGTAATATTACGTGGCCTATAGTAGATATAGAGCAGAAAACTAGTTCTTCTAGTTGTCACGGAGAACAGACGCTGTGGTACTTCACAACGCAAAAAGCAAGTTATAATTCGCAGCTCTTCTTCTTAATATTATACCTAACAAAGGAGGACATTGTTCTGATTCGCAGACTCATAGCAACAGTGTCACCGGACCTTTCTCTTCCTTCATGTTCTGTTCTAGCTAGTGGATGCACACTTTTAGGAGAGCTTATAACTGACCAGGCTACAAAGACAAATGTTGCATCGTTGGCGAAGCGTACTTTTATAAGATATGTTCTCGAAGCGTGCCATCAGAGCTCACCAGATTCTTCTAATGAAAAACTGATGGCCGAACTTGACTTTCGTCTCTATTATAAAAGATCACAGGACCACCAGCTCTCTCCCATAGAACGACAGACAGAGCCAGTAGCCTCTGGAATGCTCTATTTGGGTCTAGACCCGAGCAATCCGGTATCAGAAGCATCTGGATCATGCATAGACCGAGCACCTTCCTTTAAAGAGTTTATCTATGAAGTTAACGACAGGGTAGAACTGAGCTTAGAACCACTTGAGCTGGAAACATGTCCCCCCGTAGGAATGCATGCTCTCAAGTTAGCAGGTCTGTTCATGATGCCTCTGTCACGCGCGGTAGTTCAACAGATTCCTCTATATTTAGAATATGTTAATAAGTATCCGTCCACACACTATACTCTTGAGGTAACACCCTGCTCAGATCTTTTTCCGTCGATAAAAGTAATGGTGTCTCCAAAGTGTACCTTGGAAGAGATTTCGCATGATCTGTACACGAAGATTGTAGAGCAACCGCTTGTACGGATAATTGAGTATGGTACTAAAATCTGTGTTGCCACAATTAATTTTAAAGAAGTTATTGACTTTCTCCAGATTGATCTTCCAGAGTGCCTTCGAGGAGAAAGTTGTGCGTTGAACATATACAAGCATGACGCGTACATACACGAAAAGGTCTCAACTCCAGCTGATGAACACGTAGCATTTTTGTCTGAATCATCTCGCGCAAGATCTATTGACTTCCAAGGAAAATCAGATGTTTTGCGAATGATTGGATTGTTCACCATTAACGAGCGTAGTTGTGTGTCGACAAATCAGCTTTTTGTAAATCCAGTACAGCGGGGACTTACTACGATAGAAGATATACTACCAAAAAAAGCCGATCCCTCAAAACTGTTAGACAGCGGTATCTTTTCGTTGTCTCCTACCAGCCTGAGAAAAAGATTTTGCTTTGGACCAGGAGCACAGCAAACTCGGCAATCATATATCGGCCCACATGCGAGTAGTGAACCCTGTGTAGATGCAAGGACCATTCGGTTAAAGTATGCTTTCTCTAGAGTCCTCTACTCACGCATAGCCTCCGTTCGTCCAGTAAGAGTTCTTCTTGTAGTGCACAACCTTCCGATGGCAGACCTCATTATGCCGATGCCCAGAGAACAAGGGTGGCAGAATATAAAAATGTTAATGGCTCAACTGCGCGACTTTCTCTACGCCCTATTTCATTACCAGGAGCGTCACGAATACACATACATACTGTCTCTTGCAGATGTCAACGGGTGTATATGCTCATTCTTGGAGGATCTGAGCCTGTCTCTGCTGACCGTGCGAGGCAATCCCATAAATATAAATGGTATTCTGAGATGTGATGTATGTGAAAAGCGTCCTAACACAATATTATATTATAAAACTGAAACTGAAGGATACACTGGGATCGGACAGGTCCTCACTATTGATAGAGAAGATCCTGAGGCAGTTATTAGCGCTCTGCGTGTTTCTCATGAATATGCTAGCTTGTTTCTCGCCACTAGTAAGCGCTCTCCTAACATGCAGGTGACACTAAATGGATATAATCCCCACGCAAGGCTGCTCTGGGCGCCCCAAAACATATACTCTACCTTTCAAGACGAGCTGTTGCTAGCCTCGCAAAATATGACTGGCACGATGCTGTTTAAGACCGAACATTCAATCATAAGCGATACCAATAGCAAAGATAAGGTGTGTGAGAAAGTAGAAATATGGACTTGCAGGCTCCAGCATAAGTTTTCAGAGGTAATACCGGGAGATGATAGACTCCTACTTGCACACGCACGCGCACAGAAAGGACCTAATTTATAATAACGTCGCCGTCTTCTGTACTGGATAGCACGCATTCCTTTTCACTAGCAATATGGAGAATAGCAGCAAACGATCGCACTATGTCATACCTACTGTGTGTTGATTTGCATAAGGTTGATAGCTGTGTCCTAGATGTTGTAAGTTCGCACCTGTACTTCTCCAAAAGCAATTCTATATTGAACAGTGGTCGGCTTTCTTCATCAGAAAGTACATTCTCAACGTACGTACTCCATTTTAAAATAGGTTTAGAAGTACTATAAATAGCCGCCTCTCTTTGGATTTCTAAGATCTTTTTTTGGATGACAGATTCAAAACTGGTACGTTCGGCTGTGCCGTCTCTTCTTACTAAAGTGGACTCTGAGGTGTCGTGTGCCTGTCCAATAGATACAGGTGGATCATAAGTTCCATCGCTGATGGCTCCAGAAGCTAGATCATCGGGCTCGTTGGGATTATTAGGATCAATATTTGTAACGAGTATTGCATCGGGTGACGGTTGGTTTGGTGCTGCTGTTCTCTTCACTTGCTGTCCAGATTGCCGCTTAGTGTTGGTGGTGGTGCTGTCACCTAAAGAAATAATGTTGCTACAGACCCCGAGTAGACTCTCCTTGATTACACATTGCCGAAATCCGTCTGGGTGCGCCTCAATCTCTTTGAGCCGAGCATCTCTTGCTACTTGAAGGGCGCGTGGATTAAGATAAGTGCGTCGCGATTTTGCGTGATGCTTATGTGTGTTGGTGTCTTTTGTAATTGCTACTGTAAGTTTGTCTATCAAGTCTCGATATGTTGAGTTGATAGACAGATCAAATAACTTGCGTTGATTTGTAAGTGTATGGGTAGAAGTAGCTGGTACTTTAGGTCCTGAATTATTATGGTCATTTCTAGCGTGTTCTAAACCAACTGGAGCTTGATTCAGAGTAGATTCGGTTGAACTGTCATGTGTTATCGCATCTACCATTGGTACTCTTGATAAGTCCTCATCTACGACAGTGTGAGCGTCATGCCTATCTTCGGGAATGTCTATACCTGTTGCTCCGTGCAGGAGGTCGACCCTACTGTTATGTGGTGTGCTCAACCCACCCATGTTCACCGAGGAAAGGGCAATAGGAGTAACCATGCAGACAGGAACAGGGTCCACAAATCTATCCACTAGAGCTACAGATGAACGTTCTGGTTGATTTGGTTCAGAAAGGTTTTCAGTTAAGTGCACATCCATCTGACTGTTAGAACAATCCTTGAGTGAACTCCCCAGTGCACAAATAAGGGCTCCAGCGTTCCATGTTTCAAGCAAAAGAGCTCCCGTCAACATGTCCCTATGGGCTCGGTAAAATGGTGTGGCCGTTGGCACTGCATTATCAGTCTCCCCTGCGAGTAGAACAGTAGCAGGCTGCTTGGGAATAATTTTGTAATCAATGTTTGCTATGTCTGTACATACGTCTGAAACGAATAGCTTTCGTGACAGAAAATCTTCGGCAATCTGGGGCGGGATTGGTCCACAAAGACTAGTAACATACGACTGTAAATCTGGTAGCTCAGAGCAGTCAACGATCTGTGCGGAAAGCCCGTCTCTGCTTGGCTGGGCCCGACGCGCTCCCTTGGGTCTTATCTGGATGTGTGCGCTGCAGTTTGAAAACATTCTTGTAGCAAAGTCGTGGATATAATCCACTTTCCGTGCAAAGACATTTGTGCTTCCCTTAAGCAATGTAGCTATACTACGGAAGTCTATAAATTCGCTGTGGAGGTCTGATTCCTCAATGTATTCGTCTAGAATTTGTGCTATATCTATTTCCCACGCTGCTGACGCATCTTTAAAGGGTTTCAGCAGCTCCTCCAGATTCATTCCGCGGGCTAAGAATACTAGGGAGCCTGTTTTTATTTTCAGACGAAGAGCATGATGTCAACGATTTTAGAGACAATTGTGCCCGAAGTGAGTCCTTCAACGTTGCTGTCTATTAGAACACGTGCAAAGTGTCCAAAATGTGGCTCAATGCAGCAGTGGTACTGCTACTTTTGTCACCTTTTAACCAATGCCCCCAGCTTTAGCCCTGCAAGGCCTCCGATACCAGTGAGCTTCCTTTGCTACCGTGGGGAGAAGAACTCCAAGTCATCGGTTCACGGTGTGGTGACTTCTTCAGAAAATGTAACGGTAAGGTACTTTTCCGGGGAGGCTGAAGAAGATCTCAGAGACACTCTGGAGAATGGATCAGTTCTCCTTATGACTGGGAGAGGTGCAAAGAAAGTCTCTGAGGTACAGTGGAGCGCGATTCGTCGAATCTACATTTTAGACTGCACATGGAACCAGGTTAACAAGTGCTTGCGTCAACTGGGACTGTACTCCCCTTCTTCTAACATAACCACTGCGTCTGATGCACAGAAGTGCACACCCAGCGTTCAACTTGTGGAGTTGGAGCCCTACACAACAATCTTTTGGAGACAGCACAAGCAGAAGAATAGCGGCTGTCTTTCCAGTGCAGAGGCGCTTTACTACTTACTTTCAGAGCTGAACCAGCAAGGGTTGGTCACGCGCAATCTTGACAATATCCTGACCTTCTTCCTTGCCCAGGCAGTCCTAATCTATAAGAGGAGCCCCTGGGTTAATAAGCAGGTTGACGCTCATTATAAGGAGATAGGTGAACTCTTCAAAAGACGGTGGGGCATTGATGTATCTGTAGCCCCCCAATCTTCAGTACAGAGCGGATCAGTTGGTTGCTGCCCTCGCTGCGGAAGCTCTGCTGAAGGCATTATATTCAAAGGCTCAAAGGGATGCGTAGTCTGTCTTCGAGAGGAGCTTAAACGAGCACTCACCAAAACCCTTGCGCGGTGTCCTGTGTTCTTTCCGGGTGGCAGATTCCTCGTACTATCCTTCTCAAATCTCTGTTTCACTGCCTTTCGGAATTACATGCGTGACTACTTAGGCTCTTCCGTCAGTGCATTGGATGATGTGATGCTACCTTACAGTCTTAGACAACACAACGATGAAGGTGCTGGTTACTTTTCTATTCTCCACTCAGCCCTACATCATGCTCAAGCAGAAAATATCCCACTGGTGTTCGATATTCGTGACTCAAACTCTGTGGCTAGCACAATCATGCACTCTGCTGTTCTAGGTGATCTGAGCCCTGGTATTGCTTCCGCAGAAGAGTTTCTTGAGTTTCCTAATCTTCAAGTGGACCCTACAATCGCATACAAGCGATATCTATCTGATGCTACTCAGCTTTATAAGCCAAAGCGGCAGCTAGGGCATGTTTCATTGTTTCGACCTTTCCTTTCTATTCCTGAGCATGTGCTCAAATGCTATGCAGACCCTCTTCTAACTAATACTAACTCATCCAAAATGCTAAGTCTTGTCCCTCTTTCTGAGGAAAAACAGTACCTTATGCCACTTCTTCGTGAATTAGTACCGTCTCCAGAGGCTGTCTGCGGGCTGTCAAAGAAACTAGAATGGCGAGCGCAGTCAGGAGAGGTGCCTTGTCCCCTTTGCGGTGCCGCGCTGGATGATAGCAAGTGCATCTGTAGTCAACTATAGAAGTGTTCACTTCGCTAGATTTGATGGCTACCAAGCCTCAAAGATAAGGTTCTGGTCTGCACGCAATTTCTCCCAGCGAGCCTTAGCATCCTTTTCTGTCATTCCGCTACTAACAAGAGATCGTAGGATAACCCCTTCAATTTCCTGTGGTACATTCCCAGCCTTACCACAATACGTTATAACGCACGTGTCTTTGCTTGTTACAAAGTTCCGTATATTATTTGCATATTCACCCATTAGACGCGTTACATAGCACTTATACTCCGCACAAAATGCTGTCTTATCCACATCTGCAAGAGCGTGCCCATCAGCATCATTGGGTATGATCTCAAACCACTCTCGGCTTTTTTCTTCGCGAGAAAAGGCTACGAAGATGGTTGCAATCCCTTTACGAACAAAATCCCTCAACTCGTCGATGAGCTCCTTAAGATCTGATTCACGACGCAGTCCTATGAATGTCATGTATGGGTCAAGTGGCTGAATAAACTCGCCAGGAGCGGCCCGCTTGAGCTGCTCTAGCCGCAAAGCTAAGCGATGCTGTAATCGAGATCGGCACGGAGCTAGCCCAGTCCCCAGACCAACTGTAATAGATGGAACGCCTCTGAACTCATCCCCACACCTCACAGGTGAACTGAATGTCTGGAAGAAGACGGCGCTTCCCTCTTGCAAACGGGAAAGATATCCAGTAGAGAGACCAGGTCTCTTCTCGATAGTCTTGCTGAGAGTTTCGCATTCGAAGTCGACATCCGAGACAATAAATTGCAATCTAGTTTCTCCGACATAGCTTGGAGCAGATGCTATAGAGTACATGCGATGGGTCATAGCTGGCATGTGTTCGATGAGTGTATGAATGGGGACCTTGAGGGAGGAGAACTTGGTAAATATATCTATCATGTTCAGCCTTGTATCTAGGAACACGGTTTTAAAGAGAGTAGGATCTTCCAACATATGGAGAGCCTGTCTGTATTGAGCTCCGTCGGTAACGTAAGGAACCAGCTCTTTGAAGCTGGTGAAATCTATTACCGTTGAAAAGTCTAAGTATTGAGAGAGGAGATCTAATACATAGATCGGTCTACCTAGCGGTAGAACAGCGTTGACTGCAGAGCGGACCCAGCTTGCGTGTTCGACAACCACAATATCTGATGCCTCTGCTACCACCTTACACCCATGATCTAGTGATATATGTCCCTTGGCAAGCAGGGCCTTGATGTCCTCTGCTCGATTTCGTGGGAGAATGGCACAGTGTCCGCCGGCCTCGTACTTCATGCACGGACACGTGATCTCATAGAGGTGAACAACGCCGTCGACTTTTCCGTCGCTGAGCACCTTTACCTTGGACATTATACCTCTTTTATAGCCAAGAGGAGACACGTCGCAAACCCACTTGTCTGGAAGAGAGGTGTTCTTTGTGACTATGATCTTGTTGGTGGAAATGACCGGTTGTTCAGAAAGGCCTAGCACTTTGAAAAGATCCTTCTTCCAGTGAATGTACGCGCTGTCATCACTTTTGAACTCGTCCCGGTCAAGGTGTAGTGCATCAAGTATCCGAGTGCCTCCAAATATCTCGATGCTTTTATCAGCATTCTTCGACGCTGCACAGAAGGTAGTGTAATTCTTCGATCCCATGCCAAATACTGCAAATCTGATGTCTCGGAACGGTCTCAAGCTCGGATTCACGGTCTGTAACCACGCAATGAACTCCTTGGAGGCCGGAGGGTGCTCCCCAGCAAAAAAGGTGCACGTCATATAAATGATCGTCCCACGAGGTATATTATACGGCTTTGCAAACGCCTTCATATTGATACTGGAGACGCTAGCTTCGCGGGCACACAAGTCTCCAACCAATTGGTCGGCTAGTCGCTGTATTGTGCCTGTTGCGGAGGCATACATGACGGTAATGGGCTCCTTGTTACTCCTTGTCATCTGCGATTTTATGGATATATAAAATGGGTGGAGCGCCGGCTGAACGTAACTCTGGGAATGTAACCCTGAACCTGGTTATCGAGTATTTCCTATTTGCCTATTCTTAATTTTGCAACTACCACCTCTTTTGTCTCGTCTTCTACATCACACGCTGGCCTGGACGTATAGTTGCGAAGAGGAAGGTAGGCGCCTATTAAGGTTTCCAGATACTCCATTGTAGTGTTTGACCCGCCACATGCCTCCTGACCAACGAAATTATGCACAGGTTTTCCATCTAAGTAGACGACTATTGTCGGACACAGCTCTTTCGGGTACCCCTTACAAGCATCGGTCGCCTTGATCCATGCCGTGCGCAGGCATATGTACCGCTCTGAAAGTCTTCGCAGCATCTCGAGAGTCCGCACACTGGCGCGAGTAGAGTCATTGTGGAGCAGCACGATACTGGCTCCATCAGCAATCCACGACGTGTATTCCTCTGCAGTGATTTCCCTGAACCCAGTGAATTGCTCCAGGCATTCATTTTGAGCTGCCGTTAGTTTGCTTACCAACCTTGCCTTGTAATCCTCCATGAAGGCTCTATCCTCCTCCGACAAGTCTAGGCTGTCAGACGATGACGGATTCGCTACAAAGTGCTCTACAGCTTCCTTTCGTATTGCTTGGTGTCGCGCATATTCCTCCGCCTGTAATTGTAAAGTGTTGACTTCTTCGTAGACCTCCAGTGCAGTCTTTCCGTAGGCCTTCTTGTCAAATATATCTTGCCACTGCGTAGTATTTGGGGCATCTGCACGACCTCTCCATTGCATTTTTTACGAGCTGTGCGAATGCGACCCAAAAGTACAACCTAACCTTCGCCAAGTTCACCCTATGAAAAACAAAATGCAACCTACACTATCTGTCTCGCATCTTTACTACGACGTCCCAATAACTATAAAGGCTAAATTCCATGCATACTTGCATCATCGGCTCCTGCGCAAGCCAAGGGACTGGGATCAGATGCCTGGCTATAAGCGGATTCTGCGCGATATTAACTTTAAGATCTATCCTGGAGAGTTTGTCGCCATCATAGGTCCCTCGGGCTCTGGAAAAACTAGTCTAATTAACATACTTGCAAACAGAGTTATCACTGAGACGTATTGTGGAGAAGTGAAGCTTAAGGGCAAGCAGCTTGGCCCATGGATAAAACCATATCTTGGCTATGTTCAGCAGGAAGACACGCTTTACGCCACAGACACTGCACGAGAGACGCTTCAGTTTACAGCTAACCTTAAGCTTAAAGGGGACAGTCAAATGAAAAAGAGCATTATAGACTCCATCATTAACAGCCTGAACCTCTCTCATGTTGCAGATCAGCTTATGGGCGCCGCTGCAGGTCAAGGGTTTGATGCATCAAATGTTAAAACTGGTCTGTCTGGAGGCGAGCGCAGACGAGTGAGCATAGCAAATGAAATAATCAGCTCCCCACGCCTTCTACTGCTTGATGAGTGCACAAGTGGCCTTGACACATCCACTGCCACAACCGTTGTCTCAACTTTGCGAAAAATTGCTGACAGTAGATATAGCAAGGATGTATCACGGTTTCTAGAGAGTAATACAGACAAGGACCCCAGCAAGAGGGGGGACAACATTACGGTGATGGCCACCCTCCATCAACCAAGCTCCTTCATGTGGAATCTGTTCGATAAAATCCTTGTACTAGCAGCAGGGCGTACAATATTTTACGGACGACCAGAGCACTTCTGGACAGCGATGCATTCCATAGGTTATCAGGTTCCACCCAGTTACAATCCAGCAGACTATCTTATTGAGGTTGTTAGCAAAGATGAGAATAAGTTTCCACATTGCTACGAGGACAGGTTAGACCTAATCCGTGCCATTTCGCAAACGTTCGATGTAGATCAAAACATAACCAACTTCATCATTGAGCAGGCTAACAATAGTGCAAAAGAAAGGGCTGGTACTGCGTTGACCGGTGTACCAGCATTGAACACTGTGAGTGTGCATAACATGCGCGCTGATGTTACAGAAGGCATTCTCATCTCCGAAGACTCCTTAAAGATAGGCAGTGGATGCAGGACACCATCCAGTAGGCAGTCCCCCGGCTCTTCAATAAGACACGATTTTGGCACCAGAACCTTGTCAATCAGCGGAAGCGAAGTTATGATCACAGGAACAACCATTGCCAGTACCCGCACTGAAAGCCTAGAGATGACTGAGAGCATCTGGAAGCAGGAGATGTTCACCGATGACGCTAGTTCTATAAAGAAGGAAGGCCATATGCAAAATCCTGCTAGGGTTCGCTCTTTTCCCAACTTAAAAGTGGGACCTATCGAAGGCAGCGTTGAAGTTCAGCAATACTTCACTAAAGTGTTGAAGCAGACACGCCTGGAGGCATATATGAAGAGACGAGAGGGAGGCGTGACCAGCCCACTTACACTCTTTTCTGACAGCCTGTTTGAGATCTTAGACTATAGAACCAAATATGCTCAACCATACTACTTTCAATTCATCACAATATATCTGCGCTTTCTTCGATTTTGCATACGAGAGCCATCGAGGCTCCTCGCATTTGTCTTTCAGTATGTCTTCTTCGCACTATTTGCAGGAAGCCTATTCTGGCGACTCGGTACCACAATGAGTGAGCTGAATAACCGCGTTGGCGCTCTGTTCTTTGTACAGACATGTATGGCCTTCGCACCAGCCAGTGAGTCTGCACTAAGGGTCTTTCAGTGTCGTCAAACGTATCACAGAGAGCATGCAAGCGGTACATATGCCACACTGCCATTTTATGTGGCAATGATCCTCACAGACATACCCATATACATTATTCTAGTACTCGTATATGGGGCCATAACATACTTCATGATCGGCTTCAACACAACAAACATCGGGAGATGGTTCTACTTCATGGGGCTCTGCTTCATGACACTTATCGCCAGCGTTAGCTTTTCCCATATATTCATAACCATGTTTGGCAGTTATAGAGTCGCGCAGATCATCCTTATGGTGGTTATCTCAGTCATTATCGTCTTTGCAGGACCCTACATAAACACAAAGACCATTCCTGTATACTATATCTGGGCACCTTGGGTTTCGTACTTTGCATATGCGTTCAAGGGGTTCTTTTATAATGAAATTATTGGGCTGTCTTTTACATGTGACGACGGGGTTCCAGAAGCTTCGTGTCCTGTTCAGACAGATAAAGATGCGATAGCTTATTATGGATTAGGAGACTATTCTCTCGTTGGTGCATTATTCCTAGCATATGGCTTCCTAACGGGGTGGACATTGGTTTGTTTTGTAATCAGCTATTTTCTGTTAAGATATAGACGCTTCAGTTAAATATGATAGCATATAATGGCCGCGTTCTCAAAGGTTTGCTTCGCGAAAACGAGCTGCATTGAAGTCATTTAGATCATCAGAGCTGAGGCTTGACTTACGGCTAGCACTAGACAAATTCTTGGACAAACAGACAGCTATCTGATGTGAGTCAAGAGCTGTGATGTTACTGGCTTTAGTCCTTGTAGGAGAGCTTCCGACTAAAGAGGGGGGCGAAACCAATCCTGGGGTTGGCTCTGGAATTGAGTCTACCGGCTGACTAGTATTCGCTTTTGCTGCATTGCTATTTGGGATAGAATAGTCCATATCCTCCATCATTACACCCCTCTGAAGGTCCTCTAGGTCTTGTCGTTCTTCTGCACTCAAAGAGCTGGCCATTTTAGCAAGACCTGAGTTTACAGGCTTTAGATCCGAAAACCGAGTTCCCGACTTGGGAAGTTTTGAATGTACCGTGGCCCATACTGAAGACCGGTTCTCATTTGGCTCCCCGGTACTTTCGTCTTCAGCAAAGTTTGGTATGCTTAACGACGCATTGGGATCGTCAGGATCAGCAATTACAGGTGTTCTTGGGAGGCTTTGTTTGAGCACACCATCGTCAAGGTTGCAAGACGCGCTTATTCCCATTGCTTTTCTGGAGTTTAAAAAATTGGCACACAGGATTTTTAGATCCGCACGATGGATGCCGTGAGCCAAGGAGTGCAACAGGAAGAGGTTAGCTATGATACTTACAGGATCTGGAAGCGTAATTGCATAATCCTTTATGATCTCTGCATATCTCATATCCTTGTTTTCCCCACCCTTACCTTGGGGTTTCAGCCATATGTGTCTGAAACGTTTATCACACGTTCTCTTAGTACTACTGAAAAGAAGAAGAATACAGGCGCGACCAACAATCCTTCCAGTAACTCTTACGCAAGCATTGGCTTCATTATCGGAACTAACACTCCCACCACTGGAAGCGACCGAGAGCAAAACTACCTGTATGTCAAGGAGCTTGCACTGCCATGTGCCAATCAAACCATAGATAGTGACTCCATAATCAAGCGGGACACCGGGGTCATCGTTGGTGGGTACGGATCGTCTCCCGTAGACAAGCTGGGGTCTTTTCACGATCTCCACTGGATAACCTTTCCATCCGAAGCCAACGCTATTGCATGCTGTCCCCACGACAAGAACCTCATAGCAGCTCTTTCAAACGACTCTGTCTATCTCTATGATCTTGTTAATCTGAAGCGGTGCAGTAATGAGCCAGAGGATAGTACACCGGTAGCCATGCTGGAGGGTTTAGAGACAGAAGGATTCTCTTTAAAGTTTAGCACTACCTGCCCATTCTTCCTGGCAGGAGCTGACCGTAATGGAAACGTGTGTTGGTGGGATTGTAGTGCATGTAAGCTTCTTGGAAAGATCAAACTGCAATCAGATATTAATGGTCTTGCTATCCACAATCACTGTCCAGTCTTAATTATAGTTGTTACAGATGGTGGCGAAATAGTTCTGATAGATACTAGGGTCAGCAAAGTCTTAAAATCTTACCAATTTAACATCTTACTCAAGCGGAAAGATACAGAACCACCTCTAATTCCGACGGCAATTGCCCTGTCTCCACACGACGAGTTCAGTGCAATCATTGCAGATAGTAGTGGGACGCTTCACCTTTTTAATCTATGCTCCCTAGAGAGTGGGCCTCTTAAATCAATGAGTTATCATACAGGCGCCGTGTACCAGCTGGACTGGTCCCCCTTCTATCCTAGCTATATCCTTTCTGGCTCTGAAGATAGTCGCGTTGTCCTCTGGGACCTTGCGCAGCAGACACGCCGCAATGTGCTAGACGATCAATATCCTGACTTACCCCCAGAAGTCCTTTTCATTCATGGTGGTCACACCACCTTCATCACTGCTGTAGCTTGGCATCCACTCATACCCAACTTAATTGGAAGCGCTGCCGAGGACAATAGCCTCCAGTTCTGGTGGCCATCGGCAGATTACCTTATGCCTTCCTAATTCCCTTCCAATAAATTTACTTCTGCTTGAGATAAGGCTCCTTGAAAGGCTCAGTGTCTTTGACATCGTTGTCATCGCTGTTACCAGGGAGAAGCTGATGCTTGAGCCTTTCAATAGCATCTTCTGGAAGGCTCGAAACGGTGCAGAGATAAGATTTAAGCATCGACTCTGCTACTATTTCGTCTTTGCTAAATCTGTTAATAATGGGGGTATGTTTATAGTCCCTGGGCAGCCCGCACTTTAAATCCAGCTTATCGAGCTCTTCTTTAGCTTCAGCCAAGAGCGTAGACAGGCGGTCTTCTCCATACTGAGCAATAAATCTGGGATACAGTGATACTTTCAACATTAAATTTTTACGCGGCATTGATCTGTAGCGATGGAACGAAGCCGGGCCTCGGCCACACAGGCCGCTCCCTCCGTCCTCAGCACAGCAGACCGCGCTAGAGAGCTGTGGCGGATGAGGATGGCTCCTGACTCCAATCTTGTAATATCAGTCACACCTCAAACTCTACAATCTCAGAGGCGAGGATCCTCAGCAGGCACATGTACACAACGGAGTCAGCAGCGTAGTGGTAGCAGCCACAAGGTTTGTAATACGGTAGGCCACAAGCGACAGCAAAAGGCCTCCCAATCTCGACCGAAGGCTAACGCAGCGGTATTGAATGGCAAAGAGGAGTACTATGGAGGCGAGTCGCTGTGGTGTGAAGACATTCAAGAAGAGATAAGCACGGTGAGCTATCGTGCCACGCGCATGACAGAGTCTGTGAAGAGGCTTTTTGTTGAAATATCTGCAAACGCTCGACCGTTGCAAAGAGGAGAGACCCGCGCCCTTATCTATTTAGCTAAGGAAAGATATGAAAAAGAGATGGAGAATGATTACTGTCTTCCACGCAAGACCAATGCAGCTAACAAGCCTTACACCTCTGTATCTGCACCCAAATCCAGCTATGACTGTCCAGATGAGCATGTGCCTAACTACATAGAAAATGATGATGTCCATAGTGACACTGTTAATCTTGAATGCACCCTGTCACAAACTAGTAGTGTCAAGGGGAGAAGCACGAGTAAGCAGGCAGTATTGAGGAATAAATTAGAGCTGTTCCCGCATAGCAGAGCGGGGTCTAGAGCTAGCCAGGCCAACATAGAGCAAGCTGTGAGCAGCTCCGCAGATCAAGGTGTCTCAACTGATAGCCTCAATCAAGACGCAAGATCGTTTACATACGATCGTTTCGCTGCCTGCGCCGAAAGTTCGTTTTCACTAAACTTGACATTTAAGAAGGCATTCCTCTATGCTAAGTACCACCTTTCACAGTGGATCAAACACTCCAGAGAATAGCCTACAAATGGAAGGCGAACCAAAGAGAAGTGATTTACGTGATTTCATAAGCACAACAGTTAGACAGAAGGGGTTGCAAGGTCAATATCGAGAAACTTAAGTTGCTCGTCTCCAAGCATCTCGCAGATGCTTTTAAAGAGAATTCGTGAGTACTGCGCGTGATTGCTCTTATCAAAAGAACAAAAGGCCGTGGTATCGATACTGCTCAGAACCGTAGTGAGTGCGCTTCGAATCCTCAGAATGTTTTTCCCTCGAGATTGCTCTAGAAGGTTGAGGTACCTGCATAGCATAGAGACTATCACAGTCTTCCAATCCAAATACATATTTTTCTGCGCCCTCTTCTTCTCAATCTGCCATTTATTATTTAAGCTTTTTATCGGCTTGTTCGGGAAATTCTTAGCAAATTTAGTATACTTTGTGCCATTGTAGCACAATATAAGGCGGAAGAAGGTTAGCTCATCATCAGTATTCCACTTTTTTATCCCAGCAGCTGAACTAATCGAGCCGGCGGTAAATCTCTCAGAATACTCTGGAAGGGCAGTGTTTGGAGGAGATGGGGTGATGGGCGGGAGAGGTGCAATAGCTGAATTGAAGACGCCCTGATCTTTCAGACTTTGCCAGTCAGCAACTTGGGAAGTTTGCGGAAGCAATGATACCTGACTCGTGTTGTGCATAATGTCCGTGAAAGCGACGAATGGAGAACAGTGATCTGCTCCTGCTCGCTTTCCATTTGAATATAATAAATCGTTAGAATTAGAAGCTATGTTAGATAAATCGTAGAAAAGAGTTAGAGTGTGAGATCCTGGGAGTTGAGGGTATAGATTAGTAGAGTTTATGTTCTGCGGCTGAGATTGACAGTGATGCATGCTCAAGGAAGAGGTCGGTAGACTATCCCTATCAGCGAGCAGGGGGAGACTCAGACCTGCAGTAATCCCCAGACCAAGCATAGATGGTGAAATACAGGAGGGGAGAGTATCAGATATCAATATCTCACTGTTCGCCATGTGTGTGTTTGGCTCGCTTCCCTGGCAGAGCATGTACTTGAGTCCGTGATTATCTGGTGAACTGCTGTCGTCCTTCAGCAACTGAAGCATGCATGTGGTTAAATTACTTTGCGTGTGAAGATTTTTAGAGTCTAGACGTGTTGGTTCTGTCCCGGTTACCGTCGGTGCAGCACTCAGTTTGTTTATTTTTAGAGGCGATGAGTCTGCAAGCGTGGTGCTCAAAGGTTGATGGGATGGCTCGTGAAGTAGTGGGGGTACTTTGGGGGAAAGCAGTGCGCCATTCGGTTGAGTCACGGCTTCCTTAGAGCCCAAGACGTGCAACCCTGGTGAGCAGATTCCATCTACTTCGTGAACAGCTGCCTTGGGAGGCGACTCCTCACTTGTTATCATCTGGCCTAATATGAAGGTTGCACGGCCTTTTTAAAAGTTTTTGAGGTGTAAATTCGATGATCAAATGAGTGCTTTTGAACAGTAACTGGGTAAAGCACTGGTGCTACAGGCTACAGCCATGATCGAAACAAACGCACACTTATTTTTCAGGCCAAGGGGAACAGAAGCTCGTCTTTTTGCCTGCCTCAAGGAGGGGAGCGAAGGCACAGCAAGTGAACTGGCTGCAGCAATAGTCACAGCCAACAAATTCTTGGGTCAATCGCCCTGGAACACTCCCATGCAAACTTATAGATCAACATTAACTCTGTACAAAATGCCTCTAATTCTGTAGTCAGTAATTAGAAATGATACCTTCAACAAGCTCCATTACCCAAGTCAACAGGCCAGCGCACAGAAAAAAGCAAATCGTTTACGCTAGTAACAGAATACCGACACTAGCAGGGGCATCCCTCAAATTAGCGATCTGAAATATCTAACGCTTCAAACGGAGCAAAGTGAGGTAGGATGAGTCGCGAGGGTCCTCTTCGAGAGCTATCACTGCTTTTTTATCTGTCTGAGCTTTTGGAGCTTGGATTGAACATGAAGCTCAGTCATGAATGGATACTTCTCCCTCATAATCTCGTGGACAACTCGCTGAGTTGGGCGCACGTGTGCAGCCAAGAGATTATCGTACACATTCTCTAAGTCTCTGCTCATCTCTGCGCTCCATTTGAGACGAGTGGTCTTATAGGGCATCGATATCCCGAACGAATGCACTTGCTTCTGTGGATCCGGGAACGGGCGTAGCTGCGCCTGTCGGGAATCAATCTTGACAGGAATATATCTTGGGGTTTGAATGAGCGAAATTCCCTGGCAGGGCAGCCTAGGATGCCTCGGAGCAGTGGTAGAAAGAACCAAATACTGGACGTCGCCGTTACTAGACATGGGGACGGTATAGACAGAAATGGGCTGATCTTGTAGATACACTAGGGATGGAGTCGTAGAAGAAGAACAGGGGACAGAGGCCGAAGATGAGGTTGACGTTAATATTGGCGGAACCTCCAATCGCACTTGGGGTTGAGACGTTCGGGGAAACACTACAGATGCTGGAGGAGAGAGTGTCGGTGTTAAATCTTTGAGGTGACTGTTACTTTTGTATGTGGCGAGGGCATGCATAACATAATCGATAGGCATGCTAGTTATGTCCCCGGGATCGTTGTGAAGCTGTGCCCCCTCTGTGGTTGGCACGTTTTCCTGAGGTTCTCCCAGGCTAACAGGTATCATAATTAAATACCAAAATACTAATTTTCCAAAAGTCTTTAATAAGTTTGACCTATCACTGAGAGAATTGGATACCGTGAAGATCTACCCATTTGATACCCATTTGAGGAACATATAAGTGTAGCTCATCACCTGATAAACCCTTGGTCCTGTAACAGAATAGAAATAGTAGACTCTGATTATTAACAAGCGCATCAGTTTAATCAGGATCTAATTGTCCGATGACTCTGTGTTCTTTAGGATATTATGGGAGCAGACCATTACTTACATAATAACATATGTCCTAAAAAGGGAGCAATCTGCGTGTCTTTTGATTCTTGGGTCGCTCAACTAACGACGCCCCGCTTACACCATGTTTTTAGTGAATACAGATTTCATCTTGGCATCAGCCATTGCCAACTTTAGCTACAATACAAAGTCCGGCCCGAGTCGCCGGCGAGGCTAAGGCCGGACCAGCGGAGCCGTCAGGACACGTTTACTCCGTCGTAGCTAGCTATCTGAAGTCTAGATGTTCCTAGCGTAGACCGAGAGCTGATCGCGCTTAGCCTTCGCGCGCTTGATGTTCCCAAGCCTCTTCTTTGCATAGCGGAGCGCGTGGCGGTCCTTATTCATTCGCAGGAGCTCTATAATGTGCATTTCGTAGGGCGCCATTCCCGTGCACTCCTGAATGATGCTCTTGACGAACTCCTGATGAGGCTTAGTCTTGCGCTCCTCCTTCTTGCGGACAATGCGAACTACTGCGCCGCCCTTCTTCAGGTTGAATACTTTGCCTGGCATACCACACCGCTCCTTCTAAATCAGGAATTGAAATGAATTTAAAATGGATTGGAAAATAAAACCCGCTACTTCGACACCTTGGGGCCTAGGCGCAGCAAGGGTGGCAGGCAATGGCAGAGCAGGCTAGTAAAAACAAGGATTTCAACATGGTCGTTTCTCTCGTTAAAACACAAATCAGGGGAGAGCGACGCTTCAATGCCGACGGAATTGGCCACTGCATCCCTGCGCTGACAGCGCTAATAGACAAATACGATTGGATTCCCCAACGTTCGGCGGCCATTCCGGCCTCAGATCCTCCCCTGACCGCCTCTGCAGGGAAGTCATTAGCAAGGATGTCCCCTCGTGACCCTCGGATGGATGACCGGGCCAATGGCATCCAGGCATCCCCCACTAACTATGTTCACGATTCTGTGCACACCACGTACAGCAAGCCTCAGCACCAGGCATCGAGGCCCCCGCCTATGGCTGCACCAATAAGAGAGCAAGTAGAGACTCCACGGCGAGATGAAGACGATGGACGTGTTTCCTGCGAATACTGCGGCCGCGGATTTGCCCCAGACCGCATAGATAAGCACAGACAAGTGTGCAATAAGCACCCGGACAAGATTGCCAAGGCTGCAAAGAGGGGTCAACTGGACATGACAGCCAAGCGCGTTGGCGACCTAATGGATGAAAAGGGAAAGCCGAAGGGCAAGCCCCGCAGGTGAGCAACTTGCCTTTGGTTAGTTGGGGATCGGTTGCCTCAATATGCTTTATCGTTGAAATGGATAATAATTTAATCTACCGATAGACTCCGTTTTCCAAAAAGACCAACTTTGGGTATAGCTCTACTACACACCGTAGCATAAAAGGTACCAGACCATACTAGCCCGTACACGGCACCATATATCCAGGAGGCCACAGGCACGCACTGGAACGTTGTTTTTCCAGAAAGGTGCCAGAAGCACTCTGGTGCAGCCTTTCCATACCCAACTCCCACGCAGATACCGTACACAAAAAACGATGTTGTTAATACAAGTCCAATGTATCTCATCTTGTAGCTTTTATTGAGGAAGTTCTTTGTTGAATATCCAGGCGGAACCTGCCGGTGATCCGACTCCCCGACCACCTTTATGTGTATCTGGTGAACCCTCTCCGACATGTCCCCGTTAGGAGGTGCTGTGGGGGGAAGAGATTCAGTGAAAAACTTCTGGTATGAAGTGATAGCATCCTCTCTAGCGACTGCTCGATTATTTGCGGCTACCTGGTCTGCCTCGAGGTAGTCGAGGACAAATATGGACATAAAAAGCAATAGTCCATAGGCCAAGATATAAATATACCAGATGAAGTACCCATAAACCACAAAGGTGCGAAGAGCATTGTACGCCTCTTCATTTTCGGGAGTAATGGAGATAAAAGGAAAGACAAACAATAAGTGAACTAGACAACCAATTGCTGTGTTGATTGAGAATTTAGTGAAATGCTCGCACCACACTATGGTGTGAGTGTGCCTGAATGTGGGCGTGAAAAGGGTCAGTAAGATCCCAAGCAGACCAAAGGTTCCAATCCACAGAATCTGTACATAAAAAAATATGCTAGCAGATCCGCTGCCAGGGTATGGACAAGCGCCTGGATTTTCGGCAACGTAGCTCCCCCGAGTACAACGAGTAAATCGCTCTAAGTCATCGAAGGGAATACGATACGTTCCAAAAACCAGGGCACCGACTAGAACCCCGCCTAGTCCTGCGAGACAGTTGCGGTAGCGGAGAGTATAAAATCTTCTACATTTCATAACCTATCTTCTAATTATAAATTGCTTTTGCTGCTCGTAAAATACTTAGTCAAACCCGTGTAATAAGTATTGCCACGAAGTCCTCAAAGATGACGGCTTTGCATTGCAAAAGATGTTATGGTGCTTTTCCTTCTTGTGAGTGTGCATCCCTGTCTTGCTCTTATTTACCCCCTTACTTTATTGAAATATAAGTAGTGGCGTGGTGCTAAGCATTCGAGAATAAGTTTGGGGCTAAATACTAAGCGGATGAACAAAGAAGAAGTATGCAAGACTAAGATTGCGGGGCTCACTCTAGCGTGCGCAACTCAACCAAGTATGGCACGGTCAGTAGTATTAGCGTAATAAACAGTCTAGGATGGTATAGCATGTAGATAACTACTGTCACAGTTTTGAGTATCTTGTCGGGAAATTGTCTGTGTAATGAGCCACTGCAAAGTCTCGATCCTTGTGCCTGATGCAGCTTTTCCATGTCCTCATTTGTTCACAGTTCTTTGCTGAACAATACGGAGTCTATTTCTAGGTACGGTCCACAACATTTTATTATAGAGAACGTTTTATATGAAATATTTTAGATTGTGGATTGGATAACGTAATACATCCATATAACTGTTATCCATGCAGTGTTGTAAATACTCTAGTAGATCTCTAAGGTTCATATTGTATCTATCGGCACTTTTTGGCAAATGGAAAATACCGGGCTATGCTTGGCGGTCAGTCCTCATAATAACTGCGACTGCTGGTTTGTAGAGCACATTGCTTAGTTAGAGTTTTGGCAGAGAGAAGTATCTTGGTATACATGTCACACCAGCAAACAGACAGAGTCCAGAGCATGAGAGGAAGATTCACTAGGGTTACATGACGTGCCAGAGGACGCAGCAGGCCTCGGCGAGGTTCTTGGACATCGTGGCTCGGATGTCCTTGGCTAAGTTGCCGTAGTGGGCGTAGAGGACCTTGCACTGCTCTGCCTGGTCGTAGAGCATCCCGGTGATGCGGCAGCAGCGGTCGGTGTCGCCCTTCTTCTGGCAGGCCAGGCTCAGGAGGTAGGCGGCGCCTCGGGCGGGGCAGTGGAGCGTCGCGTTGCAGCAGCAGAGCGCGAGCTCGTCGTCGCCCTTGTAGGCCTCGATGAGGGCCTGCTCGATCGTCTTCTTGGCGATGTTCTCGAACGCCTCGGAGATCTGCTTCCACTCGCTGGGGACGGTCGTGCCGAGGAGGCGGATGACCGTGTCCGTGTCCGGGTGCTTGACGCCGATCAGCGCGGTCTTCAGGGCCTCTGCGTCGCCCTGGACGTTGTTGCGGGCAGACCTGCAGAAGGCAAGCCAGGAGTTCACCATGCGGGCCCAGACGGTCTTGGAGCCGATCTCCTTCCTGAGCGTGGACTCGAAGTCGTCCCCGAAGAGCTGGTGGTACCTGCCCTTGACCCTTGCGTAGATCTCGGGGGTCGTCGTCAAGAGCGTGTCCGTGAGGCACCTCTCGTCGTTCCCGCCCTTGAAGGCCTTCTTGATCAGCTTGCAGCGGACGTCGATCTCGTCGTCGAGGACGATCATCATGAGGTCCTTGTAGTCCCCGTTCTTGAACAAGGCGTCGAGGTACTCGGAGGCCGTCTTCCCGTTGGCCGCCCTGAATGCGGCGTAGATCTCGGCGCGCTGCCTATCGTCGAAGTCGGCGACGCTCCTCGCAAGCCCGTCCATGTCCTTGGCGTCGATGAGCGCCTTGATCTCGGTAGCCTTTGCCGCAGCCATTTTTAATTTTGCCGAGCTGTTTCTCGCCGCATGCGGACGGCAGAGGTCGGGCCAGTAGATGGAGCGCCCCTTATCGCACCGGGCTGTGGTGCGTGGACGGGGCGAGTATGTCAATCCTGCTCGGATGCATGCTGCGACAGTCGAAGACGAGGGTCTATGTCTCCACACATAAGGGAAGCAACAATTGAGTGCTGCAGCGCGCCCGGCCGCCTGTGCCGTGGCACCCCTGAGAAGGTGCTGCCCGACGATCATGGCCAGCCCGTAGGCTAGTCGACACATCGTGGAAGCAACAGAACGTGAGAAGCATGAAAGGCCGGTCCATGGCACGAACCAGGATGCAGATGCTCCGTGCATCGGGGGATGGCACGCTGGCCTCGCGGCGGCAGAGCCGTCATCTGATCACTCATTTACTCTCCGCTTCACCGGGGCGGGGTTGTCCCCTGCCACCTGACCAGGTCCTCCATGCGAGCCACCGCCGCCCCGGACAAGCCACTCCCCCCATGCACCGGCCGAGATCCAGAATCCGAAATCAGAAGGTCAGATGTCGTCCAGCTCCGACGGGGAGGATTGTGCCTCCTCCTCCAGGGTGGTAACGAATGCAGATGAGCGTCCGAGGCTGGTGGTGGGATCAGCCTCTCACACGCTAAGCTGACGCTCACCAGGATCATTGCCCGCTGGTCGAGATGGACCCACACGTGACCCATGTAAATCCCTCGACAAGAAATAGGAGTTGGGGTGCTTGGCTGGCAGAGGTGGACTGATCCTGCCCGCACCGGAGAGTATTGGCCTGGGCCACCTGCCGGGTGTCTGCCACAGCAGTTGGCAGTGCCTGACACCCTCGAGTAGACAGGTGTCGTCTGCCGAGCAAGCCGACTTCGGTGAGCCAGTCCTAATCGCTCTTGGTGCCTCAGACGACGCCTCTCAGAGAGGTGGCCCTGGACCGACGCCTCGACAGACCGAAGCATCACCCCCAAGTGTGTTGTGCAGTGCAGATGGAGCCCACACGTCACTGAGCCAGATGCACTGCACAGGGTGGGCGTCGACGCGGTCTCGTGCTGGGTGACGGACCACCTGCAAGAGCGCACTGCGATCCATGAGCAGAGGGCCGGGCCTCTTCTCCGACACAACGCATGGGAGTACTCCATCGACATCCACGAACGCGTACCACACCCCAAGATAGAGGCGCACGGGGAGCGCACCCCCGACAGCAGGGTCGATGGTCCACGTCATGGGGAGACGAAGAGGCACCCCAAGAAACGGGGTAGACACCCGGGGTCGTGGCGTGCGATCTTCGTCATGGAACACCAGGGTCCCGGGCCACGTGGAGGCCAGATCGCCGCGACAGACGCAAGACCCTGAATAACGGGTGCTCACTAGATGTCAGACGATGGTTGACCCCGACGGGCCAGAGGGAGGGAAGTCCTAGGGGGCACCGCGAGGAGCGGCAGCTTTTAGGAGAGCTGGGACATAGGGGTTCTTCCGCCGGAATCGAGGGCATCCGACCTCGGACTCTGGACTCTGCCTAGAAGCGAAAGACCTGCCTTCACTTGCCTCAACTGCCATTAAACTCCGATCTTTCCCAGTGCATCGAAGCAAAAATAAGACTGTCCGGGCTGCCTCCACGTGCTAATAGATCCCATCAGAAGCAGACGAGTCGTGGAGATGGGCTCGTTCCACGTGCCTGCTCCTCTGAGGATGCGCTGCCCTTGCTCCTCACCGAGCCCCTGGAGCTCCTCTCCTGTCTCCTAGTGGTCAGTAACATGTGGCACTGGCGCTTCAATCCATTGGCTTTAAGGCGTTTACTCTGAGAGGAGGGCGACTATCTCATGGCGTCTCCATAGCTTAGCCATGTCAAGGGCAGTTTCGTCCATATTATCTCTAATATTCTTCTCCCTCACAAGGAGCCTCGCACACTCTATGTAGCCGCTCTGCGCAGCGACTGTGAGAGCGGGCCATCCATCGTTATTTTGCATACCGCCCTCTTTTTCCACAAGTAATCTGACACAGCTTGCGTGGCCATTCTTTGCAGCCCACATGAGAGCTGTCCATCCATCCCTCGATTGCGCACAACTCTCCTTTTCTACGAGTAGCTCAACACAGCCAGCTTCGCCACGTTCTGCAGCAATCATAAGAGCAGTCCATTTGCTGTTATCCTGTATACCGCCTTCCCGTTCCAGGAGCAACTCGACGCAATCTCTATGGCCGTTCCCTGCTGCAGCCATAAGGGCGGTTTCCCCATCGTTATCCTGCATGCCAACCTCGTTCTTCAAAAGCAATTTGATACACTCTAAATGGCCAGCACTTGCTGCAGACATGAGAGCCGTCCGCCCCTTGTCGCTCTTCAGGCCGCTTTCCTTCTCTAGCAGGAGCTTAAGACAGTCTGCGTGGCCAGTCCTTGCAGTATACATGAGGGCGGTCCATCCGTTGCTATCTTTCAGTCCTTTCTCTTTCTCCGCGAGCAGCTCCACGATCTCTGTGTATCCATATACCGCCGCCCTTATCAGAGCAGTTCCCTCGTATATCTTCCAGTCACCTACAAGTGCGCATCCCTTCATCTTCATGCCCCCCTGGAGCGGTATGAGAGCCTTCACGGCCTCCACGTCGTTTCTATCGACTGCCCTCATGAGGTCGGTGGAGTCGTCCTCCTCTATTAGGTGCTTCTCTGGCTCTTCTGACTCCTCTGACTCTTTGGTTTCGCCCATCTCTGCCTTAATCTCCTGTATTTCTCTGAATAACTTGACGGCAGCAGCACACTGCTCCCTGATGATGTCCATTCTTGCAGCTCGATCAGGAGGGTCCTTCCTAAGAACTACTGTTTCGTTGTTGGCCCTATTCAAGGCTTCTACAAAGGCTTCACGCACCTCCTTTAGCCTTGTGTCTTGGGCCTCCTGTTCATCAGCAGAGATGTCAAGCCTCCGAAGTAGACGGGCGAGCCCCCTGGCAGTCGGCCTCTCGGCGAGATCGAGGACGAGCATCCTCTCAAGGACGCTCCTTGCGAGGTCGTCTGCGACACCGCTCAGGTCCGGCCTCCATCCGTCGACGAAGACCTCTGCAGGATCCCTGTCCCCCAGGAAGTCCGGCTTCCTCAGGGTGGCGAGCTCGTATGCGACGGCCCCGAGGCTCCAGATGTTGGACGCGGGAGTTATGATACCGCGGAGGAGCGTCTCGGGGGCCATGTACGCGGGGTCGCCGGCCTTCGCAGCTCCACTCGATATGCCCTTGCAGAACCCGAAGTCTGCAAGAACAACACGCCGCCCGTCCCCAGCGAACATGACGTTGTCGGGCTCGAGGACAACGCTAGAGGGCAGGCCGCTGTGGGCACTTCTGCTGAGCCCGTGGAGGTGGGCAAGGGCGCCAGCCAATTGCTCCAGAAGAGAGAGCACCAGCTTGCTGGGAATAGGTTCGTGAATGTCCCTGTAGTCGGTGATGAACTGCCGGAGGTCTCCACAGCAGCGGTCTGTGACAACAAGGATCGTGTTGCCGTCTGTAAGTACCTGGTGGTATTTGAGAACGTCTGGGTGGGAGAGGTTAAGAAGAGCGGTCAGCCCACGCTTTAGCATCCACACCGTGCTGACCCAGACCATCGAGCCGGATCTCTTTCACAGCAAGGTAGGGGCATCCCCTGAGAGAGTAGATAACGCTGAAGGCCCCTGCTGAGCACGCTCCCCAAACGCCCATCGACCCTGCAGAGCCGCTAACTGCACTGTTACTAGCAACTCCTAGGGCTCCCTCTGCGGCAGCTGGGACAGGGGGTGGAGCCAACAGCCATCGCTAATCTTAACTGCAATCCGGAGCCATCCTTTGGAGTGGCCTTGGCTACTACCCGAGCAAGGCGGCCAGTGCGAGCTGTCGATGGCAGGCCAAGGAGGGCATACTAGCGGCTCATATGGCCCTGAGCAGGCCGGATCCTGGAGGCCGACGCGGAGTGCCCCAGACAGAGTATGCCGATCAGGGACCACACTGAGCTCTGGATGCATCGATGGAGAGGAGCTCTTAGTATGTTATCCACAACCAGCCATCGTCTCCGGACGGTCGAGAAGTGGGCGCGGCTTACCCATGAGACCTCTGAGCGCACCTGCAGGCGGGGTCAGTGATACAGTGACAGCAATGTACAGGAGTGCACCCCGAGCAATCATTCCACAAGAGAGGTGCGGTCTGAGTCTGGCCCTCACTGGTCCTGTTTCTACTGAAGTCAGGAATAACTGCACTGTCAGCTGGCCTCCGGTTGGCGTGCTCCTATCTCGTCCTTCTCCAGTACAACTGATCAAGAGAGCAAGAGTGACTGTCTCTCACTGCTCGCGGCAACACATCAGCCTAGCGGAAGAGCAGTGGCACGTGTACTCCGGCTAATGTTGATAGGATTTCTCCTAGTTTGTGCAACCGTGCTGGCAAAGCACAACGAGAAGGGCTCTAGTGCAAACTGCAACACGCCCAACTGCAGGGACTGCACAAACCCGAAGGCCGAGAACGAGGCCTGCACTGACTGCGACCCCGCCTACGTCCTGAACGGGGGCCAGTGCGTCGAGAAGGCGTGCAACACGCCCAACTGCAAGGCCTGCGATAACCCGAAGACCGACAACGAGGTCTGCACGGCGTGCGACCCCGCCTACGTCCTGAACGGGGGCCAGTGCGTCGAGAAGGCGTGCAACACGCCCAACTGCAAGGCCTGCGATAACCCGAAGACCGACAACGAGGTCTGCACGGCGTGCGACCCCGCCTACGTCCTGAACGGGGGCCAGTGCGTCGAGAAGGCGTGCAACACGCCCAACTGCAAGGCCTGCGATAACCCGAAGACCGACAACGAGGTCTGCACTAAATGTAATGATGGCGACTACCTCACCCCTACAAACCAGTGCGTACCTGACTGCACAGCCATCAGCGGATACTACGGAGATAGTGACAAGAAGTGTAAGGCATGCAACCCTGAGTGCGCTGAGTGCGTTGGACCGGCCAACAATCAGTGCACGGCCTGTCCTGTTGGGAAAATGCTTCAGTATACAGATACTAATACTCCTGTCAATGGGGGCACGTGCATGGACCAGTGCAGCGTGAGTTCTACAAACGATGGATGCGCAGAGTGTGGGGCTCAGATAGGAGGAACTGCATATTGCTCAAAGTGCAAGAACACTCAACAAGCCCCCTTGAACGGCAACTGTGCGGCCAGTTCACGAGTAGCCTTCTGTGCAACAATCACAAGTGGGGCCTGTACAAAATGCAATGAGGGTTACTTCCTCAAGGACGGCGGCTGCTATCAGACAGATAGACAGCCTGGTAAGCAGGTCTGTAGTAGTGCACAGGGAGGAACATGTCAGACGTGTGCCAACGGACTACAGGCACAAGGTGGGGCCTGTGGGGAGTGCCATTCTACTTGTGCTACGTGCTCGACTGCAGGTGACCCTAATAAGTGCAAGACCTGTGCCACTGGGTATTACAAGGAAAACGGTGACGATACCACTGCTGGGTTATGCAAGAAGTGCTCAGAGAAGATCTCTGGATGCAAGCAATGTGTGTCATCATCTGGCAGTTCAGTCATATGTTTAGAATCAGAAGTAGGCACTGGTGGAAGCGTCAACAAGAGCGGGCTCTCCACGGGGGCCATAGCGGGGATCTCCGTCGCTGTGGTCGTCGTCGTGGGGGGCCTCGTCGGCTTCCTCTGCTGGTGGTTCGTGTGCAGGGGGAAGGCGTAGGTACTTAGGTAGTGAATGCTGTACAGTGGGTGATAGAGGGTGATAATGGGTGATAGTGTGTGATAGAGGGTGATAGTGGAGTGATATCTGCACAGCAGCCAGTAATGGAGTATGCACTACTTGTAAGGCAGATAACGGCCTGTTCAAGAACCCGGCTGCACCATCAGAGAAGGGTAGCGAGTGCATACTCTGTCATGATGCCACGGGAGCAGATGGATATATGGGAGTCGAGGGCTGCGCTACATGTACAGCACCAACTAATAATAAGGGGGCAGCCACGTGCACAGAGTGTCAAGATGGGTACTACAACGATGGTGGCGCATGTACCAAATGTCATACCGACTGCGAGACGTGTAGTGGAGCCGGTCCGAATGCGTGCACCTCTTGTAAGGCCGGGAAGTTCCTGAAGACTGATACTAACACTTGCGTAGAGGCTGGTCAATGTGGTGCTGGTAAGTACGCAGACAAACAGTCCGGGGAGTGCAAGGCGTGCAGTGAGATAACTGGGTGCACCGCATGTGCATACAACGATCAGTTACAGAAGCCGGTGTGCAGCACCTGTGGGGGAGCCAAGCCTCTCCTTAAAGGGTATGTCGATGGATCAACAGAGTGCGTGGATAAGGCGGGATGTGCAGCGCTAAACACAGTGGGAACACACTTCCTAAGCCAGGATGAGAACAGTTGCATACTATGCAGCGCTACCGGAGGAACCGCCCCTGACGAGGGAATTGCTGAGTGCAGTGGGTGTAAGAAAACCGACCTGGCACAGCCTCCAATCTGCTCAGCATGCCTCCCTGGATTCTACTTTGATACCACCTGCAAGCCCTGTGGGACCAACTGTGCCACCTGCAACAGCGCTAATGCTAACCAGTGCCAAACCTGCAAGCCGGGATACTTCCTGAAAGGAGGCCAAGCACCTGGTGAGTGTGTCTCATGCGACAGTGTGGACAATAAGGGTCGCGAAGGGTGCAGTGCATGCTCTAACAGTGGCACATTCAAGTGCACTGACTGTAAGCCAAACTATAGGAAGCAGCCCAATGGAGATGCAGGGAATGACTATACATGTGTGAAGACCTGTGAGGATGACACTGCTTGTGGTGGTACCTCTGGCGCCTGTGATGCCATGATAATAGATAGTACAGGGAAGGAGCTTCACTACTGTTCTTATTGTGGAGATAATGATAAGTATCCTATAGATGGACTATGTGCTACTGATAAGCAAGGCAATACTTGTGACAACCATGTCTGTGAGTCTTGTACTACGGGGTACTTTATGTACATGGGTGGTTGCTATAGTATATCAGCTCAGCCGGGTAAGTCCATGTGCACAAAGGCAGGCGAGGGTGTCTGCACAGAGGCGGCAGCCGGGTACTTCATCCCTCCCTCGCCCACCAAGGACAAGCAGTCTGTCCTCTCCTGTGGGAACCCCCTTGGGGTCGAGCTGGCTGGTCAGAAGGCATACGTGGGGGTGGATGGCTGTTCACAGTGTACAGCCCCAACAGCTCTGACTGAGGCTGGCATGACTGCTGCTATATGCACCTCCTGTGACAGTGATAAGAAGCCCAACAAGGACGGCACTGGGTGTGTGACATGCTCTGTGGGTGATTGTAAGAGCTGTGTGGTGGATGATGTGTGTGGGGAGTGCAACAGTGGCTTCAGTCTAGACAATGGTAAGTGTGTGTCCTCTGGCACCAACAGGAGCGGGCTCTCCACGGGGGCCGTCGCGGGGATCTCCGTCGCTGTGGTCGTTGTTGTGGGGGGCCTCGTCGGCTTCCTCTGCTGGTGGTTCGTGTGCAGGGGGAAGGCGTAGGTACTTAGGTAGTGAATGCTGTACAATGTGTGATAGGGTGATAGAAGGTGATAGAGGGTGATAGTGGAGTGTGATATGCACAGCAGCCAGTAGTGGAGTGTGCACTGAGTGTAATACAAATAGTCAGTACATATTCCAGAACAAGGCAGAGAGGGTGACTCCTGGTGGGGAGTGCATCCTGTGCTCCGATGCTACAGGAGCGAATGAGAACAAGGGGGTGGCCAACTGTCTCAAGTGCACGGCACCTGGTGGCAATACAGGAGCGGCCACGTGCACCGAGTGCATGGCTGGAACGTATAAGAAGAGTGATACAGAGTGTGCTGCATGCCACAGCGACTGTGCTACATGCAGTGGAGCCAATCAAAATCAGTGCACATCGTGCGAGACAGGGAAGTACCTGAAAGAGAACCAGTGTGTAGACAAAGGTACGTGTAACAACGATCACTACCCCGATGACACTAGCATGACCTGCGTTGCCTGTACTGTCCTCGATGCCAACTGTGCAACATGCTCATTTGATAGTGCAACGGCAAAGGGCAAGTGTCTGACTTGTAATTCAAATAAGATTCCCAGGACAACCCTCGACGGAACCTCGACCTGTGTGGAAAATTCTTATGCTGGGTGTCAAGGAGCTGATAACGAGCTGTTCATGAAGGAGGACCAATCGGCGTGCTTATTATGCGGAGATACTAAAGACGTGGATAATAACAATAAAGGCAAAGAAGGGTGTAAGACATGCACTAAGAGTGCAGATGGCTCCCCTCCAACTTGCACAGCTTGCCTCGATGGATACTTCTTTGAACAGTCATCAAACACTTGTGAGGCTTGTGGGGCCAACTGTGTCACATGTTCAGCTAAAACAGATGAGACTAAATGTAAAACGTGCAAGGAGGGGTTCTTCCTGGCCGGCACCGGCGAAGGAAAGTGCATCTCGTGCGAGAATGGTAATGATAGTGGCTACAGCGGGCTTGCAGGATGCCTCTCTTGCACAGCCCCAGCCGCCCCGGGCCCGGCCAGCTGCAACCGCTGCAAGATCGGCTACAAGTTACAGGGAACAACGTGTGTGAAGACCTGCGAGGATACAACGGCTTGTGGGGGTACTTCTGGCGCCTGTGATGCTATAGTAATAGATGATAAGGGCAACACAAAGCATTATTGTTCCTACTGTGGGGATAGTGGTAAGTTCCCTATTGATGGTATATGCACTGATAGCAAAGGAACAAATGCTGGGTGTACTGATCACATTTGCAGCTATTGTGCTCAAGGGTACTTCCTATACATGGGTGGTTGCTATAGTACCACCAATGCCCCCGGTAGTCACATGTGCACAAAGGCAGGCGAGGGTGTCTGCACAGAGGCGGCAGCCGGGTACTTCATCCCTCCCTCGCCCACCAAGGACAAGCAGTCTGTCCTCTCCTGTGGGAACCCCCTTGGGGTCGAGCTGGCTGGTCAGAAGGCATACGTGGGGGTGGATGGCTGTTCACAGTGTACAGCCCCAACAGCTCTGACTGAGGCTGGCATGACTGCTGCTATATGCACCTCCTGTGACAGTGATAAGAAGCCCAACAAGGACGGCACTGGGTGTGTGACATGCTCTGTGGGTGATTGTAAGAGCTGTGTGGTGGATGATGTGTGTGGGGAGTGCAACAGTGGCTTCAGTCTAGACAATGGTAAGTGTGTGTCCTCTGGCGCCAACAGGGGCGGGCTCTCCACGGGGGCCATCGCGGGGATCTCCGTCGCTGTGGTCGTTGTTGTGGGGGGCCTCGTCGGCTTCCTCTGCTGGTGGTTCGTGTGCAGGGGGAAGGCGTAGGTACTTAGGTAGTGAATGCTGTACAGTGGGTGATAGAGGGTGATAATGGGTGATAGTGTGTGATAGAGGGTGATAGTGGAGTGATATCTGCACAGCAGCCAGTAATGGAGTATGCACTACTTGTAAGGCAGATAACGGCCTGTTCAAGAACCCGGCTGCACCATCAGAGAAGGGTAGCGAGTGCATACTCTGTCATGATATCAAGGGAGCGAATGAGAACAAAGGAGTGGCCAACTGCCTCAAGTGCACGGCGCCAGCTAGTAGTCCAGGACCTGCCACGTGTACTGAGTGCAAGGCTGGGTACGTTAAGGATAGCGTTTCTAATACGTGTAAGAAGTGCGGAGAGGGCTGCTCTGCCTGCTCAGAGAGTAATCAAAATCAATGCTCGGCATGCGTTGAGGGGAAGTACCTGAAGGGTGATAACACTTGTGTAGAGGCTAGTGGATGCGGTGCTGGTAACTATGCAGACCCGACAACAGGCCAATGTAAGGCATGTGGAATAGCTGACTGTGCCACCTGTGAGTACAATGCAACTATTGGCAAGCCGCAATGTAGGACCTGCAGCAGTAGCAAGATGGTGAAGACGGCGGCAGACGGGACGACGACGTGCGTTGCGGAGGGAGAGTGTGCAAGTGGCAATACGCACTTTTTAAGTGAGGGAAATACTAAGTGTATCCCCTGTGGCGATGATAGCGACAAGGCTAGCGGTAATACAGGTGTTCCTGGCTGCAAGACCTGTACCAAGACAGGAAATAGCAATCCAACCTGTAGTGGATGCTTAGAGGGGTACTTTGGTACCGCTACATGCGCAGCCTGTGGTGATAATTGTGCTACATGCTCTGCTGCTGGCAATGATAAGTGTGATACATGCAAGCCTGGATTCTTCATGAAAGGCAGTGGTCCTGGCACATGTGTCTCTTGTGATAACCCAACAGATGGAGTGCCTGGTTGTGCAACGTGCACCTTCTCTAACTCGTTGACCTGCAACTCCTGTAAGGTGAACTACAAGCAGAGTGGTACCAGTCCTGTTACATGTACCAAGACCTGTGAGGATGAGACTGCCTGCGGGGGGACATCTGGAGCCTGCGATGCTATAATAATTGACGAGAATGGCAACACAAAGCACTATTGCTCATACTGTGGGGATAACAGTAAGGTACCAATTGATGGTATATGTACTGATACTGGTAAAGGAGCTAATACTTGTGCCAGTCATACATGTACACAGTGTACTACAGGATACTTCTTGTACATGAATGGCTGTTATAAGGTTGGTCAAGTACCAGGTAGTCATATGTGCAAGAAAGCAGATAGTAGTGGGATATGCACAGAGGCGGCCAACAATAGGTACTTCATAGTCCCAGAAGCAAAGGCTACTGATCAGTCTGTATTGGCATGTGGTAACCCCCTAGGCACATCAACAGGCACTGGTGATACTGCTAAGGCATATGTGGGAGTGGATGGCTGCTCTCAGTGTACAGCCCCGACACCTTTGACTGGGGCTGGTATGACCCCCGCTGTGTGTACCTCTTGTGACAGTAGTAAGAAGCCCAACAAGGACGGCAGCGGGTGTGTGCTGTGCTCTGTGGGTGGTTGCAAGAGCTGTGTGATGGACGGTGTGTGTGAAGAGTGCAACAGTGGCTTCAGTCTAGACAGCAGTGGGACCTCCTGTGTGTCCTCTGGCGCCAACAGGAGCGGGCTCTCCACGGGGGCCATCGCGGGGATCTCCGTCGCGGCGGTTGTCGTCGTGGCTGGCCTTGTGGGCTTCCTCTGCTGGTGGTTCATCTGCCGGGGCAAGGCGTAGATGTACTTAGATAGTAAACGCGTCACTAGTGGTGCAGCTGCCTGACAAGCGGGTGCGCCTTATGTACGTTGCTAGCCAGCCAGCAACCGGGAAAAGGGGTGACCGCTCCCCTGCCCTCGAGAGTGCTATGCACATCGCCGTTGACACCGTCATGGCTGGGGACGGTGCACCCGATATCCTGTGCCTGCCGATGAGCTGCATCGATGCGAGGAGAGCAGCCCATCTCCACGACTCGTCTGCTTCTGATGGGATCTATTAGCACGTGGAGGCAGCCCGGACAGTCTTATTTTTGCTTCGATGCACTGGGAAAGATCGGAGTTTAATGGCAGTTGAGGCAAGTGAAGGCAGGTCTTTCGCTTCTAGGCAGAGTCCAGAGTCCGAGGTCGGATGCCCTCGATTCCGGCGGAAGAACCCCTATGTCCCAGCTCTCCTAAAAGCTGCCGCTCCTCGCGGTGCCCCCTAGGACTTCCCTCCCTCTGGCCCGTCGGGGTCAACCATCGTCTGACATCTAGTGAGCACCCGTTATTCAGGGTCTTGCGTCTGTCGCGGCGATCTGGCCTCCACGTGGCCCGGGACCCTGGTGTTCCATGACGAAGATCGCACGCCACGACCCCGGGTGTCTACCCCGTTTCTTGGGGTGCCTCTTCGTCTCCCCATGACGTGGACCATCGACCCTGCTGTCGGGGGTGCGCTCCCCGTGCGCCTCTATCTTGGGGTGTGGTACGCGTTCGTGGATGTCGATGGAGTACTCCCATGCGTTGTGTCGGAGAAGAGGCCCGGCCCTCTGCTCATGGATCGCAGTGCGCTCTTGCAGGTGGTCCGTCACCCAGCACGAGACCGCGTCGACGCCCACCCTGTGCAGTGCATCTGGCTCAGTGACGTGTGGGCTCCATCTGCACTGCACAACACACTTGGGGGTGATGCTTCGGTCTGTCGAGGCGTCGGTCCAGGGCCACCTCTCTGAGAGGCGTCGTCTGAGGCACCAAGAGCGATTAGGACTGGCTCACCGAAGTCGGCTTGCTCGGCAGACGACACCTGTCTACTCGAGGGTGTCAGGCACTGCCAACTGCTGTGGCAGACACCCGGCAGGTGGCCCAGGCCAATACTCTCCGGTGCGGGCAGGATCAGTCCACCTCTGCCAGCCAAGCACCCCAACTCCTATTTCTTGTCGAGGGATTTACATGGGTCACGTGTGGGTCCATCTCGACCAGCGGGCAATGATCCTGGTGAGCGTCAGCTTAGCGTGTGAGAGGCTGATCCCACCACCAGCCTCGGACGCTCATCTGCATTCGTTACCACCCTGGAGGAGGAGGCACAATCCTCCCCGTCGGAGCTGGACGACATCTGACCTTCTGATTTCGGATTCTGGATCTCGGCCGGTGCATGGGGGGAGTGGCTTGTCCGGGGCGGCGGTGGCTCGCATGGAGGACCTGGTCAGGTGGCAGGGGACAACCCCGCCCCGGTGAAGCGGAGAGTAAATTAAGTTCAAGGGGCCCAGCGACGCCGGGAGCGCTCTGTCTGGCCTTCACTACCCTGTGGCGTCCACCCGGCAACTCCTCCTGCCGGCCTGCTTCTAACTGTCGACTGGACCCACTGACCTGGGGGACTACGAACAGGAGGGAGCGCCGGCCTCCGGGACCACGGCTGGACAGACACCGAAAGACGACCCCAGCCAGTAAAGCCAGACCTCGACAGCAGCCGTCGCGACAGAGGAGACTTCTATTGAAAAAGAAGTGACAACCCAGGCTCGTTCACCAGACGGCAGATTAAAAAGCGAGGCATACTAATGGACAACGTGTGTCCTTGCAAAGGTCTGAACCCTGGACAGACACACGAGCACCCCTGGACACGCACATCGCATGAAGCGACCGAGGAATACAAGAGACTCTAATATACAAATGGAGGGAAATTCCCTTAATATACCATCAACGATCAACCCTTGTCTCCACACTGGCCATGACTTGGATGAGACTTACTTGTGAAGTCTCTGGACTACGCCTGTAAGTAGGCTCCAGTAGCACAGTCTTAAAAATAACTGGTGGGTAGAGTGGTCATCATGACCTGGTGGCACTGGTGTGCTGTTTCTATGCCTATTGGTGTACCGGTTATGCACGCATATATCACGATGCTATGCAATGTGTCATGTCATCGTGGCTCGTAATGTGTGGCTATGTCTCCTCTTTGACCGATGTCGCCTTCCAACATCACGGCCTATCACAGGGCTCGCACATTAGATGGTGATTGCTCTGTCATACGCGATCGCTGTGAGACCGTCGGCCCCGCTGGCAAGGACCCAGTGGAGGTGACTACCAGGATGCAAGGCACAGTGCGGAACACAAGGCCACGGATCATGCATAGAGACTTGAAAGGACCGGATGATGAGGCGTCCTGCATCGAATGGGGACGGTGCAGAAGTGGGGGTCAAGGGCCATACTGATGTTTTGTAGTTAGGAATCTGGCCTGAAAGGACTGTAATTCGGCCATCTGTAATGTGCTCAAAGGGCTCACAGTTGTTGAGGTGAAAGTGAGGACATCACGAGTCTTCGAAAACAGATTAGTAGTACACGATGCAAGAAATAGTGAGGAAAACAACCATTTACCAAGGAAAGGGGGATGTAAATCGCTGCTTTAATTCTGCCTGGTGGCGTTCAATGGCGTCAATCTTGTCTCGTGTAGGTGGTGTAAGACCAGTTGTCAACTCAGAGGCATGTTCCTGGACCCCAAGATCATTGAACTCTTTATTCAGGCGCAAGCCTTTTATGTTTTCTTGCACCTCCAGCGGAAGATATTGCAAATCATCGTCTGTAAGAATGCCGACAGGCATGTACTCCAATACTTCTGCGACATAATCCCGCACCAATCTTTCACGTTCTGCCCGGATGATTGCCAGAGCTTCATCATCTAGCTCTCCTAACTTCATAATCCGCTGCTCCTCAGCACGACGCTCCACCTCTGCCTGTTCACGTGCAGCCCTATTGGCTTCGATCTGGCGAGACATTTCTTGCCCGAATGCAACCATAAGTTCGCGGCGGCGCCTATCATTAACACGCTCCACTTCCTCTGAATGCCTGTAGTCTTCAAGCTGCCTCCTCTTATACTCTTCTTCCTGGGCGCGCTCCTCTGCTTCACGCAGAGCGCGGGCCTCTTGAGCCTCTTTGAAGGCAGCCTGCAGTTCTTGACGCACCTTTTGCTTCTTAAGTTCATCTTCCTCCTCTGCCTGTAGCCGCTTTTGCTCCTCGTATGCCGCTGCAAGGGCAATACGAAGTTCCTCAAGACGCTCGCGTCTCCGTTCTTTTTGGGCTAACTCCTCAGCCAAAGCCTTAAGTAGCGAGTCACGCTCGTCTGCTTGGCGCTTCCTAAGGCTCTCACGCCGAGCAACACGTTCCTCCTGTTCGCGTTCGTACTTTGCAATAAGGAGCTCTTCTTCTTGCTCTCGTTTCTTTGCCTCTTCCACAGCCAGCCTCCTCTGTTCTAAGAAGGCTTTTTGATCAAGTGCGGCCTGCGTGCGTTTGGCCTCCACGGCTTGGAGTTGAGCAGCACGCTCGGCCATGGCCGCCTCAATGGCTGCCTTCACGAGATCCTGCTCGAGTTTCTTCATGTGCTCTGCTTCCTGGGTAATCCGGGCTGCACGGAGTGCGCGCATCTCTTCTATCTCCAATCGCCGGGCCTCCTCTTCCTCGCGCATCCGAAGCATCATTGCCTCGTCCTCCTGGCGCTTCCGCTCCAGCTCAGCAGCAATCTCGGCCTTTTCGCATGCCAGAGCTGCGCTAGTAGCAGCAGCGGCATTGCGTCGATGCTCCTCGGTCCAAAGGGCGTTCGCCTTCGCTGCTATGGCTGCCTCTATTGCTCGCCGCAAAGTCTTGATCTCATCTGATTTGCTGAGCACAATGTCCTTCTTTGCACAAAACGCGAGATGTGCCTGGTGCGCTGCGCGCTTCTCCTGTGCTTCTTGTTCTTCACGTCGTATACGAGCCTCTAGCGCTGCGCGTCTCTTTTGTTCTTCCTCGTGCTCCCGGATCATAGCAAACTCCCTTTCTGCCTCGCGACGTGTGGCTCGCGCACGGCGGAACTCAGCAGCGTCCTCCATCTTCTCCATGGCAAGGCCTACCCGGTGCTCGTTTGCAAACTGGGTCAGCTGCGCGGCCTTCTGTTCCATCTCCAGCTCCCGTGCGCGGGCCTGCGCTGCGGTGCGGTGGTTGTAGAATGTCATCTTTTAAAAACCCGGAACTGCAGCAGCCGATTTCTGACTTTTGACGGCATTCGCTTTCAAAAAATTACTTCTATTTAAAATTGAAATGCCGTTTTTTGTTTAGTCCGGAGCTGATGAGCAAGACATCCGGTCTCTACACTGCCCGCAAGCTCCGAACGGTCCGCCGCGTCAACCGCTGGGCCGACAAGAAATATAGAAAGGCACACCTCGGCACATGGCTCAAGGCCAACCCTCTAGAGGGCGCCTGCATGGCCAGGGGGATAGTCACTCAGAAGATTGGGATTTCGGCGAAGCAGCCGAACTCTGCCGTCCGTAAGGCCGTGCGTGTGCAGCTGACGAAGAACAGCAAGAAGATCACCGCATTCGTTCCTCGCGACGGGTCTATCACCTACATTGATAACAATGACGAGGTGCTTGTCGCAGGGTTTGGTCGTGCAGGTCGTGCAGTTGGTGATATTCCAGGTTGCAGGTTTAAGGTCATCAAGGTCGCTGGGATCGGCCTTCTTGCTCTTTTCCTAAGGAAGCGTGAGAAGCGTGCGCGTTAAGCACGGGCGTGTAAACTGCCACTGGCTGTGCATTTTAGTTTACTCTTCTAGCGCTTTGAGCCACACTCCATACAGAATTTCGCTGTGTCTGAAGCGAACTTCGACCCGCACTCACTACAAAACTTTGACTGTCCGCCAGTGGCAGAGCGCGCAGGAGGAGCTCGAGTGGGTGCCCCAGAGCCTCTTTGAGGACCCATGCTTCTCCCCATATTTCCACTCTGCCTAGTACCTGCTCCAGAAGACCCAATTGTGCTTGCACGCGACGTAGCAATCATGTTCTCTCGAAGATTGGGATTGTTAGCCCTAGGATCCATATTCTGAATGTTCTTGCATATACTCTCATGCTTATCTATGCGGTCAGGTGCAAATTTACGGCCACAGCGCCTACACTCGACACGTCCATCATTCATGCCACCACCGCCGCCGCCAAATGGAGCGCTTCCACCCATTCCTTTTCCACCAAATGGCTTTCCACGTGCAGCGGCATTAGAGCTGGACTTTATTGGCGGGCTTCGGCTATCGTGATCTCCACTGCTAGTAAGGGTCTTAGGGACTATGTTTGCCTTGTTGAATCCAGTCGTACCATTTTTCTTGAACCTAGAGGGATCGGGCTCACGGGTACGGGCATAGTTTGTGTCCCCATCTGCCGCCTTATCTACTTCATCCGGAAGAGCCTTAAGCTTGTTGCATATGCGCTCATGCTGCGTTATGCGGTCAGGAGCAAACTTGCGTCCACACCTGTGGCACTCTATGCGGCCGTCCACACCGCCAGATTCCACCTCTATGTTGTCAAAGTTATACGTACCCTTCCCGCTGCCACCGATCTTCATGTCTGCGCCGCCTGCTCGTGCCCCCATATCGGGGCCTTGTCTTGACACAGGAGGACCGCCAAACTTGTTGTCAATTCCTGGGCCTGACGTGGGCTGAGGCTGAGGCTTTGGTTTGAGCTTAGGCTTCTGGGTAGCACGGCCCTCATCTGGACCCAAAGAGGCCTTAAGCTTCTTCGTAGCGCCACCAGTGGCCCCGAGACCACCGCCAACTGTCCCACCCATGCTTCTCCCTAGGCTCTCTGTACATTCGTTGATGTGTTCATTCAGTGCTGTAATAGGAAATTTCCGCAAACACGAGGGGCATTCCGGCATTGTGGACGAATAGAAACGACTTGCATAGTTGTTGTATTCAGCCAGTGACACTTTTGGGGGCAGAATCCACGGTTCCCATTCAGGAGGAGCCGGGATGTGCATTTTATGGTACCTTCCCTCAAGAACTTTAATGGTGGATAGGATCTTGAGTCTGCAGTTTTTCTCATGAACTTGAATATCATGCTTAAACCATCGTCGACCGCAGTAACGACAGCAAAGCCCGTTAGGAACGTCCATCGACATGACCTCTGATGCTTTTTCTTACCCTGTTTCTTGTTGTTATTTCAGAATATTGGCGAATAATAAAAGCAATTAAAATTAAATGACCACTGAGATGTCGGGTGGTGGGCAGCCAGTGAAGGACGCATCCGCAATCCAACAGGAAATGCTACTCGATGAAAAGCAGAACCTAGAAGCAGGTGAAGCAGTTGGACAAGAGCCGGAGGCTAAGGAAACTAAGCATCAACAGGAACCAAATGACGCTCTCAGTGGGTCCGCTTCACAGCACCCTGAGCGCTTAGACAGGAGCGCTTCTAATGCGCACCAAGTCCCAAGAAAAGCTAAGCACGGAGGCAATGGCGGAAAAGCCCCTAGCAATAAAATGCACAAGAGTTCAGATAGCCCTAGCCCGAACGCCGCTTCGTCCAAGAGGCGTAAGGATACAACTAACATGACTGACAAGAAATCAAACGTCTTTGCATCCTACAAGGAAGTTTGGATGCAGCAGACAAGGCTCCGCAAATTGGAGGCCGAAGCGAAGATGGCAGAGGCTAAGGCCAAAAATGCAACAGACATAGCAGAGCAAATGAAGCTCAAGCGTGAAGAGGCCGATCGGATGAAGCGTGAAATGGAGCTTGTTATGCAGGCGCGTGTCGACAACTCTGCAGAGCTGCGAGAAACGGTCAAGCAGATGGCCGCCTCCCTCCACGAAAACGCTGCTCGAAACAGAGAGGATATTCAAAACAAGAATCGAGAAGAAGCTGCTAGCTATCGTGCATCGGTGGCCCAAATGCTCGCCGAGAAGAGGAAAGAGTGGGATAAGCGCCAGAAGGAGCTTGTTGCACAAGCAAAAGCGATGAACGCAAATGCTATTTGCGACGACCCAAAGATGTACTGGATAACAAGGTCGAAGGAAAGACAGCAGAAGGAAATGGATCGCTTAGAAATGGAACGTCGGGCCAACGAAGATGAGCTCCGGCGATTGAAGAAGCAAGAGCAGAGGCTAATGCGCAGAATAGAGCAAAGCAAGCAGGTTGAAGAAGAGGAGAGGCGGCGATATGAAACATATCTCACCGGAGAATACAGGACCGGAAAGTCAAGCAACAGCCCTACGACCACGACAAGCGGCGCGAAAAAGTCGAAGGCGCCTGAAAAGACTAGACAATCTAGAACTCTGACCAAGTCAACTATAGAAGAGTCACCAACCAGGGCTGACACTAGTATACTACCAAATGATCCGACCAATGACCAAGCACCAGACTATAACACTTGCGAGTTTGATGAGGAGAATGAGAGTCCTGACCACCCCACTCCATGATATTCTGAGGGCGGAAGTCCGGACCCGATTCTGCCTTGTAAACTTACATTGCGCACGGTCTCTGCCATCAGTGTACGATGGCCTACGTCACCTGTCAGCCTACTCCAGTTTACTTGTACTTCGCCGCCAACTCAGAGACTATAGCGCGCGTCAGTCTGTAAATTGGCGCCACAGTGGATATCTCTAATGCCTCCTGGGGAGAATGAGGATTCTTTATAGTGGGTCCTATTGAAATCGCGTCCATTCCAGGACACTTCTTGCAAATAAGACCCGCCTCCAGGCCCGCATGCACAGCGCCGACATGAGGCTTAAAGCCAATCAAGGTTTCGTGGCTCTCGATTGCCTGCTTCAGAAAGACGCTTTCCATATTGGCTGGCCACCCCGGGTACCTTGACTGCTGCTCAGAGATAGAGAATCCGGCAAGACTGGCCAACGCCTTAAGACGCTCGTAGACGCCATCCAATTCAGACTCTATGGAGGAGCGCCCACTACCCAGAAGAGAGAATTCAGTTTCTCCTTCAGTAAGCTTCACGATCGTGGCTGCGAAAGAAGTTTCGACAAAGTTTTCTACAGTTGGTGAAAAGCGAATTGGCCCGTGCGGGATGACAGTAATAAAGTTGAGTATCTTGTCACTGTCAGCTTGAGAAAGGGGCTTGATCTGCTGCGTATGTTTCTCCACAGAAAGAACTGCGTGGGGATCTGTGGGTTTGTATGCAATATAAATCTCGTCCCAAATCTTGGCAATATGTGCGGGCGTAATGTCTGAGCGACACGTGATGACCGCCTGGCAAGACCCTGGGATGGCGTTATGGGCAGAGCCACCAGAGAGGGCGCAGAGCCTGGCACCTGGAATCTTCGAAACAAGGCGTGCCATCAATTTGATGGTGTTAGCACGATATAGGTGGATATCACAGCCAGAGTGTCCACCACTAAGTTTGGATAGATGGAGCTTATAGTAAGGATCAGTGCCGGCGTCTACGCGCTTGATTGTATGCGTGAACGTAACGCGAAACCCGCCTGCACAGCTGACACATATCTCTCCGAAGTCTTCTGAGTCCAAGTTCAGGAGATACTTCGACGTTAGGCAGTTTTCTTCCATTCCAGCAGCTCCGAGGAGGCCAACTTCTTCGTCAGACGTGATAAATAGCTCCAACGGTCCGTGCAAGAAGGTTTTATCCTTGGCGCACTCCAGCAAAATGGCAATCCCGATGGCAACGCCTATGGAGTTGTCTGCCCCCAAGGTTGTCCCGGTGGCCATTAACCACTCCTTTCCATCCTTCTGTACCACGCGGAGCATCAAGGGGTCCTTCTTGAAGTCATGAGACGAATCCGCCGTCTTCACGCAGACCATATCGCTGTGGCCTTGCAAACATATGCCAGGGACACGCTCATAGCCCGGTGTGGCTGGAACTCGTACGATTATGTTCTTAAGTCCGTCTACCGAGTATGTGAGTCCAGAAATGCTAGTCTTGAGGTTATCAAAGAACGACGTGTAGAACGGAATGATCTGCTCTTGGTTGTAGGAGCCATGGGGTACTTCACAGATCTTAAAGAATGTCTCCCAGACATTCTCAGCCTCGCGGAAGCTCCTCAGGATGGTGTCGAGCACAGCCCTGTTAGCGTCAAGCATGGACTTGAAATGTTTTTAAGTGAAATGCAAATCTTGTGGATTTGCCATCAGAATTGTGGAGTGAATCGATTCCATTTTAAAAATCATCTAAATTGCTAATTAAATGCAAGCCATGCGGTACGGCCACCAGGAGTCTGGGCGGAGCAGCGGGGCCAGTCTCACTCAGGAACAGGAAAAGATGGTGAAGAAGGTTATGCTTACGATGAAGGACTTTGATATTCAACGAGGACAGCAGGATTGTGAGGCAACTCTGCGGGAGACAAACTTCGATTTCGACAAGGCAATTGACCTACTCATTTCTCCAAATTATCATCCATGGATCAGCAATCCGATAAATAAGAGTCTCCACAGGCCTTCTGGTCACGGGGGACCCAATCCTAGGAGACGCGAGTACAACGACAGACGGCCGAATAGAAACGAGCATAAAAGACAGCAAACCGCGAAGCACACTGGGCCCACTAATGGTGAGGGCTCTACTAAAGCGGTGAGTCACGAAATTACGCCTGAGAAGCACAGAACAACCAGCGACTCTACACATAAGGGCGAGGATAATGCTGATAATAAAAGAGTCTTGCAGATCACCTCCAAGAGCCCAGCTTTGAAGGAGAATGCGGGGCCCTCAGATGCCGGTCCGACTAACAACTCTAAAGAATCTGCCACATCATCTAAGCCTAAAACGCACACATCTAAGAAGGAAAAACATGATGCAGCACCTGATAAATCAGAGCCCGCCACGCCGCCGGGGGCCCCTGTAAAGGTCGTTATTAATACCCAGAAGACCGCGGAAAAGGCTGCAATCGCTCAAGGGGCTGACTCTGTCTCAAAGCCGGAGCTCACTGCCACTTCTGCCTCGCAGAAGATTACTATTAAGATAACAAGCACTAAAACCACAAAGGACAGTACTCCTCCGTCTAGTGTTGTTCAGAAGCCTCACGATGGCCAGAAAGACAACATTCAACTAATGTTGAAGCCAGGCGGAGGGCAGCAGGCGCCGCCGATAGATGTAATGGCTCTCGAGAAGAATATGGGAAGACCCACAGAGAACACCCAACAGATGGCCATGGTTCAACAGCCCGGCCAGCAGCCCTACGTGATGGCCAGCAACATCCCCGTTATGTCTGCTCCCATAGCTTCCGCCCAGCCAAACCAACAGCCGGTTCAGGTAGTCTATGTCCCCGTTTACTATCCGAGTCAAGGACCCATAGGAGAGATGAATCCGTTTCCTCCCACTACCTCATCGCAGGTGAAGGGTACCGATATGTTCCAGATCCCTGGCTACCAGATGGTGCACATGCCCATGCCGATGATGAACGGCATGCAGGGTCAAGTACTCGCGCCGATGCAGATGTCCCCAGGACAGCAAACACCGCACTTTGCATTTCCATTTGTAGGAGAGGCGCAGTCCCAGTCCAAGTAGTGGACAGTAAACTAATTCTGCTACTTACGCGGTCCCAAGACGCTGCACTGCCTCTTGCATGTTTGAGCTACCGAACCGGGATTTTCTTTGCTTTGGCAGGGCCTCTTTCTGCACCAGAATCCATAGGAATATTGGGAGAGGTCACGGATTTCCGTGCCTGGGGCGATTTCGCGGCCGCCTGAGCTGCGCGACGCACGCTCCGCAGTCTAATTGTAAGAATGTGGATCCAGTGGAGTTGCTTTTCGAGGTCCATCGATAGCTTTGCTCTTTCGCGATTAAGCTTGGCGAATTTTTTGCCTAGCTCCGCCAACTCCCCATGAACCTCACTTTCTGCTTCCGCCTTTGCATTAATGTACTGCTCGATTATTGCCTTTAAACTCTCATGTTCTTTGCAAAGAAACTCAATTCCCTCATCAACCTCAGCCCTGGTGACATCTGGTCTCTGTAGGAGGAAGGCTTCAACCTCTGCTAGCGTCACGGGGAAGCGATCGATGCCATCCACTTTAATCGCGTTGCCAGCTTCAGTCCGAATTCGTTTGGCCTCCTGTCCCTTTTTGGCTGCTGTCCGCTTCATAGCTCTAACCTGCTCCGTAAGCTCCTTTTCCTCACTAACCACTTGTGCCAACTCAGCTCGCAAAAGGTCAAGTTTTTGTGTAACCGCGGTGTCGCCGACGTTTTCTGCCTTACTAAGTGCATGGACTTGGCGCCCAAGTATCTTATCCATGCATTCGGATTCTCGTACCAGATCTTGGATTTCACGGCACAGGCTTACCAGCTGGTCCTTTAGCTGCTTGGGGTTTGTGATCTCCATCATCTGACGTTCAAGCATCTCGTATGCTTGCGAGGCCATCTTTGGCTTTAAGCCTGAAACAGACATCCTGACGACTCGGAATTTACTGCATAGCTGTGAAGTGTTGTTTTAATTGCAACGGCGATTCTTCCTTTGCATTTAAAATTAAATACTATGTCCAGCGACTATCAGCTCCTCACGACCGCTCGCCCGGCGGCTTCGCAGCTCCACAGGGGCACCATGGTCCTCGCAATAGTTGCTAATGTGCGCCCAGAATACATGCTTGTTAATCTTCCGTTTGGAATACTTGGGAACGTTTCCGATGTTAACGCAATAGACTCCGAACGCGTAAGGCCCCTCACAGAACTATATAAGGCTGGTGATTACGTACTCGGTGTTGTAGTTGGCCAAGATGCCACAGGAAAGCCCATCTTAGGCCTCAAGCCCTCTCTCTTTCACCAGCGCGACTTTTCGCGCAAATCTCTAGTTGTCTGTCAGATAGAAACAGTTGAGGACCACGGCTGGATCGCAGAAGTTAAGGATGCCCGGGAAACGAGCTGCTTCCTTTCCAAATCTAGAGTGCCCGAGGAGCTCCATTCCAGGCTCAAGCCAGGACTTGTCGTTCAATGTGCGGTTGTCGATCTTAACGCCTCAGGAACACTTCTGCAGGTTTCCCTTCAAAAACTTGATCTAACTGCAGCTGCAGCCTTTGACGGCTATAATCAGGTTGTCCCAGGGCAGATCATCAAAGCAGAGGTGGTGCATAACGCATCAACGCATTCTGTGGTGCGCCTTATCAGCACAGGAGGAAAGTCTAGTCAGAAGGGCATGCGCTCTGCCAAGCTTTATGGGTATGTCCTGTCTGAGCATTTCCGGCGGCCCGCTGATCCCAGTAGTGGATATGCAACATACACAGGCTTCCAAGGAAAGTTCAAAGTGATCTATCTAGATCTGAATCCGCAATCGACCGACGTTGATGGCCCGCTTATCTATTTATCTAACATGGACTCTGTTTTGGATCACGCCGCACCAACACAGATCTATAGTGTTGGCCAGGTACTTCAAGAAGGAAAGCTGACCATGGTCCAAACAGTAAAGGGCGCTGTGTACGCTTCTCTAGACTCCGATCTCTCGTCGTTTGTCTACATACCAGTCGAATCTACACACCATGGTGCAGCAGCCGAAGCGCAGATAGGCGAGCCTATTAACTTGAAAACAAAGATCATAGGGTATAGACAGTTTGACGATCTCTATATAGGAACTGCAAATCCAGGAGATATAGTCTCGTCCACCGAAGCTGAGTACCACTCGGGTATGATCATTGATAAGAAAATACCTGTCAAGGTCACAAAGGTTCTTGATACTGGGGTACATGTTAGCATAGAGGTCTCACCAGCACGCTCTCTTCATGGCATGATTAATCAGCCTCATTACGGTTCACACCTAAAGGGTCACAACATTCCAGTCGGGCTTAACATTAATAGGCATCATGGCACACTTCGAGTAATTGCATATGATGAGCCACGGCAAGTCTATTACCTATCGCTTGCCAATCTAGGCTCGGATCCCCTCTTCTCTTCTAAAGACACTGTAAAGCCAGGGATGGTATCTCGAGGGGTTGTGACAAGCTTCATTGACAACGCAAAGTGCTCGGCCGTCATTCAATTCACTAATCTGTATAATGGAATATGTGCCAATGCCAATGGAATGGAGATAGGCCAAGTCTATGAATTCATTTGCGTGAGAAACGACGAGAAGTACACGACCGTAGATCGTCTTTCAGAATCACAGCGCGGAGACGACGCTGCTAAGCTGCGGTCAAGCTATGCTGATGGTCTGATGAGGGTACTTAACTATCGGCACTTTATTAAATTTGAGCTACCCTATTCTTTCACTGTGGACGGGGACTGTAGTAATAAGATACCCCTGGGCACCATTCTGAGCAGGGAAAATGCCACGGTGGAAATAAGGAGCATTGCACTCGGAGGATTCAAGCTCGGGGTCAAGCTCTCCGGAGCACAGGAGGAGTCCATCCATGTCTTCCTCCCGCATGGCTGCATAGCCTTTCCTGGCAAGTCCGCTGAGCTTGTTAGGCTTTATTTGGGAGCCAACGACTCTGAGGAAGAGCAGGATGTCTTCTCTATCCTGCCATGCATTCGGCTCCTCACCATACTGTCCACTCGAGATAGGGTTTCTGTGTATATTGGAGCTAGCTCTAGCTTTCTTGCTAACAAGGAGCATGTTCTTCCGGCAGAAACAGATGTCATGACAAGAGGACAGACCTATCAAGCTGTCGTTACACATATGTCAGTCAGCGGGCTCACTGCTCGATTGTCCGCGAATACTGAGATATTCTATCCTGATTTTGGAAACCATGAACTTGACAACATCTGTCCATTGACTCTTATCCAGGTGCGTGTTGTAAAGGTGGGAGAGCGCCGCGCAAATCGGGACAGGAAAGTTGATGTAAGTATTAGCGGATACTGCCACAATGGGGTCTTCAAGGCTCCTCTCGGGGCGCAAAAGATTGAGTCTATGGTTGATAGTTCGATTGCAACAAGGTATACCAGGCTAGTGCTTCCACAGACTCAACAGCTAAACGATGGGATTTCCTCAGCAGGTGATTGCCAAAATGGATCTATACTAAAGGGAAGCTACCTTTTTTCAAACACGAGCCCAGATGCATACTGTGCCATCTATGATCTGGGGTCGGGCATCGTTGGACGCATGACCCTTGAGGCTGTATTACTCAGCCGGCTTGTAGCTAAGCTAGTAGAGACCTCCACAAAGCCAGCACAGCTTTCTTCGCTGATCACTGCCTTTAGTGAAGAAATAATCAAATTCGTTGCAGGTGGGGAACTCACTCTTACGGCATACTTTGAAAAGCATGGGCATCACTCAGCATCAGATAGCATTGTCGATGTTTGTGTCAGAAGCCTTGTTACGTTGCATGGTGACCAGGAGCTTTCTACTATTTGTGCTGATACTGACTCCGCAGCAGGTGAGCAGTCCTGCGAAATTGTAGACTTATATCCAGCGTCACTCTCCATGGCAGGCCTTAGGGCGCTACGCTCTGCTCTTTCCAAGTCTGGGTGCACGTCCATAGGCATGGTCCGTTACGTGACAGAGCACTATATGCTTCTCCGAGACCTATTTGATAACTGCCTTGTGTTTGTTCATGCAGTTGATGTTTTTGAGACCCCTGCTGCTGTCCGTCCGCTCCGAGAGTTGTACAAAGAGGGCAGTTTAATTACAATAACATCCTTCACGTCTAAAGAGGTTCCTAATCCAGTGATTGTCGCCGGAATCAACCGAATCGGTACGCTAGACCCTCTAGAGGAGAACATGCTTTCCTCACCTGTGGGTCTGTGTTCCATAGCCATGACTAAGCCAACGAACACGCTCACAGGGCTCCAGCATACTATTTGCCAAGTGCTGCCCTCAGGTGCATTGCGTCTCAACGGGCACACATCTATGTGTTTCCTAACAGCTACATCTCCTGTGGAGTTCTGCAGTCGAAGAGGCCTATTCTTGGCGCCGGTGCTCTCCGTAACCAGGCTATTTAATGACCCTCAAGACTTCTCAAACCATGCAGATGCTTTTGTCCATGACATCCTGGGGTACCACAAATGCATTCGCATAGGCCCGGACAACATATCTCTGCGGCCTATAGACTTTCAAGTTTCCTCCATGTCTCGTCATTCCTTCATCTCCGTCGGCCAAGAGCGGCTGTTTCTTCCTCAAACAGCCGAAGATCTGTCTATACACGATACCTATGTCGGGTTCATCCGTCCATACTCCAAGATAGGTGCAGGGTTGCAAGTTGTGGTCTCCGAGTCCATCACAATTCATGTCAAGATGAAGGAGATCTCTGAGGAATTTATCAGTCCAGAGGAAGTACAGGAGAAGTACCCATCTAACACAATGGTGCGTGTCCGTTACCTAGATACAAGCACATTCAACGACATGCCGCAATACAATGGCACAATTAAGCCTACCGTCGTCAACAACCCCAATATCAAGCATCCAAGCGTTATCATTAAGGCTGGTGCATGTTTAATTGGCAGAGTTGACAATGTAATGGATGACCGAGGAGTGTTCATAACCGTTGAGGATTGCTACCCTTTGACCCGTGTCCGAGCCAGGATCAGCGACTCCATTGACGTGTCCGGCCATGGACCAATGAACAGCGAAAAGATCGTTTTAAATAATGCTAATAGGTGCTCTAACAGTTACTACAAAGGCCAACGGTTGTACTTCATTGTTTTAGAGCCGACTGCTAAAGGAGCATCGGTGGGTCTGAAGGCGGCACACTTTTTAGCTGCTGGAATCGACATCACGAACCTACCCGTTCTGAAGCAGGATCGGACTCGCCGAAACAAGCAAGACAAGTCACGCGCAATTCACCATGAAGAGCTTCTAAACCAAGCGACGACCAGTAGTGAGGCCCAAGGACTCAAGCCACCAGCGGTAGAAGCAGATCAGAGTAGATTTGAGCCGGTACGAAAGCGGACACGTAGCTATGATCTCTTTGCTGGAGAACTGGATGATGATCACAACCAGAGCCAAGGGTCTGAGAAACAAGAAGAGGATGATAAGCAGGAAGAAAATACCGAAAGCGACTCGTCGGAGACCGAGGGTCCGGTTATAAATTTCCTCAACTTTGGTACATTGAAGCGTCCAGTAGCCGATGACTCTAGCTATTCAGATGACTATCAGGAAGCAAATGACGATATTCTGAATAATGGAGTGCGAGAGTACGAAGTGCGCCAGGCACCAAAAATGACTGCCGAGCAGAAAAGAGTTAAGGAGGAAAAAGACATTCGTGAAAGAGAGGAGGAGCTGCTAACGAATGCTGCCCCGCAGTCAGAGGCAGACTTTGAAAGACTTTTGGCAGGAAACGAGCAGTCTTCGTATCTCTGGATTCGGTATGTCGCTTTCCACGTTGATAGGGCGAGCATCGATAAGGCGGAGGCGGTCCTCGATCGAGCCATGACAAAGATTTGTCCAGACAAGGAGGTAGATTACAGGAATCTTTGGTTAGCGAAGATAGCGTTGAAGGAGAAGTTTCACGGTCCAGAAGCGGGGATGAATGAACTCTATGAGGGAATACGCAGAAACGATCCCAATGAGCTTCTAAGAATATACTGCTCCGGAAAGCTAGACCAGGGCGACTGGGAATCAGCCGCAAGAGGTTACGACGTGCTATTCTCCAAAAAGGAACGGAAGAGGATCTATGAAAACTGGAGGGACTATTTCTTGTTCCTTTATAACGTCAAGGGCCATGATATCCCCGCCAATGTCGTAGAAGGTAACCGTATAAAGGCGCGAGGGCAGGAACTACAAAAGGCGTCCAGCTGTCTTTCACAGGACGTTCTTCTGCGGTTGCTTTGCGATTCTGCCCGGGCAGAGTACAAAATAAATGACGTTACACGGGGAAGAGCGGCTTTTGACAAACTTGTGGGTACTATGCCTCAGCGGATGGATATATGGGGGCAATACTTAGACATGGAAGAGAAGCACGTGGCGCCTATAAATCCCCAGGACGTACGGTCTCTCTATGAGCGGTGTTGTGCATTACGGTTATCGCTGAAGAAGATGTCGTATGTATTAAAGAGGTTCTATAACTTCGAGAAGAAGTTCGGCACGGCAACTACACAGGAGCGTGTCAAAGAGATTGCACGGGCCTATGCAAACAGCTGAGTGCCTCCTGTGTAAACAACTCTGTCTATAACATTTGATTTTCAAAAAAGACGATTCTACTGAATGCACTCAGAGCAGGGGGCGGTGGCTAGGGATCAAGACAACCTCGGAACAATCATCGAATGCCTGACACCTCGCGTCTCCATCACGGCCTTGTCCTCCTCAAGCACACCTCTGGTGCACTTAGCAAGTGTATGGCGGTTTTTCGACTCGCCGTACGGACATTCGGTTTTGTTTCCCAGGCCCGATGGAACACTATTTAGAACATACTGGGTGCCCGTTCTATCAAAAATAGAGCTCTACCCCGTTCAGCGTCCCTCTTTGACAATTTCTAACACCGCCTCCAGACCCTACCCAGACCTGCTTTTTAGCCCACTAATATACGAGGACCGCCGGTCTGTAGCCGAGCGGCAACCTTTTATAGAAATGATCAAGAGTCTCGCACGCACTAACCCCGTTATCCAGGAGGGAACCATAATGGATATCGACCCTAAGTCCTGGTTTTCTGTTGTCTGGTCACAGATAAGCGTTGACCCGCAGTACCTTGACCTCCAACGTGACCATTTACTTACGTTTTATAGGTTTAATACTCCTCAAACAGTATCCTGGCTTACAAATGCACGGAGCTCTGATCATGACCACCATTTAGAGATGTATATCAAGTATAATAGGTTCTATACCGAGAAAAGATCTGCTTCCAACAAGCAGCTACGCTTTTCTCCTTCAGACTCGGGGAGCATCACCTCTCCCCTAAAGCTCCTAAACTTGTCACAAAGTGATATCCAGCATGCACTAGACACACATGACTGTACCTACTCGCTGCTCACTGTCCATTCGCCCATGCTACCAACGTGCACCTCTGACTTAACTTGGGCGCGCAACGGATTCCAGCCAGAGCGGTCGTTCGCTTCCCCAGGCATCATCAATTCTCTTAAGACACATCGATCAATTAAAGAGAAGAACAATCTAACCAATATTTCTAGCTGTACTTCCTTTGAAGATACTAACACCCAACCCCACACCAAGAAGGTTTATTCTAAAACAGACGATCATACGTTTCTTCAGCGGAAGCAGCTAGCTGAAAAGTGGGTAGGAGCAGAGTTTCTTCGGGTGAAGGATGCCTTCTGCATACACCACCTCTGTCGCGAATCTGCTCCATCTGCAGAAACCATCCTGGACGTCTTTAACTATTTTGTTGAGCATCTTCATGTATGTACTGATCTCCAAGTAGAGACCAGTACCATTGTGTTGAGGGGTAACATCTCCAGGAAGTATCATGAGCCCTCCATCCTTTCATGGAGTGAGAGGAAGGGATATTTGATGTTGGATGCCACATCTACGCACTTCGGATATAAGAGATCGGGGCGCATGTCAGCAGATGATATAAGAAAAATCTTCCATCGTAGCTCTTACTCTCTTTCAGAATACCCTCGGACTATTATTCACTTATATGCTATCCTATTGGTAATGCAACAGCACAGTGAGGTTTACAAAGACCTTCCTCTGTACTATCGGATAATAATTAATGCTCTTTATTATACAGGGCTGCAGCAGATAATGAGTCGTTCTAAGGTCGCAGACCCCGTCACTATAGATGCAGAGACCATAACCAGTTATCATACAACAAAAAATTTTGCATTAGCTGCGTCTGCAAGACATGATGGCTATCTACGTAAGAATGAGACCGGCCAGAACAATTCTGAAAAAGGGTTTGTGGTCAACTTGGACGCAACCGCAAAAAGCACTATTCAGAGTACCAATGAACCTCGTGAGGGGTGCCCAGATTCAATTATTCAGCCAAAGACCATAGCGGGCCTGAATTATTCCATAGACTTGCTTCCTCCCTACAACATAAGCTCCTTTAATCCCGAATCCACGTCAAGAATATCCTCTATATTAGATAGTTTGACCCTTCAGCAGTTGCACTCCACTCTCTGTGACCTAATGAAGCACTTTTATCCAGCTAATGGTTCATGCGTAGAGCGAGTCTTTAGTAAGACTAGATCCATTCCTGCCTCATTTAAATATCTACACAACGTTGGTTTTAAGTCTATCATGAACCCTCTCAACTCATTACTTAGCCATGATATGCGCCATACAGCTAGTTTACAACTCATGCTATCTCATCCCATCTTTAAGCGATCCTCTTCTGAGTACAAGCAATCCATGCAGGCCGTATTTCATCACCAGACATCCTCCTCTCTAGTTACCTCTAATTCTCATTGCTCATCTAGTATTGTTATCACCACGACAAAGCATCACAATTTAGAAAAGCTTTCCAGTGACTCTACTCGCATATCCCCACCAAGCTCTGCTGTGTCCACTGCTGAAGTAAAGGAGTCCTTGACCGACGGATCGAGCGATCATATAACAATCGTAAGCGACGCACCATTACAGAGCGGCGTCTCGACCTGTAAAACCGTTTCTTTAAACCCGTCTCCACTTATCTCGACAACTTCTCCTTTTGATAGCAGCAACTCTTATCTTTCTCTTTTGCTGGATGATGGGAGAAGGCCGTGCTCCTCAGGTGATGCAGAAGTAGTATCCTTTAGCAAAGAAACCACTAAAGCATCAAGGAGTAAAGCAAGGCTGCGCGAGACGAAAAGAAAAGAGCTTAGCATAACCGTTGGGACGTCACTGGTCCCTGGAGACAAAGAAAGATGCGAAAAGATTATTCTAGAGCAATATAGGACATTCATAAAGCTTCTTTACCATTTACTCACACATAAACAAAATGACAAGACACACGACTATCTAGTTTGTCCCTCTAGCTCTCACGCTCCCTACCTAACCTTCTATCGCAGAGATCCGTCTTCTGATTGCTCCTGTGACTTTTGTCATCAATCCTTTATCATGCAGGGTGGCACTTGTTCAGCTTCAGGGTGGGATAGGGGCTCCGGCTACATCCTGCCATCGCCCTCCTCCAGAGCAAGCTTTGACGCCTTTCTCTGTGAGTCGGCAACCCGGAGGCTCGTATGCTCACCCGGCATACGGCGGTATATCTGCTCTGACAAGGCGTTAGCACGCTTCACACATTTCTCTGCAAATTATAAGCTAACTGAATTCTCTAACCTGTCAGCCGTTGCCACCAAGTTCCTATCATCGCGCTCAATAATGGACGGCATCCGGCTGAGCTTTGTAGGCTGTCTTCCACTTAACACATTTCATACCAATCTAGAATTTTACCGGTCCACCGATAATTCCGAGGAGAACTTCAAGCTTATTCGGAGTAAGGACTCCAAGCACATCTTGAAATTCTCTGAGTATCCCGTTATTTATCATATTTTTCTAGAAATTATATTGAACTATGTCCCTGTTTATCACGATTTGATATCTTGTATGCCGCCAAAGCTAGATAAATTTATTTTAGAACCAAGAGTGATCACGAGGAAGATAGCCTTCACAGATACCATTGATGACAGTGCAATCCAGCTGAGAGGTGGGCATGTCCTCGCGATACACCCACCTCGACAAAGGCCATCCTCTGCAGAGGGGGGAAGCAGAGAGCATGCTCGGAAACCAAAGGCTGCCCGCTTGAAGCATCAGCGGGTAGGCCATAGTAATCAGCCCTCCAATAGAAGTCCTGCTGTGAATAGCAGTAAATAGCAGCAAGTGCAGTACCACCGTACCCCACCACTTCTCTTCTTTACCTAAACAAGCGGGATGGATCGTTATTTACTGCACAAGGCTACAGGACAGGATTAAGTTATGAAGTATCGGCTTTCTAATGTACAATAACCTTCCATTCCCGCGTAGCGTTCTGTTTGTTAGGATTGTTTGGAACTCCTATTTCGACGAGATTACGACGCTGCGCAGAGACCCACCTATCTTGTAAGACAGACCCCACTGGCTTGACGAGGCGCATAGTCCCCTTGCAGTCCTCGGTCAGCGGGACAGGAGGCTCCTCCTCTGGCACTGGTCTATCTGTAGGCTGGCGAATTTTCTTCTCGATCCTGCCTAGCTCAGTCTCTATAGATTGATTTGCCAAATTATTGATATCGAAAGTACCTGCGTCTATGCTGGCAGCTAACTTTGAAATGTGTACTTGCTTGATGAGCTCATCGAGCACCTTAAGTTCTTGGCTCATTTCCCTTATCTGTCTTCTCTTGAGACGGCGATCTGTCTGGGTCATGTGAACCTCCTCTAGCTTGTGCTCCTCAAGAAGGCGCCTTATTTCATCAGTGAGAGGAAGGCGAGAAGCTGCTGTATCGGCGACCGAGAGAGATTGTTCAGAAGCATCGAACTCAGAGGCATGGCCATCCTGCTGGTCTGGTTGCGCTGCTTGTGCCTTATCACGTTCGATAATATATTGTAAAATTGCATTAACGTGTTCTTCATGCACCTCTTCAGGAGTGAAGCTAGACGGTCGAATGGCTTTGAGTTTCATGGCTACCTTGTCTTCAGAAACGTATTTCTTTGCGAGCTTTTCAATGACCTGCTGCTGCGACAGGTAGGTTGGGTTGTATGAAACAGCTGTTTGAGGCAGCTCAACTGCGCTAGATCCCTTGCCCTGGAGTTCATCAACGCCTGGGACACGTGCCGAAAGCTTGTGGGGGACTGGAATAGGCTTTCCTGTGAAGTCTATTGTCCGCTTCTCTGGTAGCGGCGTTCCCCAGATGTCAAAGGTCTTAACTATGCTGTCTGTCTTCTTCTGCTTGGCCTTTGTTATTCTGGCATCCAGGGTCATCTCATTCAGTAGCTGCTGATTTTCACCGGCAAGCTTAACAAGCTCTTTAATCTGCTCCTCGTCGTATTTGTTTGGCTGCGGCTCTCGAGGCTTCATGTTCACTTGCTTTGGACAAGGATTGCAGGGCTTCTTCACAACGTAATCCTCCCGAAAGAGCTCACGCTCATCACTATACTGCCTCCGTCGGCCAGTCTTGCTCTTCTTATTGACTGTTATGTGGTGAATGCGATGCTTGGACTTTCTAGACATATCAATTATTTTTAAAGTTAAACAAGGATCTCGTAGAAGACCTCAGAGCCTTGATAGCAACCTCCTGGCCATGTTTTTCAGTGCACAGTCAGAAAGGTTGTAGCTTTGTCCACAATGCGTATGGTGTTTCAAGGATATCTGAGGCACATGAATAGAGAGGTGTTCTATGGTGCAGCTAAAATATGAAATGCGCGGGCAAATCGTGATTCTGGGCCAATGGCAAAGAGGCCAAGATTGACGGTGCGCCTAGTCCAGAGGCTCAAATGAGAAATGCCATAATCTATTTTAAAACCAAATGTTGTCAGATCTATTTCTGTGAGGCGAAGCATGGCTATCGGCGGGAACAAGACAGGCAAGAAGAAGATCACGCAGCGCAAGAATCCGGACCCCTATCTCAAGAAGGAGTGGTATCCAGTCATTGCCCCCGCCCACTTCAAGTCCCGCCACATCGGCCAAACGCCAGTCACTAAGACGGCCGGCCTCAGGGTGGCCACGGACGTCATCAACCACCGCGTATACGAGGTCAACCTCGGCGACCTCAACCCTGGCGCAGAGGATCTGAATGGAAACACGAAGTTCTACCTCCAGACGCAGCTGGTCTCCGATGGCAAGTGCTTGACCAACTTCCACGGGATGGATATCACCCGCCACAAGTACGGATCTCTGTTCCGCAAGGGGTGCGACTGCATAGACGTGTTCATGGACATCCCCACGACAGATGGCTACCTGCTCCGCGTCTTCGTTATAGCGTTTACTGACCGCTTCCGCTTCCAAAGAAGGAAGAATTGCCACGTTAAGGGTCGAGTGATCAGGATGATGAGGGCCGGGATCTACGAGACTCTCCACAATGAACTAGGGAAGGTCAGCATCCCTGTGCTTGTCACCAAGCTCTCGAATTTCGAGGTCAATGCTAAGCTCACGGAGGCCTTGCAAAAGATCACCATGTGTCGCGACGTGATGATCCGCAGAGTCAAGGTTGTCAAGCGTCCTCGCAACACCATGGAGCTCTTGTCCACGATGCACGACAGCAATCAGGTCAGGAACCTGGCAGAGGGTCAGTCCATACAGCAGTAAATAACACCTAGGCGGTCTTGGTCCCTCTGGGCGCTGACTCTTTCTGGGTCTCTCCCTCGGTGGTTATTGGAATTATTTCGCAGCGGCCGCATAGAGCCTACAGATGTCCAGGACCTACCTCAGGTACGAGCCAGACCTTGCCTGTGGGGTCATAGCCACTATTGGCGGCTGTGCTGTGCATCCATCTGGTCAAAAGCTCTTCGTCGCTGCTCATGACAGCATTAACGTCTGGAGCACAACCAACGGTATGAGGCTATCGTATTATGAAAGCTGCCTTGATGCATCCATAAATGTTATCATTCACCACTCTAGAAAGAACGTCGCTGCTGTTGGAATGAGCAATGGCCGTGTCCTGGCCTTTGATACCGATCTCCCGATGGTTAATCTTACTCATAGCTTTCTGCCCTCTAACAGTGCGATTACGGCGCTTAGCTTTTCAGATGACGGGCTCTTCCTCTTCGCAGGAACCGCAAGTTCAGAAATCTTTGTACACGATTTAGTCGAAGGGAGCATCACATCCAAATTGACTGGAGGACACTCTGGCCCAATTACGCGGATAGCTACTATGGGAACTAAATATCTTCTTTCGGCGTCTCGTGATATGCTAGTTGTTCTCTGGGATTTGAGCACGCGGGCAAAGCTTCAGACTCTGGTAGAATGCAACACTGAAGTTCGTGCTCTTTGCGTGTACATTGAGAAAAAGATGAGCAGCTCTGACAGTACTCAAGCTTCCGAGTCACGGCCTAGAAAGAGAGAAAAGATTGACAAGGAACTCAGGACAGATAAGCCGGTAATACCTAATCACACTATGCAGCCTGACAGTGTCGTGGACTCACAAAGTGACGAGCCATACACATGGTTTGTTTTTGTTGGCTGTGCAGACAATTCAATTCACGCCTGGTCCACGCACGCCCTTCCTCCTATGAGGACCATCCTCGAGATTCTCTCTGAGATTACAGAGCCCAACAGTCTTGCATTTAAATACCTTGCCCTTCTGCATAGGCTTGGGCATCACCCTGATAGTCAAGACTCGAATGCGCCTGTAATTGCATCAGACCTCTCAAATGCTCTCAACGATGACCGTGCTAGAATGATTCAAAATGTAGACACGATTCAAGAGGCGAAGACTCTTCTGGATAGCGACAGAAAGCTTCTCAAGTATATGGGTCGTATGGACAAGACTTCCACGGAGCCCACTGTGTCCATTAAGCTTGTGCAAACGCAGCTAGGCGCCAAACTAGGCGAGATTGTCCTTGCGCTTCTCGTGGTGAGCACCAAAAGTGTTGAGCTGTACAAGGTAGGCTCGATGGAGCACGTGTTCAAAGCAGCAAAGCGTAGACTTCAAAAGTATGCTAGGCAAAAGGTTGAGAAACTGCTTGCTGCGTGTAAGATTGACAAGGAGGCAGCTCAATATGAGGTAGAAGACACCATGAAGCCACACTTGCTCTCAGAAAGTGCTGTTCTATTGAAGTCCACAAGCCGTGCTGTTCAGACAAATGACTTTCTTACCTCTTCACTGCTCATAAAATCACCTTACGGGGAAAAGCTGATAGATGCAGCTTGGATTCCAAAGCAGAACAGCGTATGCCTAGTTAGCTCTCTTAATTTCTTAAAAATCTTCCGTGTTTTGGTTAGAGATGCCGCCAATGCGGCGGTGAAAGGAGTTACTGCAGGTGGATCTGGAAGAGGCACTGAGGCACTTCGGGATTCCTTTTACACATATGAAGAAACGTTGGAAATAGCTCTCCAAGGCCACAGACATGTCATTCACCATGCATCTCTAAGTTTCGATGACACAATCGTTGCAACGTGTAGTCAGGGAGAGGTGAAGTTGTGGAACATCCGAAAGTTTATCTGCATTACAACTATCTCTCTTCCCAAAACTATGAAGACACCCACACGGGTAGTAATTCTTGCAGGGAATAAGTACTCTGTCGTGGCAGATAGTGGCGGAATACTGGGACTGATTAATAATATTGCTGCCGAGGTCGTTGATCTTGTGGATGCTCACGCCAAGCGCATCACAGACCTTCAGCTCTCAGGGGGACAACTAATCAGTAGCTCTGAAGACGGATTTGTTAAGTTTTGGTCCTTTGGAGTAACAGAGGACGGTGGCGTTTCTCTCAACTTAGAGCGCGAATTCGATGCTGGGCATTCTGTTGGTGTGATACGTATCGACAGTCCGCAAAAGCATATTCTTTGTGCTCTTTATGACAACACTGTACGTATCTATTTTCTAGACACACTTAGATTCAAACTGGTACTGTATGGCCATAGTATGCCCATTACATCAATGGCCCTTTCGTCAACTGCAGAAAAGCTAGTCACGTGCAGTCTGGACAAGACCATAAGAATATGGGGCCTCAACTTCGGAGAGTGTCAGAAGCTCATCCGCTTCGATTCCCCGTTCACCGACATCCAGTTCATCCGAGATACCCGGCTTGGACTAGCCGCTTCTCGAGACGGAAGACTCTCCTATTGGGACCTCGATAGCTTCCTTTTGATTTCAATCTTGGGAGAGGGTAGATCTGGCTCCTATTTTTCCAGAGGACACTTTGGCGAGTGCACATCCCTATGTGTCAGCAGTGCAGGACGCTTTGTCATTTCTGTAGGACACGATAAAGCAATTCGACAGTGGATACAAACAGATGATCTTATTAACGTCCGGCTAGAAGAGCAGAAGCGGTTGCATGAAGCCATGACAAAGGAGGAGGAGAAGACCCTAGGTTGGGAAGATCCCAGCAAATTACAAGCATCGCGTGACGGGAAGAATGCAGGAGACATCCTCATGGAAGCGGTAATGCTTGTAAGCAACGAGCTGGCTTCTAGGCCCGAGTCCAAATCTTGTAACGATCCCACTAGTCACCTGGCAACGTACGGAAAGCCTCCTCTAGAATATCTTCTATCCGTTATACGGACTGAGATTAGGCACGAGGTTCTTTTGGATGCTCTGTCGAGCATAACAGTGGAGTCTGCACGAACCCTTTTAGATCTCCTTTCGCAAATGCTCGATCAGAAGTATCAACCAGCAGACTTTATAGTTCGATGCGCCACATTCCTAATCACCCGTTACTTTGCTAAGGCCGCTAACACCCAGGGGCTTGCCGTGCTGATCAGGAAGGCGCAGAAACTCATCCATGAAACTCTCAGAAAACAGGAGGAAGAGGCGCGGACCGCCCTGGGATGCCTGGAGATCATGCGCTCCCTCGAAGAGGGACTAACCCAGTAAATAAGCTAACAAATGCCACGACCACTGCCAGACACGGTTTACTCCGAACCACCTAAAATCCGAGCTTCTGGCGGATCAAGAGGTTGTTGGGGCCGAGGCGGCGCCCGTTGTGTATGAGGGTATCATCCACGAAGTTCTTGTTATAGAGCAGACGCTTGTATGCACGCCCACGAGGCGGGCGGGGCTTCTCCTTCTTCTCCTTCTTCGGAGTGCACTTGCGGACCTTTCCGGCGCTGGTAAGACCACCGTGGGCACGAGCCATCGATTCAAAAAAATGCAGGAGGCCCAATTTTGATTCAAAACTGTTAACAAGAGTACAAGAAAAAAGAGCTGAAATATTACATTATTACCTGAATTCTTTCGCTCATAAAATGCCACCCGCCGACTCCAATGCAACGGCACAGAAGCGGCTCATCTTGGACTACAAGGCGATAGCGTCTTCACCACCTGAGAACATAATTGCAAGCCCTTATAAAGACGACCTTTTCCGGTGGGCAGCAATCATAATAGGCCCCTCTCAAACTCCTTGGGAGGGAGCCGTCATCCGCCTGGAGCTTAAGTTCACGAGTGAGTATCCCACCAAGCCGCCTGCTGTCAAGGTCCTGACAAAGATGTTCCACCCTAATATTTTCAATAACGGAAACATCTGTCTTGATCTACTCTCCACCAAGTGGACCCCTGCGCTAGGTGTTTCGGCTATCCTTCTCTCCATTCAGTCTCTTCTTACGGATCCCAATCCGATGTCTCCGGCCAACAACGAGGCCGCAGCACTCTTTGTTAATGATAGACACACGTACAATTTGCGCGTTTCGATGTGCACGCGTAACAGCTGGGAAGATGTCAAGGAAGAACCATATACTGAACTCTTGCGGACGATCATTGATGAAGGAGAGGATGACGAGCAGGGACAGGAGGAAGAAGAGGAAGGGGAGCTGCATGAATTCCAGCGATCAGTGAAGTGAATGGTCTACTCTTCGCTGTCAATCATAAACTGATCATATGCAGCGAGGGAGAAGGAGGCCCAGGTGCTCGACATTGTATGTGCAATTCGGAGTGGTCGCTTAACCCTAACATCCCCGCAGAGATTGCCTATGTAGGGATCCCTCTGCTCGAAGTATATGAAGCGCTTGACGCTAAACATGGCATTGAAGATATTATATGGCATGGCACAACGGAGTATTTGCTCAAAGGAAAAGGCAAGGTCTGTGACACGCTCTGTGCTAGATATGTTCCTAGGCACATTATCAAAGTGAGAGAAATGGTTAGACACGGGTTTGTGGCGTGCGAGGGACTCTCCATATGTGTCGGGGTCTTCATAGTCATCTGGCACAAAACAGATCATGTCAATCAGTTGAGATATAACCTCGTCCACAGCCAAATCAATTCCATAGCAGGACCACTGCTCTGCTTGCTTGATCAGACATACCTTGATATCATCGACAGATAGCAATCCGTCGTGATCTCCGTCTGCTAGATTGAAAAAGTATCGTATAGCAGGATATGAGTCTATAGCACACTCCGCCAGCATGAAGACCGTAAAGTCTACAAGGGAGAGGGCTGCTTCATTTGGGTAACGGTTGTACAGGGGCCTTCCTTGGCCGTTAAGAAGCCTGTTGACGAATCTTTTTGAATATGTCTCTCCATTGTACTGTAGCATAAGTGCTTCTGTGATCTTTCCCTTTATGTCGTTGTCGCTGTTTTTAACAAAGGTGCAGTATATTACATAGAATGCTTCATATCCCAGTGGCCCTGTGTCCCCCACGATACTCTCCGCACCCTGTGCTGACCACAGGTACGACAGAAGAGAAATGCCGCGACGGAGGTACGTCGTATCATATACAAGATGCCATCTGCCTTCTAAATCCGCATCAAAAAAGATCCGAGTCGCAGCGATGGTAGCAAATGTGCACTTGTAGGTGCAGGGTTCTACAAATGCATATGCACTGTGTGATGCCAGAACATTCAACAGTATATGTGCTAGCCTAGCCAAGGAAATACAGTTGCCCTGGTCTTCTGTGTCTGAAAACAAGGCATAGAATCGCTCCTCATAGGTTTTGCCCCTGCAGTGCGTCATGTACGCACTAACGATGAGACTAGTCGACAACGAATCTGGAAGGTGAAGTATGTGCTGCTCCGACAACTCACTTACGTCTGGTGGTGGGTCTTTAGAATAAATAGCATGAAACAATGATGTGGCCAAGACTCGCGGCATCCCAAAGAGCTCCTCACACAGAAAGTCAGCAATAGAGACGGAAGAGCTTTCATCATAGACGCTATTTGCCCCATAAAAAGTCGAGTGTCGTGAAAGGTGATTGCCATATGTCTCCTGCATCTGCATTCGTGTGCTGTATGCAACCAGAGGGATGGTATCCTTAAGTGCTACCCCTATTCTGTATCGGTTTGTAATGCTCTTTATTATACGCTCCTCATACTCTGTGATGGGCTCTGGAATAGGGCTTATGGGTACCTGCCCATATAGTGTAATCTTCCACTGCTTGAGTGGAATGGTGATGGGGTTAGAATCTCCATTCGTGGATACGCCAGACGATGCTCTCTGTACCTCTTGTTCTTGGTATATGCTGCTCGTGGACTGAAAAAAAGTGTTACCAAAAGTTTGTAAATCTTGATGGCACGCGCCCCGAATTGAGGGTGATGGTCTTTCTATGTGTGGTATTCCGGACGGGGCCCGAGAATGCCGGGGTGAAGGCAGTGTTGGGGATTGTATTGGTGTCTGATCCCTTTGACTAGAGGAGGGGTAAGTTAGGAGCTCCAGGAACTCTGTCTCTGAGGTTATAAATTCAAATATGAGGTTATCCAGATGCCGCGTCAGCGTGGGTCCACGCTCAACCTGCAAAAAGTCTATGCCTTCTAAATCGGGGAGCATTGGAAATTTTGGCTCGCGTAGTTTACTAAGTGAATCTACTGTGGAGGTGGAGGGAGTGCCGGCGCGTCTGGATGCATTGCTCTGTAGTATTCATAGTTATCCATGGCCAGCACGTGCTCCCAGCCGCCGGGTCTGATCACATAAACGTTGAGCATGCCTCCAGACATCGCATCTCTGGATACTGCGTGGTAGATTGCCTTCTTCCCCAAAGCTATCGCCTGCTCTTCTGTCATTTCAAAGTCGTACTCCGTGTCCACGATCCCAAAGGCAAACGTCGACCCGGAGCCAGCGCCATAGAGGTACCCGCCTATGCGCGTTCCTTCACTATCACAATAGTATATGCACGGGTGGTTTGTGGAATCAAATCCACTGATCATTGCGCCGACAGACATGTCAGCACCGCTCTGAGAATGAAGGGTGCTGATAAAGAGCTTTGATGCAGACGACGCATAGATCCGTTCGCCATTTTCAAGCTCGTACAACCTACACTTTCTCCCGAGATCGCGCTCCCAGAACTGGCAATCTCCAGCAACACCGGCGATGGTGCCAAGGATATGCGGGGTAATCTCGATGACCTTCTGGACAACGCCACTTGATACAAACTGGCCCTGCGTGGATCGAGAATCTACAGCCAAGAGAATGCCTCCACGGAAACAAAACGCGATAGTGGTGGTGCCGTGATTGGGATGAAATCGTCTCACAATATCTCCCGATCCATGTGTTCTAATTAACGACTCAGACAGGTTATCTCCAGTCTCCGAGGCAGCGGAAATACGCTTCATGAATGCCTTTGGGTGCTCTCCATTGGGGGGTACGACAAGGGCATCCCACTGCGAGATTGGGACATATTCCCGTTCGGGGCGCTGATGAAGAAAAGGTGTTCTCCTGTTGAACTGCACGACCTCGCCAGTAGGTAGCATTGGAAATGTTTTTTGGAGAGCTGGCTGTCTTCTGTACCCTTCCAAGAGCCCCTCAACGTAGTCAGTTGTTCTGAGAAACCTGCAACAATTTACTGAAAGAAGGGCCCAGCCGGTCTCAGTTGCTGATAATGTTACCCGCTCTATCCTTTAAGATGCCTGTCAGCTTCTTTGCAGACTCGATAATGCTATTGTATGCTAATTCAGATTCACGAATGGTCTTCTCGTATTCTGCACGGGCCTGGGTCTTTTGGATGAGGGCTGCATCAAGCTCTTTATAGCGGTTCTGCAATGCAGCTAAATCACGCTCGATCTTTGATTTGTCCTCCTGGTGGCTGTGGATCTCTCGGTCAAGCGTAGCCTTCGCCTCCTTCAGAGACTCTATGAGTTTGACTAGGTCATTGTTGTACGTCTGGAGACTCGCTGCCTGAGTAGCCATTTTTTCAACCTGATTTTGCGCCCACCAGGTTTTAATAAATGACAAGTTTTTATAAAATTAATCCTCGTTTAATATAACATGCATCCTGTGTTTTAGAATTTCAAGCCGGACAAATTTAAATGTCTGACGACGAATCGATAGACCGCCACGTCCTCCGCAAATATGAGATAATCCACCGCGTCGGGAAGGGGGCCTATGGGGTTGTCTGGAAGGCGGTGAACAGGAAAACTAACGAGACCGTAGCCCTAAAGAAGATATTTCAAGCCTTCCAAAACGACACCGATGCCCAGCGCACCTTCCGTGAGATAATGTTCCTCCAGGAGCTAGATCACGATAACATAATTCGTCTCTTCAACGTGCTGAAGGCCGAGAACGACAAAGACATCTACCTGGTATTTGAGTTTCTGGACAGTGATCTGCACCAGGTGATCAAGTCCAATATCCTCGAGGACATTCACAAGCGCTACATAATCTATCAGTGTGTTAAGGCGCTCAAGTACCTTCACTCTGCCGAGATACTCCATCGTGATCTTAAGCCTTCTAACCTCCTACTCAACTCTGAGTGCCACATGAAGATGGCGGATTTCGGCTTAGCAAGGTCGATTGCTGCGCTTTCTGAGCCAAGCTCTGCGACCAACCCAATTCTTACTGACTATGTTGCAACGCGCTGGTACAGGTCCCCCGAGATTCTTCTGGGTTGTACAAGGTATACGAAGGGCGTCGACATGTGGGCTATCGGCTGCATCCTTGGGGAGATGCTTGGAGGGTCTCCCATGTTTCCAGGATCGTCTACCATGAACCAGCTTGACAAGATAATGGAGGTCACTGGAAGGCCGACACCGGAAGACATTGAGGCGACCGAGTCTCCGTTTGCGTCCATGATGCTGGACAGCCTTCAACCAAAGACTGGAAAGGCTCTCTCGGAGATCTACCCCAATGCCCCTGCTGATGCTTTGGACCTTCTCAAGAAGCTACTCCAGTTCAATCCCAACAAGCGACTGACCGCAGAGCAAGCCCTGGAGCACCCTTACCTGTCAAAGTTCCATGATCCTGCTACGGAGCCCAGTGCCCCTGGCCCTATTAAGATAAGTATAGACGACGATGATAAGAGGAGCGTTAGCGAGTATCGTGATTTACTTTACTCTGAGATTCTCAGGAAAAAGAAGGAGATCCGCTCCAAGAGTCTAAAGGAAGACGAGTGATCTGCTGGTCGCTTTCTTTCCTAGTGCGTCTATCTATTCTGTAAACAGATATTCAATGCATGCCTGCACAGCAAGCATCTTTTCAGAGAGGTTTTCCTCCTGGGAAGCGCGAGATGCCTGGAGCACCTCAAGAGGTGACTGGCCGGCAGGATTTCTAGAGTTGCCCAGATACGGCTTCAGGAGTTTTACACACTCCAAGTGCCCACTCCATGCAGCCATAACAAGGGCATTGATTCCCTCTCCTCCGCCATACTCCACGTCTGTAAATGCGTTAAGATTATCCTTGTCTTCCAGAAGCAGGCGTACGCATTCTACATGACCCTCCTGAGCGGCAAACATCAGAGGTGTCATGTTTCCCCTTCTTACTATACCTTTTTCATAGGGAAGAAGACTTCTAACACAATCAGCATGCCCGCTATCTGCCGCCATCATGAGAGCTGTCCAGCCATAATTGTCGGTTGCGCGGGCTTCCTTGAGAAGCAGATCGACACAGGCTAAGTGTCCATTGGAGGCAGCAAGCATGAGAGCAGTGTAACCCATAGTGGTCTGCTCCTTGGCCTCGTGTAAGTAATGAGACACAGACCTTGCATCTCCAATGGCCGCGTAGAGCATCAGGTTAGTGAATCCGTTGATCCCTACCTCCGGAATAAACCAGTCTGCACCGGCCCCACGGGAGCTGCTACTCATAGCACAGAGAGATAGGTGGCTGATGTGCTTATTTAGAAAGACGCCAACTTCACAAAGGAGCAGTTCCAGATTATCGTGGCACTCACCTGCAAGCATGGCAGCGAGAGACGTGCGAAAAGGATTGTCTCTCATAACTTGCCGGCTGTGGCCACCGAACACCTCAACATTAGTACGATCACTGCACCCAGCAGCTGCATGCAACGTAACAAGGCCTGGAGACGGCGGGGTAACTGAGTCTATCCTACAGGGTGTCATCCAGACCTTGCACCGGTGAGTGCGGACAAAGCGACAAAGTAGCGCCATGATGGTTGCATTGTTATGTGCAGCGGCCAAATCCAGGGCCGTCTCGCCGAGGGCATTGGGGGTCTCTAAAAAGTCTGTTCTATGCGAGTTCTGCTGAAGAATAGCATCAATCACAGCATAGTTATTTCCTTTTATTTCACGAAACAGCGCATTTGTTTCTTTATATAACTGTAGCGTTGACTCTGCTGCAGCATTAGCCTCGTCGGCGAGAATGGAAATACCTTCCAGCTTAGGATCAACAGCCTCCTGTCTCAGCCGTGCTAGAAAGCTACTCCACTGCTGAGAATACTTGGCGCAAGCCTGCATTTCACTGCCCGCACGAAGATCAAGAAGGCTCATTGCATTAAGTACTTGCAAGACGCGCCATACATCGTCCTGAGCTGTAAGAAAGGTTGCCACAGAAGAGATATAAGAAGCACCCGTAGATGGCCTTGATGACCCAATGGCTGTGGCGGTGTATGGCAGGCCAAACCCCAATTGCAGCTGGAATCCAGCATAGACAGAAATGGTATCTGCGCCCAATGACAGCAGTAGCCCTAATGAAACTCGTGGATCAATGGCATACAAATCTACCAGTGCTTTGAGCAACTGCGATGCAACCTTCCAGAGCACAGACTCGTGAAATGAAACGCCGGAATTTTTATGACGTCGGATGTATTGCGAAAGAGACCGCGTGCTTGCTAGCCCCTGTTCTACGATAAGGTAGTCATTCTCCAGGTAACATCTATATAAGGGTGGGAGGGAAGTCAAAAGGCACTCACCCGTTTCATCCGCCTCAAGATTGCTCTTTGTGAGGAGCAGCGAAGAAGACAGTGCCTTGTACAAGTCATAGAGAGAGGAGAGACTGTGACCACAAGCCTCTGCATCCTTTGCAGAGATGTAACGAACCGCTAGAAGAGCGCCGTCTTCATCACGCTGCGCCTTATAGCTTATCCCCAGAAAGTCAGTTGCAAGTGGAGTTATGCCGGTGTAGCGCAGTGGAGAGATAAGAGTCGGTCCCGCCGCCATCCACCGATTTATTTTCTTAGCCCGAAAGATAGCGCATTTACTACCTGCAGGTGGAAGTCCAGGACGGTCGAAACAACGCGGCAGAAAAAGCAGTCATCAAAGGCCTGCTCAATCATCGTCGGGAAGAGGCACATTATTGACGGCCTCGAGATCCTTGTTAATCTGCTCTCGGGTGGCGGCGTCCATACCAATGTCGGCTGGCAGGAGAGCAGGTGCCTGGGAGAACTGGATCGTTGGGTCATTCAGGAGGGTGCGAAGGATGCTCAGAATCGGAAGCTCATAGTTAAAGTTATCCTTTGCTGAAATTTCCACATAGGGGATGTTCTTTGAGCGGTGGAACTTAACTGTCTGGGTGCGGATCTCTCTGTCCTTGACATCGCACTTGTTTCCGACGAGGACGATTGCCAGAGGCTTCTCCTCTCCCGTGCTCGCGTCGCGACGGGTGGGGCAGATGCGGAAGACATCCCTGTACCAGCTCTCCACGTTCTTGTAGGTAACTCTGTTGGTGACATCGAAGAAGAGAAGGCATGCATCAGAGTCGACATAGTAGCCGTCGCGGAGGCCGCCGAATTTCTCCTGCCCTGCAGTGTCGTGCACATTCAGCAGGACCTCGCGCCCGTTGGGACAGGACTGACCGGCCACGTAGAAGGGAAGCTGTCGAATCTCAACCCCAATCGTTGAAATGTACTGCTTTCGAAATTCGCCCGTTATGTGCCTCGTTACAAACGTTGTCTTCCCAGTGGCCCCGTCGCCCACCAAAATTACCTTGAAGCTGATTGGGTCAGACATGCTACTCTCGGTTCCTGGGTTAAAGTTTTAATTTCGATTTAATTTATTTTACGGCTATCACCTCCTTGACAACTTTTTCTGTAAACGTGGCAATATAAACTATAATCTTGAATCCAAGGCATCTCGCCAAACCCAGCTGGGACAGAACATCAGATGAAGGTAAAGACCCCCGCGTGGATAGCATCTGTCATTGAAGCGGCTCAGACGGCGCACTTCTATATCATTGCCCAGCCGGGCCCTCTTGTGTTTGTGTTGAGGGGGCGCGACGATGATAGCACAGTGAAGGTCTCGCTGGGATCTCCCCATGTCTGTTCATGCGAAAGCGGCTCCCACGCTAATTATTGTATACATATTTCGTTCCTGTTGCAACGGAAGTACCACCTGCCCCCCGATCACCTGTGGACTGCACAAACATCCCTTACAAATGCAGATATCGAGTCTCTGCTGCAACTGCGGCATCTTGCTGCTAAGAAGGTCCATCGTCCAACGCACCAAACACCAGCAGAAGACCAGCAGGCACAGCAAACCGCGGCTGTTCCGCGGCTCACACGGTCACGGAACCCTATAACAGAGTTAGACTCCTGTCCCATTTGTCTAGACGGGTTTATGGAAAGTGATGAAGAGGAAATTAACTATGCAGTATTGCCATTTTGCTCTAACTGCGGCAACTCGCTTCATTCACGATGTATTCAGCTCTTTCATCAACACGCTCGGCAAACAAAAGCAAAGGAAGTATGTCCATACTGCAGATCTCCATACGAGGATGGGCGAAAGTACTATCCATCAACAGGGTCTAGCGCTGAAAAGGCTGTGAAGACTGAGAAATCTTCAAAAGTGTGCTCACGGTGCGAAATCAAATTAGAGTCAGCAGGGATAAAGCGTGTGTTCGGACCCGAGCAATACTGCTCCGCTTGCTTTATCACATTGACCTCCGGGATGTACAAAAAGAAGAATAGGCGAATACTGATTCGAACTAAGCATGAAGACCCTAATGCCGCCAGGGAGCGCTCCCTTGCACTATACAGGCGCTTTGCGTCCATGCAATACCGTGAGATCACCTCCGAGGATTATCATCTCCTGCTCGAACTTGAAAATCCATACACGATGGATGTAAGCAAGAAGCCCCAACGATTTCCTTCCTACCTTGTATGGGATTGTTTTAAGCAGAAAGCATGCAAGGATATTGCGCATGACACAGAAGGCTGTGCCTGTTTCCTTTGTGGGCATTATTATCCTACACTCTCTAATCTTCTGACAAAAAGAGATTGTCACCTACCAAGTGTAACAGTAGAGAACAATGCTAACGATAAGCCTGCTGTGCGTCTCAACTTCGACTCTATGGCTACCCTGCTACTTGAGCAAGGGGAGCAGCTCGTTTCCAATGCTTCCTTGCAGGAGCTAGAAGGAAGAAATGTGTACCTGGACACTCCATGCACGCATGCAGTCCACAAACTATGCGCGATACTAGGGTCCCTCTTATGCAAACCAGAAGCTGTGTTTACCACTTTAGATAGACAGGAATCTTGTGAGTTATCTGATTATAAACTTAAAATGTTTCCAGATTATTGTATCGCATGCAAAACCCCGTATCTCAGTGAGTGGGTCAGGGGATCCAAACTGGCCCCTAAACAGCTGCAAGCGGCCCACCTACCGAAAAACTCTTCTGAAAAACAGGCTGCCCGCAAACTCCATTTCGAGGATCAGCTGCCCGGAATCACTATTGACAAGGATACTCTCAGCGTCACAGGCCTTCCCCTCTCCAGTCGCCCAAGTACTGAAATTTCACGAACCACATCCCAGAAGAAACCCTCCGAGCCGGCAAGGTCTAGGTCACTTGCAGTCAAGCCGCTAAGGAAAAGTTCCCGCAATTCTCTATCAACAAATGTGCTTGGCGAGCAATCATCTTTATCGATGTACAAGAGTTCTCTTTGTGATCCATTGGCTACAGGCATGGTTATTAAACCAGCCACATAACCTAGCAGCGTGGATGGTCTCTATCACGGAGCTGCACTGGGAAGAGAAATCCAGACTAACTTCCCTTTTAGCATGTCTTTTAGTATGATTCTTGCTATACGGGCACGGTCAGTCCCGCCGTAAGACTGCATGTACCCATGGCGCAAGGCCAGGGCATCACATATCTGCTCGGCTGTGGCGTACACCTCTGCAGGATTGACGCCGACCGGTAGCTGGGCGACGCTAAACTTATCCACATCTTTGATTTGTACATTATACACCTTTTCAAAGACGCGCTTGGGTATTCTCGCTGCGACCAATCTGATCGGTGCCATGTAATCCCTTTCGTTGTCTATTGATAGGATGCCATTGCAGAGCAGATCGCTACGACAGTGCGTGAATGATGGGAAAATCAATCCAGGGCAATCGCAAAGCGTGATGGTCGGGCTCAAGACGATAGTTTGGAAATGCTTAGTTTTCCCGGGCGTTGCCGCTACAGCGGTCCTTACGCCTGTCTCAATTGCAATGACATTAATCAGGCTGGACTTTCCCACGTTGGGGTATCCAGCCATTCCGATTGTGATGGTATCAGAGTCTCTTTTTGCACAGTTTAGCCTAACCCCCTCCCTTCGAACCTCCTCTGAGAGTAAATTTATTACCACAATAAGCTCGTCACGCGTGAGTATTCTAGAGGACTTTAGTAAGTTGAGATCAGCGGGAGATGATATCCCGGCACCAGTATCAAGATATTTAAAGGGAAGAGGCTCATCGGTATCGTCGCGACTAATGATGAGGTCATACTCCAGTTTGATCCTCTCTAATACGTCCTCAGAGACGGGCTTTACTCGCTTCCCTTTTTTCTTTCGTGGCTGATCTGCGTCGTGGTCGGGAAGATCAGCCTCTTCTTTCTCAGAGATATCTGCTACAGAATTCTCGGATGGCACGTCTTCTTCGAGGTCGTTTTCAAGCCGCTGCACTGCGTCCTTATAGCTACAAACTCCCGCTCTAATAAGAGCCTCCTGCTCTTTGAGGTCTCGTTCATGCTTATTTATCTGGTATGCTATAAGCTTGATGAGGGCTTCCTCACGAAGAGCGGAAAAGTATACGTGCTCAATACGATTTGCTGCAAAATACTGCGTCCATATCTTTCTTGCTTCTAGAGGAACAAGGTCTGCCTTATTTAAAAGCAAAACACTCCTCTTATATGTTTTCTGCCGCAACCCAATCTCCTTCATGTACTGCACAAGGTCTGACGAGCGGAACAACAAAGGGTTCCTACAATCAACAACCTGAAATAGAATATCGGACCGCTCCACAACACGCCAAAGCTGTCGCCAAATATCAAGATTTTTCTCAAAAGGGGTGACCGTAACAACTCGCTCCTGCTCAAGTTTCGCAAGCTCTGAACGCCAAATGTAAAAGGCTTCTTGCTCGCGAGACTGCAGCTCCTCTTTAGACATACCGACGCACCAGGCCGGGCGACGTGGTATGCGCAACAGATTTTTTCGTGTGGCGATATACGAAAGCTGAGAGGTTGTGGGGGAAACTTGCAGTTCAGCCTGGAAGTTCTGTTCGTGCAAGAGTGTAGCTTCCTGCTTCATAGTGAACTCTCGGCCTTCGGCAACAGCTCGGGCTATGATAGCTTCCAGATCGCATTCTTCGACAACACTGCGAATAGTGGGCCCATGAATTTGCTTGAACGTTTCAGCAGCGGGATTTGCAGATTGCATGTGTGCCTGCTGTTCCCGCTTATCTCGTTGTCTTGCATTCTCTAGTGCATGCCCGAGTCCGCTATTTTTGTCCAGCTTTTGGGCACCGGTGAATTTTCGTGCTGTGCGGTGCTTGCCCATCGAGGAATTATTTATAATAATGATTATTTCACTATCGGGTCGCTTACATCGCTTACTAACGCCGTAATATTTGTGCCAGTACTCTATACTATCTGCTACTATGCAGCTGTGTAAGCAGAGTTACGCCTTTGTCAGCCCTTACCAATTCTCTGCACGAGAACGGTTGATGGACTGCTCCACAGATGTACGATTCATTTACAGGGAACTTTCTGAGATTCTGGTAGCGAGATCCATGCGTGGATGGCCCACATAGTGCAAGCTCTACCACTGGCCACAAACACTTCTATGGTTACGCGCCAAGGGGCCTACTCAGAGCCAGTACGGCCACCAAGTGCAGAATCCATCAGCATAGCCATTCACTACCTAAGTCTACATCTACGCTTTGCCCCGGCAGATGAACCACCAACAAAGGAAGCCAACGAGGCCCCCGACTACGACAATCACAGCAACGGAGATGCCCGCTATGGCCCCTGTGCTGAGGCCGCTCTTGTTCGTGCTACTCCCTCCACTGCTGCCATCCATCTTCACATAGCAGGTGACAGGTCCCTGATTAGTAGACGGGGGAGCACAACTCACGCAATCGGTTACGCCAGTAATTTGGCCGTCACTAGCATCACACTTCACACACTTTGTTCCAGACTTATAGTACCCAGAGAAGCAAGTTTGACACTGCTGTGTCTGTCCTGCTGCGCACGTCTTGCAGGTGGAGTCGCACAGCGGGCACACTCCAGTCCCTCCGTCTGGGGTTTGTCCGTTAGCACACGTTTGGCATTTCCCTCCATTGTCAGTTGTGCAGATGCTTTTCCCGGGGAGCCTGTCAGTCTTGTAGCATCCGCCCTCCTGGATGAAGTATCCGGCGGCGCAGGCCGTGCAGGCACCGTTAGCGGCAGTGGTGCAGAACAGAGTCCTGGCCGCATTGCTTGTGCAGACGCCATTGAGCGGCACGTTGCTCCCCTTGCACTTCGAGCAGTACTTGGTACCTCCAATTGTTAGGCCGCACGTCTCGCACTCCGGGCCTTCCACGCATTGCTCCACGCACTGGCCGCCCTCATTAAGCTTGCTCTCGTCGGCGTACCTCAGCATCTTCCCGGCGGGACAGGCCGTGCACTTGGAAGCGCCGGCCCCGCTGCACTCCGCACAGGAGGAGTCGCAGGGCGCGCACGTTTGCCCAACCGCGTACGACCCGGCCGGACAAGACGTCAAGCAAGCGTTCTTCTCTGGAGTGAGGAAGTAGTTACTTTGGCACTTTGTGCACTTTGTGTTGTCGCCAGAGACGCACTGGGCGCAGTTTGCGACTCCGCAGTTGGACGCAGGGCTCTGGTTGCACTGCTTTGTGTTTTCGTCGAGGTCGAAGCCAGGGCTACACGTCTCGCACTTTGTGTTGTCGCCAGAGACGCACTGGGCGCAGTTTGCGACTCCGCAGTTGGACGCAGGGCTCTGGTTGCACTGCTTTGTGTTTTCGTCGAGGTCGAAGCCAGGGCTACACGTCTCGCACTTTGTGTTGTCGCCAGAGACGCACTGGGCGCAGTTTGCGACTCCGCAGTTGGACGCGGGCCTCTGGTTGCACTGCGTCTTGTCGTTGCTGAGGTCGAAGCCAGGGCTACACGTCTCGCACTTTGTGTTGTCGCCAGAGACGCACTGGGCGCAGTTTGCGACTCCGCAGTTGGACGCGGGCCTCTGGTTGCACTGCGTCTTGTCGTTGCTGAGGTCGAAGCCAGGGCTACACGTCTCGCACTTTGTGTTGTCGCCAGAGACGCACTGGGCGCAGTTTGCGACTCCGCAGTTGGACGCGGGCCTCTGGTTGCACTGCGTCTTGTCGTTGCTGAGGTCGAAGCCAGGGCTACACGTCTCGCACTTTGTGTTGTCGCCAGAGACGCACTGGGCGCAGTTTGCGACTCCGCAGTCGGATGTGGGTTGTTTAGTGCGTTGCGCGGTGAAGGCGCTCATCAAAAAGCAGAGAACTAGTAGCAACATTGCGGCCCTGCTAGATCTATTAGTCATGCGTGTTGGTGTTAGTGACAGTGCTGATGGCCAATACGATCACATCTGCTAGCCTTCTACCATTGCTGGACCATCTGGATAGCCTCATTGACCTTCCATGTCAGGAAGCAACGTGTCCGCACCTTGATGGTAGACCCTCACCTGTGTAGTCCTCCAGCGCTCCACAAAGGACGTGGTGCCACATGGCGTGCCTGCATACGTCCCCAGATGCTTGCGCAGAGTAGCAAGCTGTCTATTCTGCTAGTTGTAAGTAGTGGATAGAGCTATATGGACCATCTAATAATGCAAGAGATTGACATACTATGCCAATAGAGAGACGCACCCTACTTTACTAGTATACGGCACAGAGCTGTATGCATCCTACGCAGTGCACAGAACAAGGCTAATATCGCTGATGGGGACAGGCAATGCAAGGGCCTATCTGTCTTAGAGGAGTAAATCAAGCTAATAGTTGCTTTGTCGGCCTGCTAAAACGGATTATCCCAGCGAGATCCCCTTCCACTGAGTCATCCGGTGTGCTTCAACAAATGCTTACGCGGGTCCACCGCCGCCCTGCACGCATGCCTCAGTGCATGCGGACGGGGAGGCCCCGGAGGCGGGCGACGCGGCGCGAGAGCAGGGCGACCTCGGCGTCGAGCTCGCAGACCTGGGCCCGGCGGCGGCGGATGAGCGCGTCGGCCTCGAAGGGCGAGAGGCCCAGGGCGGTCCCGGCCGGGAAGAGCGCCTGCCAGCGGGCCCCGGGGGAGGGCGGCATCGGGCGCTGCTGCGGGGCGTCCGGGGACGGGGGCGGGGCCGGCGCCTCCCGGAGCCCGGCGAGCACGGACAGGGCGTCGCGCGCGAACTCGTGCCCGAGGCGCTCCGGGGGCGGGACGTTCGGGTAGCCGGCGTCCGTGCAGCGGCGGAGCAGGTGCAGCAGCCCGCGCACCTCCCCGAGGCCCCCCGGGCCGGCCGCGCACCGGGCGAGGGCGTCGGCGAGCTCCAGGTACGCCTGCTCGGCGCTGGCCATCGCTGTTTAATAAATGAGTGTGGCCGGGCCCCTGCGCCGGGCTGGCGCTCGGGGGCGTCGGCGGGCTCTGGGAGGGCCGACTCTGCCCCGGGCCCCGGAGCCTTAAGTGCCCTCCGCGGGCAAGGACTGCCCGAAATTATTCGGGGAAGGCGTTTACAGGCGGTCCCCCTGGTCCTCCTCCAGGACGACGGCGGAGACGCCCCCGAACTGCTGGCAGAACGCGAGCATGTGGTAGAGGAGGGGGATCTCGTTGTTGATCGCGTCGGGCGACAGGCCGAGGGTCCGGATCAGGTACTCCCGGCTGACGGGGAGCGTCGGGATCCCCGCCTCGACCTCGAGGGTGCCGGCGGTGGAGTGGAGGCCCATGAAGCGGAAGAACTCCGTGATGAGCTCCAGGATCACGTACGTCTCGCCCTCGGGCTGCGGGGGCGGGCTGGCCTTGTGGCCCTCGAGCGCGCGGAGGACGGACTCGCGGACCTTCGCCTGCAGGACCGCGAGCTCGCCCCGCTGCTTCATGTTCTGGAGGATGATGCTCTTGATCTCGTCCATGGCCCGGGTCTTTATTTTTATCCCGGCCCGGGGCTGCCCGCGGGCTGCACTTTCGGGGCTTAGCTATGCCTACTGATGAAGATAAAGCTGCACTTGACGGATTAGAACACGGACCAGCCGTGACCATGGCTCATATCTCAAAAGACCTGCTCTAACTTTTAGCAGAGCTTAGGGCGCTCTATGACGGCACTACACAAGCCCATATGTCGCAGTCAAAGAGCACAATGGACAGCAATGAGTACTCCATCTTCAATGGAACTGTACCGACAAAAAGAGCAAGAAGCAAAAAGTAACGTTCTGAAGTGTGCAACAGATTGTCTGTAAACAAACTATTTCGACTTCTTGGGAAGGTGTCAAGAAATGCGTCAGAAGGTGGGATTAGCCGTTTAAGCGGGCATGCGGCAATTTGACCAGTTAGGCCTCTGGTACAAAAATTCGATTGCACTCTATTTCAATGTGCAGGCATCAGAAATTTGTTGGTAAGATGCGCAGAAACACTAGTGAGGCTAGAATGGCGTGGAGATATCTCACTACCTGCTCGAGTTTAAAGGCAGCACGGCTATGGCACAATAGCATATGACTATCTGACTCTCGGCGTTTCTATACTCTACGTTGGGAAAATTAATAATAAATCTCCGCCAACCATCGGATAGCATGTACATTTTTCTAGGTCTAGTTTTGTCATCTATCGGTCTTTTGTGTGTGGATACTGACAATGGGACCCCCCTCTTTGAAGACGGTATCGATTCTAAAAACCCCCGTGTTGAGGCCCCCATGTTGATAACATGCAAATCTGATGCTAATCGGCGGAGATGCGCATTTGGAATGTGTCTGAACCTGGGTCCTGCAGAACTGTGCCTCAAATGCACTCCGGGGCTCCTTCTTATTGATGGGGCGTGTGTGGAGCAAGATAGTCATGAGGTTGGCTCTGCTGGCTGTGAGGTTGACCCAGACTCTTACGCGTGTCTCTCCTGCAGTTCTTCAGGGTACCACGTTTACAGTGGAGGCTGCTTTAGTGCTGCTTCAGGAGTTCTTGAGCTTGTGGAGCCTTCAAGAGATAGTACACTTACGTGTGAGGAGGTTATCTCTTTTAATATGTTTCATACTGCTCCTGGCAAGTGCAAGCAGAAACACTGCAACGTTGACTTGGGAGGCAACAAGTACTGCTCACGTTGCTCGGTAAAGTCTGAGTATCTTGTTGACGGAAAGTGTCTGTCGTCAACGGATAATAACGCATGCACATCCCAGGACTATCCAGATGGTACTTGTAAGTTATGTGGAAATGGGTACTTCCTTTACAAGGGTGGATGCTATTCAATCACTCACGGCGCGCCAGGAAATCTTATATGCAAAGAAGTAGACACTATCCCCGGTGTTTGTAAGCTTTGTCAAGATGGCTTCTTTCGTCTCCCTGAGCCCGCAGCCAATAGGCAGTCCTGCATGCTTTGCAACGACACTTCTGAATATGAATACGATGATCTTGATTCCTACTATGAGGTGAGAACGTTTGCTGGGGTAGAGGGTTGTGCAAAGTGTTCCTTTAAAGAAGAGGTAACGATCTTACTCAACAAGCCAGTGTGTGAGGCGTGTCACCCAGACTACTATCTATTGTCGAGAGGAGACTCAGCCATGTGCCTCTCCAGCCAAGAGTGTACGTCATCACATTTCCGAAAGACAGTTGATGAAGTCAATCTGTGTATATTCTGCGGTGACGCATCTCGCGGGGGCCTAGATGGGTGTTCTAGGTGCACCTACACTGCAAACACAGGAGCAATTACCTGCGAGAGTTGTTTTTTATATTATTATAAGAAGGTAGACAATGGAGTGCTCAGTTGCGTACCACTTGACGAATGCACCGCTCCGTACTATCCGAAAGACAGTGAAGATCCTGGCGATCTATGGGACAAACAGTGTTTACTTTGCAGCGATACTAACAACAATGGAATTCAGGATTGCACGGCTTGCACATATACCTCAACTGGGTTGAAATGCACAGCCTGTAGCGGTACAAAGAGACCGAATGCTGCTGGGTCAACGTGCTATGATTGTAACATTGCAAACTGCGAAGAGTGTTCATCTGACACGGTATGTTCGCGCTGCGCAGCGGGATATATCATTTCTTCAAGTGCTTGCGTAGCTGATCCTGACCCGTGCTCTGTTGCTGGTTGCAAGACCTGCGTGTCTGGTAATAGGCAACTGTGCTTAGTCTGTCACGACGGATTCTACAAAGATGGGACGACCTGTAGGAAGTGCGCCGCCGGGTGCACAGTTTGCTCAGGTGCAGGTGCACAGTGTACCTCGTGCGAACAGGACCGTTTCCTTCTTAGGTCCGAATCTTCTAGTTCTGGAAGCTGCGTCGTTGCTTGTGGAGATGGGCACTTCGAGGACACTACCCTGAAGGTCTGCACAAGATGCTCAGATGCTCACTGCAAACGATGTGCAGGACCAGGCGTTTGTACTCGCTGCCAGGATGATATGTATCTGAAGCTCACATCCTCTTCGATAGAGTGTGTGAGCAGTCATCATTGTTATACAGGGAGCTTTCCACAGGAAAACCCCGACACAGGAAACAAATGTGTCCCATGTGGGGACAATCTTGTTGGAATTTCTAATTGTATAGAGTGCACGCTCGACGGTGGTCTCCTTTCTTGCCTCAAGTGCAAGAGCGGCAGCTTCCTTGATCTCTTCAGGCGGACATGCATCACACAATGTCCTCAGAACTCTAGCCCGAAAGAAGAGAATAGGGCCATGGCGTGCATGTGTGAAGATAGCTATGCGCCTAGCAATGACGGAACCCTTTGCGAGCCAACCAAACCTTGTCCTCAGTACCAAGGATGCGCAATGTGTGATTCTCTGGACAGATGTGTCCGCTGTGTGGATCCTTTGGATAATATACAACTAGATAGCACAACGTGCCAAAGGAGCTGCCCATCGGGAGCAGCCGTCAGACGAGGAAAGTGTCACTGCATGGGAGGGCAGGTTCCCAGCGGGAATACCTGCGTCGACCCACCAAAGAAGAGTGTTAGCAAAATGTCGACAGGAATGATAGCTGGGATTTCTGTCGCATCAGTGGCCATTGTTGCGGTTATCATCGGCTGTCTGGTCTGGTTCCTTCTCAGAAGGAAAAACAGTGGCTCCTTAAACCGTGAGCCCTCGCTGTTCCGTCCTTTAAGTAGTTAATAAGAGGTAATAAGTGTCGACCTGCTAGGAGATTGCGTCTCAATACAAGATTGCAGAGCGTGGCTGGTAAAAGACAAGTTCTAAGTAAAGTTTGGTTTGGGTGATTACGGCTTTCAGCATGTATACACACTTACTAGCATAACTATCTGATTTCCCACTGGTTTTCCCACGAAACAGACGTCCACTTGGCGCTGATGTAGAGGTTTAGTAATTGACAACGGGAAGAGAATTCACTGTGCGGTCAGTCAGATTATGTACGAATCGCCAGCCAAACAAATCTCAATCGCTATAGAAACAGGCTCCGTCGCGACAGATCCCTCTTCCCTTGCATACAATTCCATCGGTCCCAATGCACGCTGGGGTTGTGCAAACACCGTCAATGAGTTCTGCCTCTCTGTTGCAGCGGCACCGAGCGACCCCGTCCTCTGTTATGCAGTGCCCGAACCCGGCACAAACGCGCCGGACACCGTCTGCATATTCAGTAACGCACGCATCCGGGACGCAGCCCCAGGCCAGAACTGCCGTCTCGCCTTCAGGGCATTCCCGGTTTTCACAGCGCGTACCACTGTAGCCCTCGGGACATGCACAACCCTCGGGTCCGAGACAGAAGCCAACGCCACTACAGATGGGCTTGAAGGAAAGATCGCGATTTAGGCACTTGACATGGGAACATGTACCTGTATCGAGAGCAAGATAGCCAGGGTCGCAACTGCAGACAAAGGTATATTCCTGAGGATAGTCGACTAGCATAGATGCTATACACCGTCCACGCCCATCACACTCAAGAGGATTACCATCAAGGTCGTGGCTTACACACGCAAGCGCAACACATCTTCCATTAAGTAGGAGCGCCTCATCGCTGCACTTCTGGCAGTATGTCCCAGTGTGACTTGAAAGGCAGATGCAGCGGCGAGCCTCCATGTCGCATTGGCCCACTCCAGAGCAGAGCTTGGGATCTCCATTTGGAAGGATGTCAGTGACACAGGAATTGGGGTAGCACTTGCCATTGTAGGGCACATACTCTGCGCGGCATACACACGTCCAGGACATGCCTTCGCGCTCACATGTCCCGTACGGGCACACCTCTCCGTCGACGATGCAGTTGGATGGCATGCAGACGTTCTTATCGATGAGCTCGTACCCCTCGTTGCAGGTGCACGCGTTGTTTGCGCAAACCCCGTGGTCACCGCAGACGTGTCCGTCGGGGGAGATGCACCCATCGGTCACACACTGACCCTCAAAGTAGCGCGTACCCGCAGGGCAGTCGATAATCTTGTACTGGCAGACGTCGCCCTCAAAGCCCTCGTCGCAGCGGCATGTTCTGTCTGGCTCGCAGATCCCGCGATCGCTGCAGGCCACGATCCTGTCCTCCGGCTGGGACGCACACGTGAACGGAACACACTTGTAGTTGTCGAGGACAGTGCTCGGGTAGCAGATGCAGGAAATGATCCCGATGGGGTAGAGGAAGCAGACTCCGAAGCCCCCGCACTCTACAGTGTCGCCCTCGTGGTTCTCGCTGAGGCAACGCTGGTCGACGCAGTGGTCTTCGAAAAGGACCGCATCGGGTGCGCACTCCTCGCAGAAGGTCCCAGCGTAGAAGGGATCACAGACGCAAGCAGGCGTGCCATCCTCAGCAACACACACTCCAGCTCCACCGCATATCTTTCCGTCGTGCACGCACTCGTCGGGAGCACACGTCGGGGAGACGCTTGTGTAGCCCTCGTCGCAAGCGCAGGAAAAGCCATCCGGGCCCCTCTTGCAGACACCGTGATCGCCGCAGACAAGCCCCATGCTATCCGTACACTCCGCAGGCGTGCACCCGGCGTTCGACAGTCTGTAGCCGTCGTCACAATAGCAATAGTTCACCATGCAGACCCCGTGGCCCGCGCAGACTGTTCCGTCGAAGACGCACGCCTCCGGGTAGCACTCCCCGTCGACCTCGATTTCGCCCTCGGGGCACGCGGAGAGGAACCCCGCTAGGAGCCCAAGAAGTACAGGAAGCATTTGTTTTTGCAATACAGGGTTAGGAGGGTATGTTAGCGAAATCCCGCACCACATTGTAAGGCAGCCTCAGAGGAAGCCAATAAACACAGATGCCTTGCTGTGCTTCCATGCTGATCGTCAAGCCCACTTTGTATACGTGTACACGACTTTCTTTTTTCAAGGAATTGTAGCATTTTGAGCTTACGCTAACGGTGTCTGCGTGTCCATTGGGCAAAGTTCGCAGCTCCTGTGGATCCTTGTATAACCGAGTGAGGGAGCCCCAACGGTAGCAACGCCGCTTACTCAAGTGGTCACTTCGTATATCCTGCGTGCGATCCGAAGATACTTGCATATAGTCCCTTAAATTTACTCTAAAATATGGCAATACTTGAGAGACACATGCAGTGTCCACAGAAAGCCCCTTGTGGTCTCTTTTTACATAGAGTCCTTTAGCTAGAATAGTAACTGGTTTCAGTTTAGACTCGGTCTGTTCTGGATTGGCTACTTATAATTAGGAATGATAATAAGCATTAGCAATTCGGTGTAGGCTCAATGCCTGGCTTGTGCATCTAGTCATTTCGGTAGGTAGGCTGGTAGCTAGCACGCAGATGTTGCATCTTCCGCTTTTTCAGGTGATTATAGATAGCACACGCTCCAACTAGCAACAGCACCCAGAGAAGAAGACCGAGAAACATCCAACCAACTGCAGCGCGAGTTCTCGTCTTCATCTGGCGCCGAGCCTCTGCGACTGTTTCCACCCCCTCAACTACATCTATAATCTTATCACCACTGTGGAGATAAATGCGACTCTGGACTCGTTCCTTCTCTGTCTTTATATATTCTTGGGAAGGCGGCGAATACGTGGGGTAAAAGCCGTAAAAGGCGAATCCAGGGCCCTCTTCCACTTTGCTTTCGTCCTGAGGATCTAGAGATACACATCCAGAGCCGTCTACATTGCGAATGGTTCCGTGGCGACAATCATGACATACTTCATCACCCTCAGGCGAGTACTGATCGTAGGTGCATGGAATCACAGCTCCATCAATGCATGAATATCCTAAAGGACAGGGTCGGCAGCCTGCATTTGGACGATCCATGAGATAAACGAGAAGTGCGCTATAGGCAACGCTCATACGGAGCCTTCTGTCATCACCATCTAGAGGGATGTCTACCTCACCCTTTATACAAGCTAATCGAGTACCAGATTGAGGGTACTTCTTACAGACATCTCGTCCTTCCTCATCCTGATACTCATCCCCCACACATGGTTGTGCATACCCTCCTCTACAGCGGAAACCCCTCGGACATAATACAGGATCCATTCCAGGCACACAAATATACCCTGCAGAAGGACAAGTCTTGCACTCTCCATTCAGTGTAAACTTGTTACCGGGGCAATTATAAAACCCCCGGACAGTGCCATCGGGATTACGGATAGGAAAGCGGGAGTAATCAATCCCCGCATAGTATTCCGATGCAGTGATCTTATTGAACTCCCGGTTACTTGTAGCAGCAGAATAGGATAGGCATGACGATTGGCCCTCCAAGTCTGTGTAATATCCAGGAGGGCATGGATTCATAACTCCTTCACTACAGAAGTATCCCGTTGGGCAGATCATGCATGTAAACGCCCCCGTTTGGAGACGCCATGCATACTCACCGTCCTTGCACGTAGGCCGGTCAGGATGGAAGTATTCTATCTTCGTTGGTACCGAAAAACGTCCTTCATGTACCGTAAGCGGAAAAGGCACTGTATAGGTGTCGTTTTTTGTGGAGAACTCATATCTTGTTCCGCTAATGCTTATGGTATATGGGTTCATATGAGGCTTGTCAAGGACTCCATCAGGCCTATTATCAGCAGGCCTACTGGACAGTTGGACGGTTTTCCCTTTCCCTTCCATCGTTCCACGGCCATTCCATGGGTTAAATGTCCCGAACTGGGGCGTCATAAATCGAATATTCACGAGACGGACGTCTTTGTTGAAGGCAAAGCGGAGACCGGGGTTTTCTCCCAATTCCTCATACCGATAGTAGTACTCGTGGAGCATAGCATAGTTATCTAAGGCATAGGACCAATAGATAGTACGATCATTGGCTCCACCGGTATTGGATATTTTGTTAACAAGATAAAGCATGCGGAGGTCGATAGCATCCGTTGAGTTATATGAGTCGGTGAAAAGTATCAGGTTGTCAGGAATTTCGCTGTCGAAGTCTAGCACAAGGAGCCAGTTGCGCTTCGAGGGCGCAGGGTTGTATATCATATGCCACTGATTGGCGCGATAAATAGTCGGTCGGTGCTGATGAGCCCAGCAGCCTGTTCCCTCGAGAGAGAAGCCGTCAGGGAGAAGCCGGAACGTCTGATCAGAATAGCTTAGGTTTGACATGAGGACACGATCTCCAGATGTCATGAAGACTTGGACAGAGGTTCCGTGTCCCATCTTCGCGCCAGCATGAGTGTTCCCAGTAAAGCTATGAAAGTATGCATTGTACCCACATTGTCCGTTGGTGTATTGAAACGTGTGCGCCAAGTAGTACGCTTCCTTATGGTTCTCGTTGCCTAGGAAAGCAGTGTCATAGTCGTCAGTAAGATAGTAAAGGCTGGGATTCCAGACAGCGTCAAACATGATTGCGTATCCGTTATTACTGCTCTGAGCAAACTTTTTGCGATTTTCCATGCTCATAGACCAACCAATTCGGCCAGTGAAGTTTCCTGGGCCAGGAGAAACGAGAATCTGCTCTTGGGACCCTGGTGGCACATAACTTATTATGCTATCATAGAACCTGACCATCGTAGGAAAGTCTGACTGTTTGGCTCCCAAGGACGATCCATCTGTTAATATACCACCGTGAAGGTAACAGCTATTTGCAGATGTGGTTCCCCCAAAGCGCGTCATTTGCATTTGCATTTTAGCTGCATTCTTTGGATCTTTGTTGACGTTCCCTAGATAGTTGATGGCGCCGGAAGACAGTGTGCGGTATGTTGAGAGGTATGCAAACCTGTCGGCATACTGTCTGATAGGCCCGTTATGAGGGTCATTAACGAAGTAGTTAGAGATGGCGTGAACAGCATAGTTTTCGAGACGCAGTAGGGCCTCGCACGTAACATTAAAAACCCTTTCAGGTTCTGTTGGGATGTTTCCATCTTTGATGGAGCAGTGCACCGCTGGAGATTCCATGAATCGAAGAGGGTAGAATCGTGGATCAGGGGCTGGCGCTGGGAGAGTACCGGGACGATAGTTGATTACTAGATTGCGGTAGGGGATGTTGCGAATACGCTCCTGCCGAGCTTCGTCGAACATGGTTGTGTTCATTGGATCTACACGTGCGTAGTTTCCGTCTATGACTAACAGTTGAAAAGTCCCTTTGTCACACTCAGGGCATGTCCAGAGACGCCCAGGGATGGGGCTTGCGGTGGCTTGGGAAGTAAGCTCTTGACCGCCGTGATTCTGTTCTACGCACGCGTGTAGAATGTTTACCACTATGTTGGACTCAAAATTATGAGGCCGAAGAGCCTGGAAATGAATGGAGTGTCCATTCCAGGACATCCTAGTGTTGGATCTATACTCAATCAACACGGATACAAAGTCTGTGATCATCTCGGAAAAGAATCCCTCTTTGTCCAGATAAACCTCTATCATAAGAACGTGATTCCTGCGCAGCAAGCCCTGCACAATGTCATCTGGATCATATCCATCCTGGAAGCCAATCCACGCTATCTTGACCACTTTGGAGGTTTTTCCTGTTTTAGGGTCAGCCGCATACTCTGTGTATGTGGCAGGGGTGTATGCATCGTCATCTGCGCCCAAGAACTTATACGTGTATTGGTGCTCCGCATCCATAATTCGGAGCTTGTGCATCCCAATATCTGCCTTGCCCCCGCCATGTGGCCCTCTTCGTCCTTTCTCAGGCGTATTCGCCTCTGGAATAACCCCATTATCCCAGTGCTTCAGAACCCTCCGCCAGCGGGGGAGCACGGTTTCCCACGCGTTATAGTAATGACTTGCGCTCTGTACAGCAGTCAAAAACGGGAACCCCCCAGAAGCCATGTAGGAAAACGTTCCTGCACCGGAAATGGGCTCCTGTCTGTAGTGTGAGATAAACCTGTGGAAATTAGCGCTATCAGAGACACCATTTCCATGAAGTCCGCCTTCATTGTGGCCGACCTCGTGCATAAACGGATTTCCAACCATGCGGAGTGAGTAGTAGCAGTTTTCTGCCCAAGGGCCGGACCGGTAACTGTTTGCATTTAGATTAAGTAACCCCACGCCATGCACTGTTGCAAGACCTACCCAGTCAGAATAGTAATCGACCACCCAGACACGACTGGTAACCCTAGGGATGAATCCAGCACGATGGGGATATGTGCGATTGTTCGAGTCGCCATCCAAGAGCTTGATAAAGTATGCTGTTGGCGCCGTGTTTCCTTGTGTGTAAGCTTCGTCAGTAGTGACGCCACAGACGGGGTAGATATAGCTTCCTGTATAGTCAACATACATCTTCCCTGCAGATAACATGTTAAATAGATCGTGCTGCTCTTTAAGGATGGGGCGCATGCCTTCAGGAGGCATGCATGGCCTGCCTAGTTTGGCTTTAGTACTCGATTTATACTCCATGGATACACAATTATAGATGTGCTTTTTCAGGGTGTAGGGGAGTGAGTAGGGATACTTTTCCGGGACCCGGGAGTCCTTCCTTGGACTGCTGGACAAAAGCAATGAGCCGTCCGATCGTAATGTTGTGTTGGCGTTAGTAAGCCTCATCTTAAGGAAAAGGATTCTTGCCTTTATTGCGTAATAGACGTCCGTTAATGGATCGGCCGTGCCTTGCAAGGGCGTCTCCTGCGAGTCTGTATATTCACGTAAGTACGAGTTGAAAGGATGTGAAGGCAGAGGTGAAAATTCGAGAAGGTACAATTCCCCTGCTGGAGAGGTCTCCCAGACGACTTTGCCGATAGTGGACTCCAAACCATCAAAAAGGTATGAGTTAGCGAAGAAGTGCACGGCTCCGTCATCAAAGTACTGAAAAGCCAGACTTCCGTCAGATATCCTTTGAAGCTGGACTGCGCATACTGATGTGTTTCTAGGCGTCATGCTGTCACCAGAGTCTGTGATATCATGAACAGGATAGTCCTCCGGGTGCTTTCTATAAACATCAGAAACAAGAGCTAAAAATAACCATGGCAGAAAAACCAATAGCATAGCAAAGTATTATTCTATGGCTAGTAGTGTGCTGGATTAAGTGATAGAAACTAGAGCTAAGGAAAGAGGTGCATTCACAGGCCACACATGAAGGGTCTGAAAAAGAATCGTGAGCTGGCACTAGGTTGTGTCGCAAACGAGTAAATCCTGTCTCTGCTTTAACTCTTTTTGATTGCGTTGCTTGCCTATCAAATCTATTTAAGCCGAGCTATAAGGAGTGTAAAGCAGTGAAAGATTGATAGGGCTCATTGCAGGGGAAAGATCACTCCGACAAGGTTGAGCTATTACAAAAGCAAGTAGGCTTTGGTTAACATACAGGACCAATCTTTCGATACAAGACACACACTCAAGTCTCCTAACACAGCTCGCTTAGTGGCATGGAAGTCATAGCGCAAGTTTTTAAGAGCTACTTTACTTAGCCCTGTGGCAAGAAATCCTGCTGAACCGCCATTCATCTTCCAATGGACCGTACGCACTTAGTAACGAAGTGATTCATGAGAGGTATGGGATCTGTAGTTTCATGTGAAAATAACACGATATGGAGGACAATGTGCACTTTACAGAAAAGCATTAATACGCCAGAACATCCAAGCGCTGCTGCTACTGGGGACACCTGCTTAGAGATACACACTCATCAGATAGCCACCGCTCACTGTGCAGAATGGTAGTACTCAGTTCATCAACAGCTCCTTTCCTTCAACTTCTGGCAAGAAATAGTTAAGGATTGCAATCTTCATCTCCAATGGGAACTGTTCGCGAGAAAGATACTTGGGACCGGTTCTTCTTCTGGCACGCTCTAACACCAAAATATATGGAGAGAGCCACAGCAGTCAATAAGATAATAGATCCTACAGACAAGCCCGCGATCATCGAGGATGACAATACACGCGACGAACCGAGTACACAGCGATTGTTCTTAAGGTAATATTCCTTAGTGCACGTCAGGCAATTGGTCTCATTACTATATCCAGGATTACAAGTGCATTGACGGATATTGTTGTGGAAAGTGCACGTTCCGTGCCCATTACACACCAAGTTATTGTTGCTACTACATGGGTCATCATTACACTTTCCAGAGACACATGTTTGCCCAGCCTCACAGTCTTCGTTGATAAAACAGTAGGGAATGTTACAGTTCCTTCCAGTATAGCCGGGAAGACAAGTGACACACTGTGTAGCGGGATTCCAGTTGAAAGCACACCGACAGACAGGGCTCCCATCCTTTATCTGACAGACACCACCGTTAGAGCACTGTGGGAAGCAGTCTTGTGTGTCGCAAGTAGAAGACGGTGAAGACCTTGTCCAGCCGGGTGCACACGTTGAACAAAAGTCCCACGTATGAGGGTCATCACAGATGCACGAGCCCGCACGCGTACAGGTGCCTTTTAGCCCACATACCTGCTTCTCACCATTTATTATTTTCACACAGCGAGGATGGACGCAGGCCCAACTCCCAGACTTCTCTTTAGCGCATGTAAATGGTAGACCGCAACTTGGGGTGCACACCCCTTCGTCTGTCACGGAGCTTTCGTCTTCGCATGATGAAAGTATTCTTAAGGGAATACAGAGACCCTCAGTAGAAGGATCGAAATTTTGCTTACAAGCTATACACTTCTGTCCGTCGTCTGTGCATCTGAGGCAGTTTTCAATGTTACACTCAAACGGACACTTTTTTGCTAAACCATAATAGCCATCCATACAAGTGTAGCACTGGTTTGCCTCCAAATCCCCCACCATGCAATGCGTATCCTTAGTATTCAATGTATCCTTAAGGCAGCGCTGGGTATACCGATTCAACATATATCCGGGTAAACACTCCACACATGTCGTGGCAGGGTCTCGCAGCGGATCGTTGTAGCATACACAGAGACCAGAATCTGTGATGTTGCCCAGCTTGTTGCATGCAATGAATCCGTAAGAATGAGTAGAGTACCGTACGTTATAGAAAGAAACAACCGAGTAAGGAAGTACGGCGGAATAGATGTCATAGATTTCTGCGCAAACAGATAGGGACCCAGCAGAATGTGGAGGGAAGCAATACGGTCGACACCTATCTGCGGTTGTCTCACTATCTATGCACTGAATACAAGTATTTGGATCTGTGGGACTGCAATCTGAACACCCTCGGATGTCTGCACAAGGCACAGAGCAATTTGATTGCGGGTCAGACCGTCCACTTACGCATGTCAAGCAAACATTGTTAGCGTCACACCACATACACGCAGGCTTTGCAGTGCAGTTAGTTACAGCTTTACATGTCATTAATCCTGTTTCAGACGATAGAGAAAAGCCTTCGTGACAAGACGTACACTTGAGATAGTTAAGTGCTGGATCACAATCGCAACCAATGGGGCACGGAGAGCCGCAGTCCAGATTAGGGCTGAAAAAGCCCTTCTTGCATGAGTAGCAGGTGCCATCCTTATTGCACATACTGCAACGCTCAGTATATCGCTCTGTGCACGGCCGGGGATTACAGGTGTCTCCAGACAAAATGTATCCTCCAAGGCACTCTGCGCAATTGGAGAATTCGTCAAACAAGGGGTTACTACAGGCGCAGTGGTACATAAGCTGACTACCGATCTGTGTGCAAGTCCCCCTACCACTGCATTCCTTACCGTCTGCAACACACTCTCTCGGAATGCATTTCCCGTCAAGCAAGATATATACGTCAGCACATCCAGTGCAAGTTGAACCGGAGCACGTTGTGCAACCGATAATGTGATTGTTATCACAGTTCAGATCACAGATTTTAAAGACTGGATTGAGGGTGTATTGGGCGTCACATTTCTTACAGTAGGGCACTGGGACCATTGCATCTTTGTACGTTTCCTCTTCACACAGTGAGCACCCGATCGGCACAGGAGCAGGACAGTTTGTCCCAGAAGACCTTACTATGAAGAATAAGATTAAAACACTAGGAATAAGCATGTAGATAGAAAGACCGAATAGAAGCTATTCAATTGTGGTTATGTTTGAATGTGGTCCACTTTTGGTGAGACTTTAGTGTTTTTTTGCATTTGGGTTTTAAATCGTCAACACTTATAGGCATGTATACACCTGCCCTGAGCTGAAATATGTACTCAGTGATATGCGTGGCTTCTTCGGGACAACGTCCTTAAAATCAATTACAAAAAAGAGCAGTCGACAACATGTTACACAACAGAATGACCACGGCCTTCGAGAGGTCAAAGGAGCAAGAGCATGAAGCAGCAAAGAACGAGATTCCTAGCTTCCAAGTCTTTATTGAAAGGCGTGACTTTCTGGGAGCAATAACAGTCCTCAAATTTCTGAAGTCCACCAGGAACACCGCCGAGGTGGGAAATGCAGATCTCTGGATTGCTTACTGCAACTTCCACCTGGGCCGGCACGAAGAGGCGCTTGAAATTTATACTGCTCTAAAGAAGAGTAAGAACCCCCCTCTTGATGCTCACACCCTCGATCTCTACCGTGCCATCTGCATGCTGTATCTGGGCCAGATGGGCGACGCACGTGAGTTGGCAACTACGCTGCCCCCTACGCCTCTTTCTAACAGATTGCTATTTCACGCCTGCTCGCGGCTTCTAGATGAGGAATCGCTTGTTACGTATCACACAAAACTCAGAAACGTATCTGCAGACCAGATGGCACTGGCTGCCGTGCACTTTCTTAGGACGCACTACCAGCAGGCTCTTGAGTGTTACGAAGAGGTTCTTCAGGTGCAGCCGGAGTGCTTTGCGATCTATATGCACATGGCTCTTTGCTACTACAAACTGGGGGATTATCTAAAGTCAGAAGAGTTTCTGATGTTGTATCGGGAGAATGCAGAGGACTCCCTGACGTCCCTCAACCTGTATGCAGCCACCAAGTTCAGACAAGGAAAAATGGCTGAAGCACTTAAGATACTGGAAGAGCTCCAAAACGACGAAACGATTGTAGGGCTTCCAATATTCAAGCATAACAAGTGTTTATACACGGAAATGAACGCCGCAGTGCACATTCTTCCACCTCTAGTCGGGATTGTTTCAGAAGCACGCCAAAACCTCGTCAAGTTGTATATTGAAAAGGGCCAATATGAGGATGCCTATAAGGTTGTACAGTCTTTCGAGCCTGCAGTGTCTGCAGAGTACACACTGAAGGCCGCTGCATATGCATACTACGGCCAAACCGTGCAGGATATGGCCGTGCTACAGTATGCCCAGGCAGCATACAGCACGGTTGGACAGTCGGATGCAGATAGGGACACTGTTCTGGGACGCAGGGCTATGGCCGCAGCGTACTTTCTGACAGGAGAGTTTGAGGAGGCAAGCATGTATCTAGAGTCCATTGCTGACATACCAAAGGAGTCTGAGGATTCGTTTATGCTGAATTATTCTCTCTGTCTTGCGGCAACCTGCAAGGTCACAGAAGCCCTTGAGAGGCTCATGAGCGTAATGGGTAGTACCAACTTTACTCCTGTGCACAGAACGTGGCTTGGACGCCTTCTTATCAGAGCGCAGCGCTCTGCAGAGGCCTTTGACCTCTACAGAGACGCAGAGAAGAATAGCCTGCAAACAATCCTCCTCATGAAGGTCATTGCTAACGAATGCTTTGCTGCTGGGGAGTATCAGTATGCCGAAAGGGCTGCTGCTATACTTGTCGATCTGGACAAGGCCTCGAAAGACCACTATATTATGATACAAAAGGCATGCATAGCCGCTATGGAGCTTATACGCCGGGGAAAGACCATCACGCCTCCAGAGCTGGTCTACGAGACCGAATGATTCCGATAAATCCTCAAAAAATATTTAAAAAATAATTACAACTTTAATTTCGCTTTTTACTCGTTTCCTAATGACGGATCGAGGAGATGGCGTCGAAGCGTGGCAGGTCCGGAGGCATTGGCAACAAGTTCCGCATCTCGTGCGGTCTCCCGGTCGGGGCGGTGATCAATTGCGCAGACAACTCTGGCGCAAAGTCTCTCAACATGATAGCTGTCAAGAACTGGAAGGGGCATCTGAACAGGTTCCCGAAAGCCTCTGTTGGCGATATGGTCCTTATCACAGTTGGCCGCGACGGGAAGCCGGAGCTTCGTCGAAAAGTAACACCAGCAGTCGTCGTTCGCCAGCGAAAGGTCTGGCGCCGCAAGGACGGGGTCTGGATCTACTTCCAGGATAACGCAGGGGTCATTATCAACCCAAAGGGTGAGCTCAAGGGCTCGTCTATCACGGGGCCCGTGGCTAAGGAAGCAGCGGACAGATGGCCCAAGATCTCCACGACGGCTGAGTGCGTCCACTAGGCAGTAAACGAATTCGAGTCAGAGGCGCCGCCTGTCGAGGATGCTTATGCCGTACTCTTCGTATTCCGCCTTGCTGGCCCAGAAGTAAGGGAAGGTCCCCAAGCTGCTGAGCACGTTTCCTCCATACCACACGGCGAACCTGCGCGATAGGTTATTGTACTGCGAGTTCACGAGCTTAACTTTGAGAACAGATGGTATGACGGACTCCAGTTCTAGCTTTAGGCGGTTCAACACCCCATTGATATTGCTAAGCCCTCCCACAACAACCACGTTTGACGCCAGTTCTGGCTGTACGCTGTCATGAAGGGAAACTATCGCCTTGTGAGCATGCATTTGAATTGAGGTAGGATCTAGAAGACGGGTGTTGAAGAAGATAGGATACACGGATGTGTTGAAAAGGCCCTCTGGTATAAGACTGGCTGAAAAGGACAGGTCAATCTTATTGCCGTCTGGCAACAGGTAGTGAGATACAGACCCCTTCTCGTGAAGCTCCTTTTGCATCCCACGGTAGTCTAGCTGCATGTCCATCGGTTTGTGAGATGCTTGGAAGCAAAACTGTACTATTTCGGACAGAAGGAGCTGCTTGTGAAAGGCAACGAATGATGGTCCACAAAGCTCTGGTGGCAGCTGTGTGCGTGTGTATGTGTTCGTCGTAGCGTCATACACCTGCTTTACCTGGACATTGGTCAACAAGGAGACACTTTCTTTGGGCCGAATAGCGTCCTGTGCGTTAAGGTCTTGACCAGTACCCAGTGAACCATGTTGTGTCCGAAGCTGTGCATATATTTCGTGCTCCAGTATCTCGTGAAGAAGCTTTCCGGTCACGTCAGAGCGGTAGCTCTTGGAATGAATGCAATGGCCGTCTACTATTGGCGAGACAACAGTCTTTCCATATCCGACATCTATGACTAGGGCGGTGGTTTTACCGACAGAATATGCAGCCGCAGCCTCCTGGTCTCCTATGTACAAAGCAGGGATGCTGTGTGTTTCAAATAGACAAGAAGCTATGAGGTCTCGTTCTAAGGGCTGAACAAAGTGAGGCTGAAACAGGGCCATAGGATAACCAGGATCCAATTCACGAAATGCGTGTGATTTGCATCGCGAACTTCCATTGAATAATAGATTGCAGAGCGAAGAAAATTGATCTTCCCTAGTTACACATCCATTGGCTATAATTTGGGAAACCACACGATTTGGCATGGGCTTGAAAAGGTACCGCTCATCAGGCAGATAAGATATAGCCTGGTCGGAGGAAATAGCCTCTGCGGCTCCTCCGGAGGGTAATGATTCGCCTACTATAAATGATGGCCGCACATACGTCGGACCGTCGAGCCCTGCAACTCCTGCACGTATCTCAAATGACCCTAGATCCACCACATTCACGGGGGCCTCAGGAGCAACAGAGAGGCTTGGCACGAGCATGGCACTTTAATTTAGTGATTTACTCTTTACTTTGTTATACTTCACATATTGCGCTGACTACGCCGCACATACTACTAGCTGCATGCCTACGTAGCATTGGCGAAGCGACCCGGGGGCCTACCGCCTGTGCCACGATGCCTGTATTCCGAATCTGCTTGAGCAGAGCTCTGCTGTCTATTACGATTTCTATTACGATATCCGCCATCATTGTCGTGCCCCCTGTGTTGCTCGTTCTTTCTCCTGTTATTGACGTTATTAGAACCAGAACTGCCACTTCCTTCGTTGCGATCACTGCGCCTATTATCTTGGAAACGATTGGCTCCATTATTATTATTCCTTCGTGTTCCCTTCTGCACGGTCAGAGTATCGAAGAAGCTCTTTTTAGAATCGTACGAAAGCGGAGCGGAGCTCTCATCAGGCTGGGCACCTGTAGTAATAAAGTTTCGCTGGGCTAACTGCTTCTTATACCGTTCACGTTCAGCGTCTAAGTCTAAGTCCCCAAATAGGTCTTCTTCGCCATCTTCAACGTTCCCACCGGCGGCATCTCTTTCTGAGCGATTGCTCTCAGAAGTAAACCCTTGAGGCCTTTGAGAAGAGAACTTTCCTCCACCATGTGCAGGGCTATTTGCATTTGGGAGCGCCGGAAGCCCGTGGGCCGCGTCAACTGTCCTATCTATTAGACTCATCTCTGTGATCAGATCATAATTGAATTTCACGGGGCGCGGTATAATCTCAAGCGCAGTCGAAGTTGTCTCTCGATAAACGTTATCCAAGACGCAGAAGATATTGTGGACCTCTATAATATTTCCAATGAACGATGACCCATTGGAGATAGTCAGCTTTACGGTCTTCTGTAGTAATTCCGTGAGGGTTGCTTCGTTGACAGTGATGCTTGACATGAGTGCAAAACTTTAAATTATTCTTTTTACAATTTCAAATTTCTCAGGGTCTTACGATAAAAAACCACACTCCAAAAATCAATCCAGGTACAATCAGTAAAAAACATTAACTATTCACTTAAGTGAAAAAGATGCTGAACCAGTAATGCATTGCTTCTTGAACTATGCAAGAACACAGACACCTGTAGGGCATCTCCTCACTGCTTCTCTAACCTGCTAATAATGCTAGCATCTACGTCTAGAGTCCTAAGCGGAGACCAGATGGTAGTATCAGTTATCGCTAGTGCTGCGCTAGCCAAGTCATACAGCACGGGAGTTGGCTCATACAGACCCTCAACGTAGAGTATCTCTGTCCGAACCTGAACCCGGGCCTGGGGTTGAGCACTGGTGTGAACCAGACCAGATTGACCTCCTGTAGACGAGGAGCCAAGGATCTGCGACTTAGTGTGCTCAAAATGATTATCCTTGTCATAGGGCTCTACCTTAATAAGCCCAAGCATGCCCAATGCAACGGCGGCATACGTAACAACCTTTTCATAGGTCATTTCAAATCTACCTTCATAGTCATCTAGTATGTTGTACTTGTGCTGAGACAGAAAGTGGCCCTTCGGGGCAGAAAAGTCACTGGTCCGTAGCACAGCCAAGGCTGTGTGCACTCTGTTGCTGTTGTGGCGCTGCTGAATGAGAGAAGTAGAAGAGCTCCTGAACATTATGCTTCGCGGAACCGTCAGTGTGGCCTTGTAGGAGTGTTCTCCTTTTAGTATAGATATACAGGCGTTGCGAAGCTGTCTCTGGAAGATCTTAACAGTCTGTGATGGAGCACCTTCATATGACCTCAAAAGTGTTAGCTGTCTGTTCAGAGCTACATTCAAATACTGCCTTTTCTCTGGACTATCATGCAGTGTGTCTACTTCAGCGCCAATGAAGATAATAATAAAGCATGGAAGCGGTGCAACATATATGAATCTCTCATCTAAGAGAAAGTTTGGCTTTCCATTTTTTATAACAGTGTCCACTGGCTTTAAAACAATCATGTCTGGCATCATGTCGTTGTAAGGGGCTAGTCTGTAAAGTGCTGGTCTGGAGTGTAGTTCTTCTGGCGGTGTACACTTAATTAGGTGGGAGCCTCGGATTCCCTGAATCGCTGCATCGATGTTGCATCCTTCTTCTAGTGAAATGATCCCTTTGACGGCGTGCTCTTCTGCATACTTGGCTGCGATCCGTGCAGTCGTGAGATCTGAGTGCCGCCTCCTCCACCAGGAGACTAATCTGAAAACGAAGCCAGTATTTGGGGCGACTACACCCCTGCATGAGCGAACGTGGCTATACGCCTCCTCGTAAGATAAGTCATTAGCCCACATGATGTAGGCAATCACCAGCGACGCAGAGCGAGAGACCCCCTGATAGCAGTGGACCAGGACCGCCTTGCCCTGCATTCGTGCCTCGTGGATAAAGGCTATTGCTTCGAGGAATAAGGAGTCGATGTTTTCGAGTCCAGTGTCCCGCAACTTTAGAAGCAGACACGCTAAGTTGGGTACGCCATACTTCGGAGACTGACTCTCCAGGCAACAATTTATCACATGCGTTATTTTATTTTTCTGTAATAGCTCTGTATTTTGAGCAGCCGTGAGTGAACTCAAATAAAGAAACTCTGTTATTTTCGACATTATTGCATCGTACTGCTTTATTTTGAGCGCCTTGTCTTCAGACATGGACATAGGCCGAGAACGCTTAAGTCCGCTCTCCAACGGGGAAGGTTGACCCTTAGAAGATAAGGGGAGCGTCAGTGTTAGCTTCTCCTTCGACGTGTCTGTGTTTAGTGCTGGCATAGTTAAAGGTAGAACTGGCTTTAGAGAAGGAGGCGCAGGCTTTGACTGCGGAATTGATGCTATTGAGTTGCTGCGGGTGCCAGCTTGAGGAGTAGGCCGTCGGAAAAGCTCTCCGTCGTCGCTCGAATCTGAAGTGATTGACCCATTTGTACCATCGACCACGTCGTCGTGTGGAATAGAGGTAGAAGTAGAAACTAAGATGTCGCTTTCTTGATCAGATTTAGGATTTATCCTGGGAGCGGCTCGCTTTATTAATGGCACAGATGTATCCACCTGCAACTCAGATGGAAAAAATCGGTATAGGCCCACCTCTTCGGAGTTAAGTACACTGAGAAGGGGCGGTGCAGCATTAATGTTACGAGGAAGATCTTGACTTGAATATTGATCTGAGCCCCAGGGATGTACTGATTTACCCTGCAGGCGTACATTTATAGCCTTTAATAAATCGTTGGAAGTAGTGTCAGACCTGTTTATCCGGGAACTATCTGACATTTTTTTTGAAATTCTATTTACTTTTAATCCCAACGTTCAGCGGGTTCTTTCGTGTCGTTTATAGAGGCTGACGGTTTGGCTGGGGTTTTAGCCGGAGTCACAGCTTCGGAGGCTCCTGTATGACGACTAGACCGCGAGTGGAGCTGTTCAGCACAATCACTTGAGTCGGACAAATCTTCATCAGAGTCAATCCGTGCACCTTTTTTCACAGACTCATATTCCCTGGATCTCACCCTACCACTCACCTGCCCGTACTTGCTTGGCATGCTGTCCTGAAGGAACTTTGGCAACGGTTGCTTGGATTGCAGAAGGATATTCTTCAGGTCCCTCAATATGTAGTGGGGTGTGTCGAGAAGAATAAAAGATGTAGCAAGCCCCTCTGCCCCAGCGCGTCCCGTTCTACCAATGCGATGTATATATGTATCTATATCTTTTGGAAAATCGAAATTAATGACGTGTCGGATTGCTCCTATGTCGATGCCACGCTGGGCTACGTCAGTAGCAACGAGAACGGGAGTCTTTCCGTCCTTGAAGCTCTTGAGATTGTTCTGCCTCTCGCGCTGCTCAAGATCCCCATGCATCTCGCACACCCTCAGGCCAGCATTGAGGAGCTTTGTTATGATATACCCGATATCCTTCTTTGTTTCTACAAATATCAGAGTAAGAAATGAGGCCGTAGGGATAGAACCGGGGCTCTTCAAGATATGTATTAGTTTATCAATGCGTTTGTCCACTGACTTTATAGCTGTTTCGGCAAAGTATTCAAATTGCTGCTTTATCATCGTAGTTGTGCTACCTATTTGCCCAACGTGTATGCGGGCTTCATTGTGGAGATATCGCTTGGCCATGGCCTGAACCCCGGTCCCAAAGGTAGCGCTAAACATAAGGGTTTGCCGATTGCCGTTAGGTCCATTACCAGGCATATCAAACTTGTATACAAGATCGCGGATTTGAGGTTCGAATCCCATATCGAGCATTTTATCTGCCTCGTCTAGCACCATGACACGAACATATTTTAAGCTAAGACACCTCCTCTCGAGGAAATCTTTGAGGCGACCAGGTGTTGCTATCACAATGTCGCAGCCCTTCTTTAATAGGCCTCTCTGCTCCCTAGCCCCCTCACCCCCATAAACAAGCCTCACAATAAGGTTGGTCTTGAAGGTGAGCTGGTAGCACATGAATGCAATCTGTTGGGTGAGCTCCCTAGTTGGGGACAGGATAACAGCCAAAGGAAAAGACATGGATTGTTCCATATTCTTATCATCGTCCGAGATAGCATCCTTTGCACGACTACTAATGAGCTGTGCAATGATGGGAGATAAGAAGGAAAACGTTTTTCCAGAGCCTGTCTGGGACGTTGCTAAAAGGTCCATAGAAGACAGCACAAGGGGGATCGCATTTTCTTGGATGGGCGTCGGCTGTGTATAGCGGAGCTTTCCAACGTTCCTGATCAAGTCTTGAGGAAAGCCAAGCTTCTGAAGGGTCTCCGAAGAGAAGTCTTTGAAGTCCAGGTCTCTAAAGTTGCCTTTATTTACCCCCTTATTCTTCCCTTCCAGTTGTGGATACTCGATCTTTATATTGGCTGGCTCCATGGAGTTATAGTCGATTATCATCTTGTTTTCCGCGCTGCGCTTGAAGAGAATTATCTCTGGAGGTGGAATTAGCATGTCGAGCTTATCTGACAACCTTTGTTGGGATTTTATATGCCTAACAGTAAGATTGGAGCCGGAGGTCGACGGGTTGAGAAGGACATCAAAAGATCGAGCACCTAGGGTAACGGAGCGAGTACCGTCTTCATACCCGTTTTCTTGCCCCTGATATTCTTGCTTTACCTTTGTCTGGCCACTGACACTCACAAAGGGGGCATTGGGATTCATCACCTCCGTTGATATGCTAGGAGTGCTAATAGATAACTTGAGGCCGGGACTCGAGTTGAGATCCGATACGCTGGAGAAGCTATCTGACTGCATCCTACTGCGCTGGGATGGCGGAACGTACGTTCTTGGCTTATCAGTCTTGTCAGCCATGGAATTTTTTTCAACATCAAACAAAACGATTAAAGTGAGAGTCTTTTTACTTCCCAGTGAAGGCCGCCTTGACATCAATTTCCTCTGGGGACTTCACCTGAGGGATGGAGGTGGCGAAACGGCCTTGAATCTGTGACAACATTTCCGACTCTTCGGCAGTCCCGACAAACAACAAGACCATCCCCGCGGTTTCAAAACGCCCGGCTCTCCCTGATCTGTGAAGATATGCGTCGGATGAGTCCGGCATATCATAGTGGATGACCAGGTTCACATTGGCGAAGTCAACACCACGCTGGAAGATGTCGGTCGAGACAAGGATCCGCGCCTTCTTATCTTTGAACCCCTGGAAGACCTCCTCTCGCTTCTTGTGGTGCATTTTTCCGAAGAAGCACACACACTCGTGGCCTTCTTCCTTGAGGAACTCATTTAGAGCTGTGACACGCGAGATGTCCCTTGCAAAGATAACTGCTTGCGAAAACGGCAAGAGCCTTAGACAATCAAGAAGAATATGAAGCTTCTTCTCCTCAGGGGCGTTGAAGTAGTACTGCATCAACCCTGTAAGAACTAACTGCTTATCGTCAACCAGGATTGCCACGTACCCATCCCTGAGGATGGAGCGGGCGAATTTCTCAGAGTGCTCGGTGAAGGTAGCAGTGAAGAGCAATGTTTGGTGTGTGGCGGGCATTTTAGAGATCAATCCGGCAATCTTCTTGAAGTTATCTTCTTCTTTGAACAGCGCATCGAACTCATCTAACACCAGATATTTAATGAAGCTGAGGTCTAATGCTCCTCTCTCCACTAAGTCGCTCACGCGGCCAATGGTTCCAACCGCTATGGAGACATCCTTAGACTTTAGAGCCCTGACGTGTAGGCTCACCGTAACACCTCCAATAGCACAAAGTATTTTATCTTTAATATCTGGGAGGTTGATTGCAAAGCGAGTGAACTCTTTGTATATCTGCATTGCAAGCTCATGTGTGTTGCATAGAACGAGGGCCTGGACTTTGTGCGGGGCCGCTTGAGGATCTATCATGTGTAGCAGGGATAGTACAAAAACGGCTGTCTTGCCCTTACCACTCTTTGCTTGACATATCACATCTTTGTGCTCCAAAGCAGGGGGTATTGCCATTGATTGTACATCTGAAGGGCTCTCGAATCCGTTGCTTATGATGGCCTGCAAGACCTCTTCCCTGAGATTAAAATCTGAGAAACGTGTGAGCAAGGCACCAGATCGCGGCGAGCCTGCTCGTGCTTGTCTAAGCGCTCCAGACGCCACTTCAGCTCCTGTATCCGCCAGCAGCGCCAACTCGTCGCCAGTATCGTCCTTACTGACCAACTTCTGAGGCACTGACTCTTTAGAAGAAACGCCGGCTGCATTCTTTCCGCTTTCCTTGTCTGCCTTTGGTGCCATGCTTTTAAAAAACTCTTTATTGAAATGGCAAAAAAATGCAAAAGTAGCGCACGCCATAAGGGATAAAACTTTTTTGTTCAGGGATTGAAGCACGAGGCACAGAGAATAGGCGCTAATGAAACTGGTAGTCGATGTCTTGGGAATCTTTCGTTTTGTATCTATTGTTACGGACCCACAGGTAACCATCAAGAACTACATTTGTCAAATTGAGCGGGAGTTTCAGCAGATGTACACGCTAGCTATCTCCCCCCAGTTTAGCATGTTGAGCAGGTTCTCATCAGCTAAGGATCTCCTATTGCCTTCAGACGTTGTGGGCGTCGTCTTGACAGAGGGCGAAAAGCTGCTGGCAACGCCTGACGAGAAGTGGGCAGAAACGCTCAGGCAGTCACCCTGGGCTGTCTTGGGAATCGACGAGACAGAGTTTGAAGTCAGAATAGAGCTTCTTCGGAAGATATATGGCGAGCAGTGTAATTTTGCCGTTCTAGGATCGTGTCTCCTCCGAGCATCTGGTAACCTCTCTAAGGCGACGGCTATTTGCTCATTTATCCGCCCAGATATACTAAACAGCACAAGACGTATCATCTTTGTCAGACCGCGAGAAAGTACTGTCCGGAGAGTTGACTTGGGAATAGGGTCTGAGGGCGAAACTCGAAAGGTGAAGTTATGAAGGGCAAAAGTGAATTTATTTAAGCGTTTGCTGTGCATGGCGTGTTGCTGGTGTGTGGCCTTCGTTCCTGCCCTTGTTTTACCCCAGGAGAAGAAGGCTTTTGGTCAAATTTAAAAACGTATGGCTCTTTCAGAGAATGCCTTACGCAGCACCTATTTCAACAGTTTAGCTACACGAATAGATAAAAACCTACGGATATATGAGGAGCTGTCTCGACTAGTGACTGATTCCGAGCGCTGTGTAGACGGAAGCATGACTGGTGGGAGCACTGCGTCTCTCACACGCAAGCAGCCAGGACCATCTATTTTATCACAACAGACAGCTACTGCTGCAGATCTAAAGGAGATGAGAAATGCTATCAAACGGCGGCAGGTGATGCATCGAAATGCCTTAACAAAGTCTATCATCGATGAGGGCAGAGCCGCGTATGAAACAGGGAGCAGCGCCCATCTGACAGTGGCTGGTTCTTCTTCTCCAATGCGTGCTATCCACAAGCCACGGCCACTCCCTCAACACATTGAGAAGTTTCTTTCAGATGAGATCAAACAGACAACTACCACGGCTGACGCAGCCGATGAGGTGTCCTATTTATCGGAGGATGAGGCAGCAGAGAAGAAGGAGAGGCTTAAACACACACTGAATCGCGTGGCAGAGATCATTGACACTGCAGAAGTTAATGGTGAGGTGAGCACAGATCCAGATATTATTCTAGCAAAGTTCTATCACGAGGACCCATATGTTTCTAATGTAAAGTTGATTATGGACAGTTACAACACTAAACAGACATCTACGCAGAAGCCTCAGGACCAAGCACACAGTAGCCGCAAAAAAACGGAGCAGCGTGTTAAATCTGTAGAAGACCGTATTGCTGACGTCATCTCTGTGCGAGAAAATCAATTAGTTTCTATCATAAGCTCCGCCTGCTCCGCTCCATCTGTTCGCAACAGACAAGGGGGTAATGTTTGCTCCATAGATAGAGATTGGAAGGAGTTCTATAACTATCAAGGTGCTAGCAACTTTGCCAAAAAGCCTGATTTCCCTGTATCTGCACCAACGGTCAATTCAGCAAAGAATGAAATAATGGCAACTGCACTCGCACGGGGGCATGCTACAGCCAGTAAGAAAAGCTTGTGGATTGCACCTCTACCTCATCAGCCTGTTAGTAACTCAACTCAACAACCACTTTGCAAGCATCTTGAAGAAGCCCCACCTATTACTGAACCGCTCGGTTCAGCGCTTGACCACGGGAAGAAGCGAGCATGGAGGTGTTTGCGGCGTCACGAGAAAGCGCTAAGAGACCAGTTGGCCACTCCGAATAGTGGCCTCAGTGATCGTATTATCAAAGAACTAACCGCCGAAATTTCAGAAAAGAGTGCAGAAAATGCCTCGCTGGCACGAAACCTCATAAGTAGTGGGAATCTAAAGAGCCTTACTGACATAGCTCGTTCTCAGAATCCCATGATCAACTCCCAATTACTTAAGTCTCGTCACTCCAACAGAGTGGCACAGCTTCGTGAAGACGCAGAGGGGGGTTCTGATGATAGCGATTTGACGATAATGAACAGTGCTGTGATGCGAGGAATGCCTACAGATAGCTCCTTTTCAGAATCTGCCCCTGCCATTTCTCTCACAGAGTCAGAGACACCTCAGCTGAGCTCTCTACAGATCAATAGCATTCATATCCATGATCGAAAACGTTTTGCAAAGCAACCCATTAGCACAGGCTTTAAGCTACACACAAAGAAGATGACAAAGAGCATAGAAATGGCTGACGACGAAACACTCTTCGATGTGGTTATTCCGGACAACAGATATGATGCCAAAAACGAGTTCAACTTTCTGTCCAAGGATGACATAAACAAATACAAAAAGATCCTTATTTATATTCACAATAGTGAGCTTTTGGAAAAGCTTGAACAGGCAAAGTCGATGGAGGATTATGAGCAGCACATAAAAGAGTATAAGGATACGACTACGCGAACCGCATCTCCTCCAAAGCAAGAGGATGACTTCTCCTCAATACTGAGAATCATCATGCCTCAAGATAGGATGCAAACCTTTGCCGCATATTCTGCCCTCAGTTCCATGGATACTGCTTCCTACAAGAAGGAGGTCGTGCATCGGCTATTAAATGTGAAGAAGGCAATTACAAGGAGCAACCTTAAAAGCAATGATAGCAAACTGAACCTCTATGAATCTGCAAAGGCAATCCTGCAACCACTTCTTCAGACAAGACTGGCTGCCAGAAAGTATCCGGAGGACCGTGTGCCCCTGTCAACAGGACGGTCCGAGATGCGCTTACAGAAGTGTGTCCAAAGGAAGCTTTGGGATGCCAAGGAAATAGAAGGTATGTAGCCTATTTGTTCGCCACGCCGCCAAAGTTAAAGCTTATTGGTGCCGTGCCAGATCCAAATGGATTAGAGGTCCCTGGAAATCCCACATTGCCAAAAACTGAATTAGTTGTTGTGCCAGAGGAAGGAGGATTAAACATTTTAGCGGTTGGTGCTGTCTGTTGTGATCCTTGACCAAATACTCCCTGAAATGAAAAGGAATTTTGGAAAGTAGTAACCGGTGTTGTCATCTGGGCTCCGACGTTGGGAGTTGGATTGATAGTTACTGTATCAAAGCCAAAATTAGTGCTGGTGCCAAATCCAGTGCCAAAAGTAGTCACTGTACTCACCACATTACTCTCAGGCGGTTCTTTTGGTACACCAAAAGCAAATGAATTTGCAGCTGGCTGACTAGGACTAGGTTGAAGTACATTATTGCCATTTGGTTCAGTCTTGGTGGTCTTGGTGAAGTTATTAAATACTTCGGACAAACTAGAAGTACTGCCAGCTGTCTTAGTAGGCGCGGTTGGCTGGAAGCTAGATTCGCAACTCTTTGATTTATTTCCTGCATCCTGTGCTATGATGGGTTTTAGAACATTAAAATTAAACCCAGATGACAGTGCCTTGCTACCACTTGCTGTCTCGCTGGTAGATTCATCTTTGATATTTTCACGAGCTTCGCTTGCAGGTTTAGAGTCAGATATTGATGTTTTCTGCTCTTCGTGTGTTGTGTCCGTTGATACTGATAATGGTACTGGATGGGGGACCGGTAGAGTCATATCTGCTGCGTCCCTATTCTGAGCTGGTTCCAATTTATCATCGGGCGACTTTTCTGCCTGGACAGAGTTACTAGGTTCTAGTTTTGGTCCAAACGAGAACAGTGGTTTTTCTGACTGCACTTCTGACTTTATTGGTGCTACAAATGTAAATGGCTTTGCTTCTGGCCAGGCGCTCTTCTGCTGAGTGGATTCGTTTATCATCTGCGGCTGGCTAGTATGTTTCTGAATGGGTACACCAAAACTGAAACTGGTCTGAGATTTTGATAGACTGTTCTCGGCGCCAAAAAGGGTCTGACTAGTGCTTTCGATCCTCTGATGCATAGCATCTTTATGAGTAACTACATTGCCTCCAGACAGTTGCTTTGACTGTTCGACAATTGTCTCAAATGAATGGGATGCATATAAATCCGTTATGCAGAGCGTGGACTTTGTTATTTTCGGCGAGACTTCTTCGAAGAAAGGAGGCGGTGCCAAGCTCTGTACGAGTCCTCTTAAATATGAACCATCTGGATACTCACAGCATATAGTTGACGTAGCAGTACTAAGGGTATTGTTGTTATCATATATACTCGGTTTAAATGCTACCGTTAGAACGTTAGAATATTGTTTCCCATCTGAAGTCTTGAAAGTCGGCTTTATGCTAGGAAAGTGCTGGAACACCGAGCTCCTTTTGCTGGGCAACTTCTTTCTAGAGGAAGCCGACCCAGCTGAGGCATTCTCCATCCTGTCCACGTCTTCCACAAACTCCGACAAAATAAAGCTGGTACACGGGGGAAGTGAGTAATTATCTTGCACGTGCGGAAGACTCTGCTGCTTCACAGACATCCGCATAGTAATCCCAGAGCCGAGTTTACGAAAGACCTCATCAAGGCTCGATGCTTTAAATTTATTTGCAATCTTCATTTGGTTGCCGTTTTCATACGTTGTTTCCAAAGGCCGGGTTAACCGTAGAGGCAGGTTTGTGTTATCTAAAGAGTATGACTGTGCTATCCCGGTATAGGATGACTTATAGTTCATACTGTTAAATAAAGAAGAAAAACCCGAATTTGAAACCCTATTCTGAGTTAAAGTGAGCTCTTCAAGGGAAGCATCTTCATAGTTGCTGAGATCCAGAGAGTCAATGGTATTAGCTTTAGGCCTGCTAGTGCGAACCCCACTTGAGGAGGTGCCAAATAACGTGCTGTCCGGCTGTATCGTTGATGTGGGTAAAGAGCTAGCAGCATTATTAAAGTGTTCAGTGCAAGGCTCTTTGGAGTTCAACAGTTTTAGTGACTCGTCCATGTTCCAATACAGTCTATATCCCAGTTGAAATACATCGAGCTGGTGCTCATAAGCAGAGAGTACAGTGTCCATGACATCGCAAAAGTGGTGAATACCTATTGTAGTCTCCTCGCTAGAAGCATGGCTAGGTAACAACGGAGAGCTCAGACGATAACACAATAATCCGTTAATATCCTTTATGATTGCCGTAGAAAATGTCAGCGAGTCCGCTCCAAACATAGGTGTGAGGGAAGGAAACGCGTTTTGCGACTTCATCGCATAAAGGTTTCTGAGGAAGTTGGTGCTAAGAGAACACCCATCGACAGTTCTACTCTCTAACATGATATGAACTCCTCTAAGTTGATTGAGTTGTTTCATGACTGACAAGTATGATGGGCTTGTAGCAAAGTAGTCCGGTAAGATAGAATCCAGAAATAGGGTGAGCTCCCCTTTAACAGCATATGCAGTTATTAGACTACTAAGTGCTTGAGCATACTTTTCTTTGGCTTCATCAATCTTTTTATTAATCTGTGTATCTAGCTCTGCCTCTAGATAATTTAAGTCGTTCTTTAATGATCCCGAAGGAGAGAACTTTGATTCCCCTTGATGCAAAGGTGCCGGCTCAGCTGAGCCTGTCTTAGGAGAAGAGTGCGCCTCGATAGACGCACAGATTAGTGGCTGCTCATGGGCATTGCTTGGTTTCTTTTCACTGACCTCCATTAATGGAGGTTCATCGCTGATAGCTAGGCCTAGCATGTCAGTGGGGTAATCAGTAAGGAGAGTATCATCTAAGAGAGTAGCAGTTTCCAGAGCAGTAGTTTCTTCGTTCTGAGGAACTTTTAAGGAACTGATGCAGCTACTTCCGTCCTGGGAATTTCTAATGTCAAATTGTAGTATGTAGAGAGGTAAAAAGTCTGAGATGTACACGCGAGAAACTGTCTCTACATAGACGGTCATTTGATTGGTTCCACCAAGGTGAGCAAACACCAGATTGGCATAGATTTTATCATAGCCACAATTAGGCGAATCCAGATGAAATGGAGGTAACTCTGAAAGCGTAACACTTAGGTTATACTCAGTGCAACTATTAGTGACCAATTCCTTTATCTTGTCCTTAATTTCACAAGCGTTGGTTGAATAACTCCAGTCAATTGTGTCGCCCATCGTAATAATCTTTTGTTTAATAAGGTCTTCCTTATGGTTGATGCCTGGTATGGATGGGTTATCTGCGATTGCTGAGGCAGATGAAATGACCGGGGTACTAAGGACTATGTTCTGTGGAGAAAAAAAGATACTCTGATCTACCTCCGGAAGGCATGGAACCCTAGAGAAGCGTGCACTGGGAACCATCCCGAACAGTTCAGAGCCACTCAATAACGGAATAAAGGTGTGGGCGTAATCACCAGAAACCTTGAGAGATTGGAAGAACTCCTCACATGATTTAACCAGTACATTAATAAAGTGGTTTGTGGAGTGACCTTCTTTGCTCATATAGGAGTCGAGCCTCTCCAGAATTGCATTGTAATTGTCGCGTGCGGCGTACGAAAAATAAAAGAAGTCTAGGGAAACAATGTCACTCATGTTTAGAAATAGCATATTAAAGAAGAAATCGTAAGGACCAGGGCAGTATGGGGTCACGGTACAGCCTACAACATATTGCTTAACAACTGTACTAAACTCTAGCTTTTTATCAAAAATGTTATAAATAGCAACAACAGTATCATAATCGCTGGTATAAGATGCTAATATCGCAAATTTTCCGTCAAATAGTCCTAATAAAACGACTTCTTTTGGATCAGCATAACTAGTGCCTTCGTCAAGGAGGTTGTCATCAAATACTTGACTTACGTCATAGATTTGTGGTGTAGATAGATCGTCAGCCTCTACTATTAACAAGGTCTCAGGCGACTGGAAGACACCAAACACCAAGCGTCTAGATGACGTCACACAGCTCGTTAGTGTTGGAGCTGTGCCATGCTTAATATAATCATCTAACGCTGCTATTTTGCAGAACGCTAGTTGTGCATTGTCGATCAAGATGATAGCTGTAAGACACGTATCTGTGATGTACGTGCCCAAGCAAAGCATCTCCTGGGGTTTGCAGACAGTGTCATCACCAGGTGGGTCCAACGTCAGCAATATGGGGTGAGGGAGAGCATAAAGTTGCTGTACGTCAGTGGCAAGTTCTGCCAGTAGCACAGTCTTATTATCTGATTCAAAGGCTAAGTGATACTCTCGAAGAGCGTGATCTTCCTCCCAGCAAAGGACGTGCCCGTTTGGAACGGCGAGAATTCCAGTAATTCCTGCCTCTGTTCTGCCTTCAAAGCTCAGCACACGCTCTCCGCGCGCTTTGATGGAAATATTTTCTTCCAGCGCGAGGTTATCAAGTGAGACGGACAAAAAATCACGCCCATTGGCTGGACCCATCACTAGATGGCGTCCTGTGCAGGAAAACAAAAGCTCCGGGTAAGTAGTGTCATCTACAGGTGTAGTGGCAGATATACCCGTGTCGGTATCCCAGACAATACTAGTCAACGGATAAAACCTACAGCGACCCGGTTTTTCGTTCTCCATACCAGAAATTGAACCCAAAAGATTTTACTTCTGGATGACCGTGGTCTATGTCGCTTGGCCAGTCAGCTTACGGAGCCGGCTCTGTGCCCGGTGGATTGCCGTGACAACGGATTTCACCGGAAGAGCCTTTTCTATATAGCCGTTAGAGGCCTCTGGGACTATCGTTCTCTGGATATCTACTGAAAGGCGGCTATCTGCGTAAATTGACCTAAGGGTCTCATTCATCATCTCCTCAGCGCTATGATGCTGCAAGGACTGGTCAGCGTCTGGTAGGTCGCGCTTGTGATCGTCCGTGGCCGTTCTTAGGGTACGTCTGCAAACCGATTCCGATGCAATTGCAGCCCGTGGGTTAGAAGCGTCAGCGTGCTGCCGAGATTCTGACGTGTCTTGATCACTGAGAGCGAGATCGTGCTCCATAAGCTGAGGCGAAGGCTCACGTTCATTTGGAGGAACAGGAGGAATGGCATCTGTAGACTCTTCCTCACGGTCACTATGGGACAGCCTATTGGATAAAATTGCTTGCGGCTTACGCATAGACTTTGACACTGTGCCACTATCCTCTGACAGTTTCAGCTGGCTCTCTATTAGGTTGTGCAAAACAGCTGTAGGAGCATTTTCCTTCCGCTGCGTTAGCATCAGTTGCTTGTAGTCTCTTTCATCCACATACATGATGTCCTTGTTATCTATATGTAGTGCTACATAGTAAAGCCCGTTGCAGGGGCACGAAAAGCTGAGATGACCTGATGTAGATAATAATGTATCCTTTGACAAGCGAGTCTTGGCTGTAAACTCTATGGAATCGGTTACAGATTTAGATTCCCCGTTCACTACATTTAAGTCTAAGTCTTTGTTCTGTGCCAAATTGTAAACGCTCGGCTGGCCTGGAGAGTTGCAGTGATCGTGTGTGTTGGTAACCCCTGCGACCACCACATCTACAACCTTTTTTGCTAAGTAAAATGCTTCTGTGATAGCTTGTAGTGTTGTATCGCTAAGATATACAAAAAGGTTTAGTGAGCCACACACCGATCTATATTTAAAATACTTGACAGAATGAAGGGATATATACTCGTTAACAGAAAGACACGCAAGACTAAATCTAAATACATACTCCTTCTTAGTAGATTGGACCTTAAATCCATTCGTCACATTGGCTTGGAATTCGGCCAACTCCTCTGGACGCATGCGGACACTTGAGCTGGGTGGTAAGTAATATGAGCCTGTTAGAGACCCTCGAGAACGTGCTGTGGATGATGTTTCTTTGATAGCGCTGGCCATTTCGGCAATAATCTCTTTGCTCTTAGATGCACGCTGCTCACGAGACCGTGAGTACAGCACTTTCTTCGCCAATGCTTCGGCATTTGAGACATTAGGCTTTTGTCTCCTCGGTATAAACGCCTTATTAGCCTCATGTGCTCTTGCCTCTTTAAGCTTCTGTGCACCAAGAGAATCAAGTACAGTGGGATCAGCTATACTATCTCGCATGTGTAGTACTGCTGGTGATTGTATCTTAACTGATTCCGGAACAGATAGCCTCACGCGACGCAGCGGCTGCGCTCCAGTTGGATTGGGAGTGTAGTCTTCAAATTCCTTGTTTGTGTGTTCATCCATACCATAAAATCCATCTCTGATGGTGCCATGTTCTGATTCTTCAAGCCCCTTATCTATCAACGAATTGCTCTGCAAATCATAGTCTTGGATCAGTGGAAGAGTAGAGGAAAGCAAAAGATCATCGTGGTCAAGATCATCGTTGGCAACCTTGCTCCGATACGTGGCGGTCTTTCGAATAAGTGGTACTGCAACAGTAGAGGGTGCCCGGTCATACCGACGCTTCTGAAGAATGTCTATAATCTCTTGTGGGGTTATACCGGGGGAAATGTCCATCAAGAGTCTGTCGGTCCAAAGCTTATCGGCAAGAATCGCTTGCTGTAGTGCGGCTCTAAGAAGCTTTTCATTACGTGTGGTCACCTTATTAAGTCCCCTGTTGATCAAACGTTGTGCTAGCCGTGGCGAGATTGCTTGTGGAGAGACATTAATGGCACCAAGCGGACTTCCTATGAATTGAGCAGTTTCTTCTTTTTCCTCTCTCAGTTCATTTAGAAGGCTCTTGGTAGAATTGTCGTGTGCGGCAGTGCTGGCCGAGTCTTCTTCTGGGGGCAACACAGTTGTTCGATAAACTAAGGAATCTACGTTAGTCTTTGAGTTGTGCAAAAGATTCCTAGGCATATTCTTATTCTTCATACTGGCAGCCTTCTTTAGATGCTGATAAAGAGAAGTCGTCCCTGGTTCTGGTTCGTTCTCCATAGCAGACCGTATTTTACACAGACACATGGGACAGCGAAGATAGGGTAGAAGCTCAATTTGGTGCGGCGGCAACGTGTGGCAATCACATCTGCAAGAATCTGCAGCTATCACTTGCTCCGGATTGACCTGAAACACTTTTTCTTGGAGCTTTGCTGGAGAGTGCAAAACTCTTTCAAACTTCCGCCGCTCGACTGTGGTTTCGAGATCCAAAACATCCTGCTCTAAATGGGGCATTTGGTTAATAGTAACAGATGTCTTATAGTCTGCATAATTCTGAAGAGTCTGCTCGGGGAGAAATTGCTTCGGTGCCTCAAGAAGAGCGTCACGAAGATGAGAGCGTTCTTGTCGAAGTGGCGTCCGTTTGGACCCGGCAGATCTTACACTGCTGCTATCTCCAGGACTCTTTCGAGGTGTGGCAACATTGGTGTTTGTTGATGTAACAGATATCTTGGGACTGGACGACCGAGAAAAGTATGCCCGGAGATCTTCTGGCCCTGCTGTAGCTAAGTCCATCCCTAACATGCTCGATCGCTTATCAAGCTTGCTACTATGACCGATGTTGTTACAAGAGCGTCCACTTGCAGCAGTGCTTAGTCGCTCATGTACTAAGAACGGCACTTTGTTGTCTATAAAGTCAATACCGCTGCTAAGTTCTGTGGGAGGATCGTATTTGTAAGTCATATACTTCTGGAGTCTGGTGGTGGATCCCTGTTCCTCCTTCCCAGGTATCTGATTAACTTGTTCGTAGAGAGCTGGTTTGAGATCAATTCCTTCGTCACAACTGACCGCAAGACGCTTTTCTGCTATCCTAACTGGGATGTCAATGCCGCATAAGTTTGACACCAAAGCAGAAGATATGGGTACATCAGAGACAGTCTGCATAAGAGTATTTGAGAGCTCTTCAGGAGACGGCTTAGATAAGCTCCGCGCCTTGGCTTTGAGAAGATGGCCTTCAACTTTACTCAGTAAGCGTTTTGTCTTTGATCTGACAGCCTTCTCTTCTAATTCCGTGGCAGAAAAACTAGGGAGTGAACAGTTACTGGGTGGTGGATCAGAGCTTTTCGTGTTCTTGAAGGGATTAAAGTTGTATCCGTTGGCGTCCATAAATGAGGACGGCTGGTAAGCTGCAGACGCAGCTGTGGTTAAACGATGCTCGCTCTTACTTATCTCGGAAAAGAGTGTTTTCTTAACTGCACGAGACTGGATTCGATCAAGCAGCTGATTAGTGGTTGTCATAGCTAGATTGTGCTAATGCCAAGGTAGGACAGTATAGTCTATGTATCAAACAGAGAGCGGCAGAGACTCGGCGTTGTGCGCGGTGATGTAAAGAATAAATTTTGAAAAATGTCGACACGAAACGCACGCCTTCGCGACCTCTCCATGCGCATATTTTACAAGAACTATGCCTATCTCATGGAGGTTGATGCAGAGGTAGAAGAGTACGGCCAGATGATGGATGAGCTTCGCACTCTGTCCAAGAACATCTCCATTGATTATCTGTCTCTCAGCCCCAAAGACTTGCGAGAGGTGCACCTCAAGCGAGCCATCATGACGGAAAAGATCAACACCATTTTACCTCAAAAGCTATTCCAACTTATTACAGCCAAGAAGCAGTTTGAGTTAGAGGTTCTTGAACAGCACAAAGCACTGGAGGCCGATATCCGGGATGGAGACGAAGAAGACAGTCAGGCGACGCCAATTCCAGAGGGATATTTATGGGCACAGGTCTGGTCCGGCTACGACATCGACGAAAGAGTTTGCGACATCCTTGCTAGAGCTCCTCGCTCTGTCTTACTAGCATTTGCCGCATTCTTTTCCAAGAAGAATATGGAGCTTCCTATATGCTTAGTGCCATTCATCGAGGCAGCTGCATGTAATAAGATTGTGCTTCCAACATCAAGCAATCTTACTAAAGCTAGCCTGGGTCCGTATTCGTTGATGAGGAGCATCGTTTGCTCTCCGAACTATAAGGTGCCCGAGTTTTGTTAACTTCTGTTCCACTCTTCTAGCAGTGATGATCGGAACTTAGTGTTCTGTAAATCTGATTGGTATAATAGTTCACTCTTGGTTCAGACAGCATATCAAACTGTAAAGAAGTGATCGATATGTCGAATTACCGCTCTGTGGCTTGGTTGCCTTCTTGGATCACGCAAAAGGCAAGGCACTGTATCCTAAACTGAATTGTCCAGCAAACAAGCTCTACCTTAGAAGTAGCCACAGACCATCTATGGCATTGCAGATGGGTCTATAGATGAATTAAACTACTACCTTGTTCAAATCCAGGACTGCTCAGCATAGAGAGGGATCGAAAGAGGTTTGATCACTGAATAGACTAGTAGCAGACAAGTATCCAAAGAACGATCATTAAGGCAGAGCAATCCTAGTCTCAGAGAATTCACAACTGACAAGTACCACACAGAGCACCACAGCAAGACAGCGTGGACGCAGATCAAGTTGTTCACTGTAGAAGGACACCGAGAACGGTGCTCAGCACAATATGGGGATAGCCCTATCATAGACACGTATATCAACAAGTTCTTGGGAGCGTTACATAGACTTGGATTGAACGAGTCCCACAGTACTCGAAGAGGCACCAATTCGCTTGCCCCGGTAGAGAAACCACCAGCATAGGAAGCCAACCAAGCTCCCAATCACAATGACCCCGGCCACTGTCCCTCCTGCGATCGCCGCCGTTCTCTTCTTGGCCAGCTCCTTGGCTGAGACACAGATGTCCTTCGTGAGAACCGCGTCGAGCTCGCACATGCACACCCCCTGGTTCGATGAGGCCCTGGTGCCGCACCCCTCTGCACACGTCCGCTGATCTGTCTGGATGTTATGATTCGAGGCGGCACACGAGAGACACTTACCCGACGTATCGCAGGCAGCACACAACGGCATGTCAGGGGGACACTCGGTTGGGAGCACACACTCGGATCTGTCCAGCGCCGGCAGGAAGCCCCGCTCGCACCAGCACCTCCGTACGCCGCCGGGCACCTCTCCCACCACCTTGTCCCCGCTGCACTCCCCCAGGCACGACCGCCCGTCCAGGCTCACGAAGAGCTCCCCCGCGCACTCTGTGCAGAAGGAGGTATGCCCGCAGGCCTTGCACCCCGGAGTGGCGCAGGGCAGGCACGCGTCTCCGTCTGCATAGTACCCGTCTACACAGGCGTTGGGGTCAATGCAGCTCCCGGTGGCGGCACCTGAGGCCCTCTTCAGGAGCTTGTCAGAGGGGCACCTGGTGCAGTGGCCGGGGCCAGGGGCGGTGCACCCCAGACATGTCGGGTCGCACTCCAGCAGCTTTCCATCGTCCGATATCCCGTACTCCTTCTTGGTCTTCTCACACTTCCCGCCTGCCTGTTTGTCACAGATAGTGCTTCCTGGATAGTGCTCCGTTGTGTAGCAGCCCCCGTTCATCAGGAAGGCCGCTCCTGAGCATGTAGTACAAGCACCATTTGCCTTGCTGGTGCAGTACGTGTCTTTTTGTGTGTTCGGAATACACACCCCGTTGAGAGGGTATATATTCGAGTCCTTGCAGCGCGTGCAGTACCTGCTGCCATCGATGGTGATGCCGCACTCTGCACAGTCGTCACCAACAGCGCACTCATCTACACACTTTGCATTATCGTCTGCAACGACTAACGACTCCAGGATCTTGCCGGGGCTGCACTGCTGACAGCCGGTTAGTGTGCCATCCTTGCAGACAGCGCACGAGTCCGTACATGGTGTGCAGGTTCCGGAGCTGTTGTAGAGGCCCATCCTGCAGACGCACCGGCACGACACTTCAGTTGACTCGCTCCCCTCTGCTACCTTTGTGCACACTCCTTGAGTGTCTCCACTGCAGCTCTCACTGCAGGACTTCCCATCCACCCCGAGGTGCCTCGCCGAGCACCGCGTACACGTCACACCGTTATTGTACCTACACGTGGCACAGCCAGAAATGCCCCCATTTGGAGCGTCATCGCACAGATATCGGTCTCCATTGCTCCCGCATTCTTAGAGAAGATCCACCCGGAAGCACTGCTCCACTGTTCGCAAGCATTCGACCCGCTTTCTGAGCAGGGTCTTGAGCAGATGTAGAGCCTGTCCTCGGAGCAGCCGCCGTAGAGCAGGAAGGGCTTTACAGAGTTGGAGCAGGCTGTGCACGCCCCTTGGTTGGTCCTTTGTGCGCTCAAAGCGATCTCTTCGAGGGACGAGCTCTCCCTAGCAAGGGCGCATGCACCGCTCCCAGGCGCAGGAGTTGTTCGCACACTCTGTGCAGATGGTCGCATGCTCCAGTTCGTACTGGCCTGCTCTGCACCTATAGCAAGCCCGGTCGAGCTGTGCCGGCCCTAGCATCCACACCTGTAGGGCGGCGTGTCTTGTGGCAGGATGTGAGTATCCGTTGACACAAGTACGGGGTCCCTTAGCTGGCATGATGGTCGGTTGGATAAACGCTTCTGTTCTCTGTTGTGTGGCAGCACCTAGCACACAGGGCGATGCCGTTTTGCCACGTACGGGGGACACGCGGCTTGGACACCAGAGGCGCCCCTGTATCCACCGGACCCGACTGTGTCGGAGCACAGAGGGCTACCTAAGCTTCCGTCCCGTGCTGGTGTGCTCGTGTAGCAGCTGCCGTAGAATAGAGTGTGCTTGCCTCCTGATTGCATGCAGCACACGGAGGACACCGTCTCCGAGCACTTCCGGCGCCTCCTTCTGCCGGGACAGCCGGGCGCGCCCATCCTGGACACGGCTGCCTGGCCTGCCCCCTGTAAGTCGCTGCAGAGCAAGCCGTCCGCTCTGACGGCTCCGTTTACTGGGTCATATCAGGGACTGGCGGTAGTCGTAGGACTCGCCCCGCATGAGCGACGTGTACTTTGTCCCGCCGCGTCTGGGCCGGCCGCCCCTCCTGAAGACGAACCACCAGACGAGGAAGCCGGCGACGGCCAGGACGAGGAGGACGACGATGACGATGGCGGCGATTGCTCCCCCGCCGAGCCCGCCCCGCCGGTAGTAGCCAGGGTCGAGGCAGTTGACGCTCCCGCCGCCCTTGTCGGTCAGCTCGCAGGTCGTGCACCCCGCGAGGCCCACCCAGCCGTCCATGCCCCCGGTGTCGCTGCAGCCCATGCACGCCGTGTGGTAGACGTCCGGGGAGATGGGGACGGCGTTCTCCGCGCAGCTCTCGCACTTGAGCCCCGTCGCGCAGACCCGGCAGTTCGCAATGTCGCACGGCTGGCACTCCCCGAGGTCCTCGTCGGGGTACATCGAGCCGCCGCAGCTGGCGCAGTCCTTCGTGCACGCCGCCGTCCGCGGGCAGAGGTACGCGCCGGCCGTGCAGTGCTCGCATCTATTGGGGTCGTCGGCCACGCACAGAGCGCACAGCTCCACGGTGCATGTGGGCGGGGGCGCCTCGCAGACGGTCTTGCCCTGGTCCGTCTCCTTGAGATACCCGTCCTCGCACTTCTGGCAGACGACGTTCTTGGCTCCCCCGTCCCCCACGGTGCTGCGGCAGACAATGCAGTGCTGGACGCCCACATAACCGTTTCCATCGGAGTCACACTTCACGCACTGCCCAGGTTGCCTTTTTCCCTCGGCCGCGATGTAGTATCCGAGGAGACACGTCGTGCAACCCGTGCTGCTGCCGTTATTACACGTGGAGCACCCGGCGGCACACGGCCTGCACGCCCCCGTTGAGGAGTCGCTGCCGGACACCTCGAGGTAGTACCCGTCTGCGCACCGGGAGCACGAGGTCCCGTCTACGCAGGAGAGACAGTTCTCCACGCAGCGCGCACAGGTCCCGCTGGCGTTGTAGTAGCCCGGGCCCAGCGCCAGGCAGCTCCCGAAGCACTTCGTCTTGTCCTCCTTCATGATGAGAGGCTCGAAGCAGGCGTCGCACGTCGTGGCAGAGTCCTTCGAGCACGCCTGGCAGCCCTGGACGGCGCACCCTTCAGGCGTTGCGGGCGGGAGGGCTCGGGGGCACGTATTGTCCTCGCCGGGCTCCGTCGAGTCCGAGCACCTGGTGCACACAACCTTGGCGGGGCCATCACTGGCGAGCGAGCAGCCCCCGCAGTTGGCTACTCCCCCCACCGTGTCGTCCCAGCAGGCGAGGCACTTGGATGACTGGCCATCTGCAGTGATGGTTATCACACTCGAGGAGTCCGAGGACGCGCATGCTGTGCAGGCGCCATCAGCTACAGCGGAGCAGATCGACTTCCCGATGGGGTGGGTGATGTCGTAGCAGCCGCTGTAGAACAGGAAGAACTCGGGGGTACCGTCTGCGGTCTGCTTGGTGCTGCAGGCCGTGCACGACCCGCCGCTGCACGTGTGTCCGTCGGTCCCGTCCGAGCTCTGGCCGATGCAGACGCCGTTCAGGGGGTAGTGGTCGGGCTGGGCGCACCTCTTGCAGAGCACCCGGCCGTTGACGTAGATCTGGTCCTCGGCCGCGCAGATGGCCTGGGCGAGGGGGCCGTCGACGGAGTAGCAGCTCCCGTAGAAGAGCATGAAGCCGGAGGAGCACGCGTCGCAGAGCCCGTTGCCCCGGGGGTCGGAGCACCCGGCGAGCGCGGCCAGGGCGGAGTAGTTGGAGAGGCACCGGCCGTCGACGGGCACGTAGCCTATTTGGCACTGCGTGCAGAGGGTGGGCTTCGCGTCTGCGCCCGTGAGCACGTTCATCCGGCAGCGCTCGCAGAAGAGAGTCCCGTCCAGCCCGTAGCACGCGAGGCAGGAGGTGGCAGACGAGCTCGCACTGGGGTTCTTGACGAACTTCGATCCGCAAGAGCCGCAGACAGAGCCAGTGGTGTCAGATTGATTAGGACACACAATGCTGCCTGGAGAACTATCAAACTTGTAGCACGACCCGTAGTGGAGGAAGTAGCCGCCTGTGCATGTTGTGCACACGCCCTTACTGCACGTGTTCCCCGCAGCACTCCCAGCCGGCACGCACACCCCGTCGATCGGGACGTCGCCCTCGATGGCGCATGCCCCGCAGTACATCCCCTCCTCGACGATGTGCTTCTCCTTGCATATGGCGTTGATCAGGGATGCCGTGCGGTAGCACCCGCCCCTGTAGAAGAGGAAGTCCCGGATGCAGCCCGAGCAGGAGCCCGGAGTGGGGTTGCTGCCCGTGGGCACTATGCATATACCCCGCGAGAGGCTCAGCAGCCTGCAGTCTCCGTTGACGGGGACCCGCGCTCCGTCGCACTTGGAGCAGTACTTCTTGCCGCCGATCGTGACGTTGCAGACGCCGGTCGCACCCCCGCAGTCGCTGTCCTGGGTGCACTCTGAGAAAATACCGTGCAGAAGAAGAAGGATGAGAACCCTCATGTGAATCCCTGAGGATACAAGTTTTTAATGTGTCCGGATCAGCAAGGATCCGCCACACTACCTCTGCTGTGGAGGCTCCCGGATGCCCGGCCTCCGCGTGGTCGAACGGCGGGCCCGGAGTCGGCACGGAGCGATCCTCAGAGGGCGAGTCGAGCCCCTGTCCCTCGGGGGTGCACAGGTCCTGCCACTCCGTGTGCCGGTCTTTTGCAGAGGCCAGCCGAGCGGACCGAGTGGGCGGTGCCTGCACGCAACGGCCGGGTGGCGGGTCCGAGCCACCCGGTGCAGGGACCGCCCATGCTGCGCCGGCCTCCCACGGCTGCAGGCGTGGTTCGGCGCCTATGCTACGCAGTCGAGCACCCGCTGCTTCGGCAGGCCGGGGAGCGCCATCGAGCGACGCGCTATTTTAAATCCACGGCTGAGCTGTCCACTGCTCTGCACATCAGGCATTGCCCCCGGGGCCCCCGAGAGCTTCTGCCCTCACTCACGGCGAGACCCAGCGGGGGTGCTGCAGCGCCGACTCTCTCCACCCTGGTTGCAGCGGGCGTCCAGACCTCCACGGGCACGTAGCAGCACCGGGCGGATGGACAGCGGATGCCCACCCCGGGCCAGTAGTCATCACTAACACAGAAGCCCAACGAGACCAGCCACGGAGATCCCCGCGATGGCCCCCGTGGAGAGCCCGCTCCTATTACTGCCAGAGGACACGCACTTACCATTGTCTATGCTGAAGCCACTGTTGCACTCCCCACATATATTATCCATCACACAGCTCTTGCAATCACCCACAGAGCACAGCACACACCCAGTGCCATCCTTGTTGGGCTTCTTACTCTCACCACAAGAGGTACACACAGCAGCGGTCATGCCAGCTGTTGTTAGAGCTGTCGGGGCTGTACACTGAGAGCAGCCCTCGACCCCCACGTATGCCTTAGTATCTACTAGTGTGCCTAGGGGGTTACCACATGCTAGTACAGACTGATTCTGATTGGATGCCCCTGGGACTATGAAGTACTTATTGTTGGCCGCCTCTGTGCATATCCCCTTATTATCTGCTGTCTTGCACATATAGCTACCAGGCACCTCTGTTGCTTTATAACACCCTCCCATGTAGAGGAAGTAGTTGTTGGTGCATTGTGTACATATGTGACTGGTACAAGTATTCCCATTCTTTTGACCACTATCAACACACTTCCCATCAATTGGTACCTTACTGTTATCCCCACAATAGGAACAGTAGTGCTTTGCATTGCCCTGATCATCAATCACTATGGCATCGCAGGCTCCAGATGTCCCCCCGCAGGCAGTATCATCTTCACAGGTCTTCTCTGTGCATGTGAGGTCCCCCTCGTTTCCAGCGAGCTTCCTGTTAGGCTTGCACTTTGTGCACTTGAGGGATCCTGTAGTACCAGTGCACTCGGCACAGCCCTCGATCCCTTGATTCTGTGCATCATCGCATGGGACACACTTTTTATCAGCACCAGATACAACCAAGAAGTATCCTGGATAGCAGGACTCGCACCTATTTTCTGTCGTAGCTTCAGAGCACGTAGCACAGTTCTGATGACAAGCCGAACAAGTCTTTGATGACTTTTCAAAGAAGAATCCATCCAGACACTCTGAACATTCCGGTGCTTGTCCTGAACCAGCCTTAGTACATGTCTTACAGTTGTCCTTTCCTTGGTTACTTGCTCCTGTTCCTGTTGTTGTATCGCTACACAGAATGCACTTATCGTTGTTGTCACTCAGAAAGTGCGTGCCTGCTTGGCCATCTCGAGCGCACCCATTTGCCTCGACGCACGTTGTCGTCCCGTCGGCCTCTTCCTTGACTATCTTACCGTTACAGGCTGTGCACTTTGGGCCCCCAGTTGCCGGGTTGTACTCACACGTGGTGCAATCTACTATACTAGAATCCTTGCATGTCCTTGTCACAGGGTCAGGGTAAGTGTTTCCTTCACATGTAGATGAACACGTATTTCCACCTTTCAGATACTTTCCATCCTTACAAGAGGTGCACGCATTCTGATCAGCTCCATTACACGTCTCGCAGTCGGTATGACATTTGGTACATGCGCCGTTACCATCTTTATAGTATCCATCTTGACAGGTATCACACGTGGCAGCCGTTGGGGTGCTTGGTGCTGTACATGTGGCGCAGTTCTCCACTCCCGTATATCCATCTGCTCCCTTGGTATCCCAGCACAGGATGCACTCGCTACCCTTCTCTGGTGCTGTAGCAGGGTTCTGGAATATGTACTGACTATTTGTATTACACTCAGTGCACACTCCACTACTGGCTGCTGTGCATATCACACTCCACTATCATACTATCACCCATTATCACACATTGTATAGCATTCACTACCTGAGTCATGCCTTCCCTCTACATATGAACCACCAGCAGAGGAAGCCCACGAGGCCCCCCACGACGACGACCACAGCGACGGAGATCCCCGCGATGGCCCCCGTGGAGAGCCCGCTCCTGTTGGTACTCATAGACACACAGGAGGTCCCACTGCTGTCTAGACTGTACCCATCAACACACTCCCCACACACATCATCCACCACACAGCTCTTGCAATCACCCACAGAGCACAGCACACACCCGGTGCCATCCTTGTTGGGCTTCTTATCACTGTCACAGGAGGTGCATGTAGCGGCAGCCATACCAGCCTCAGTCAGAGCTACTGGGGCTGTACACTGGGAGCAGCCCTCGACCCCCACGTATGCCTTAGCATTGTCTTGAGTACCTATTAGTGTGCCTAATGGGTTACCACATGCTAGTACAGACTGCTGAGCATTGGTTGCCTCTGGGACTACGAAGTATCTATTGTTGGCCGCTTCTGTGCATATCCCAGTATTACCTGCTGTCTTGCACATATGACTACCTGGTTCTTGACCAACCTTGTAACAGCCATTCATGTATAAGAAGTACCCTTGAGCACACTGTGTACATGTATGACTGTTACAAGTATTACCTTTCTTATCAGTAGCACAGATGCCATCAATTGGTACCTTACTGTTATCCCCACAATAAGAACAATAATGAAGCTCCTTTCCATTAGCATCAATCACTATTGCATCGCAGGCACCAGAAGTGCCCCCGCAGGCAGTATCATCTTCACACACCTTTGTACATGTAACAGAGCCAGAACTGCTATCGCTCTGCTTGCGATAGTTGGGCTTGCAATCGGTGCACTTGAAAGCACCGCCATCGTTTGTGCATGCACCACAGCCCTCGATGCCATTGTCGGCTTCACTGTCACAAGCAACGCACTCACCAGTAGGACCACTGCCTTTCATGAAGTACCCTGGCTTGCATGTATCACACTTATCCTTGCCAGCAGCAGAGCATGTAGCACAGTTGGCGTGACAGGGGGTGCATGTAACTGGGTCGCTACTTCCCTCTTTTATATACCCAGCTAAACAGGCAGAGCACCCTCCCTTTGCAGTGCAGGTGCTACATCCGACAACGCCGCCTCGTGTATTATCACCACATGGGACACAAGCCTTTGGATATTGTTCAAGGAAGTGGGTATCACCAGTAGGGCAGCCGCCATCATCAACACATTCTACTGTGCCATCAGCTTTTTGCTTGAGAAGCGGCTTTTGGCCCCCGCATCCAGTGCACACCGGCTTCTGAAGAGTGTCGCTGTATGTACACGTAGCACATTCATTGACACTTGTGTCTGTGCATGCCTTACATTGGCCTGTTGTCGGGTCTGCATACTTATCATTACCACATTGATTAGCCTCTACACAAGTCTTACTGTCAGCCTTCAGGAACTTCCCTTCAAAGCAGGCAGTACACGATTGCTGATCACTCTCTGAGCACTCGGAGCAGCCCTCTCCGCACTTCTTACACGTATTAGAAGCGTTATCCTTAACGTACCCTGCTTGGCATTCTGTACACGTGGCAGCCCCCTTGTTATTAGCTGGTGCCGTACACTTGAGACAGTCCTTGACTCCCATGACCCCGTTTCTATCTATAGTATCCCAGCACAGTATGCACTCCCCACCAGGGGTCACCTTCTCTGCCCCATTCTGGAATATGTACTGACTATCTGCCTTACAAGCAGTGCACACTCCTCCCTCAGCCTGTGTGCATATGTCACTGCCGGGCTGACTCTCTGTCTTGTAGCACCCGCCCATGAAGAGAAGTCCCGTACTATCACTATCACCCCCACACACCACTATCATACTATCACCCATTATCACACATTGTACAGCATTCACTACCTAAGTCACGCCTTCCCCCTGCAGAGGAACCACCAGCAGAGGAAGCCCACGAGGCCCCCCACGACGACGACCACAGCGACGGAGATGCCCGCGATGGCGCCAGTAGACAGCCCGCTCCTGTTGGTGCCAGAAGACACGCACTTGTCACCCTCTAATTTGAACCCATCGCTGCACTCTTCACACTTATTAGCACCACTACAATAAGCGCACCCCTCCACGTTACATTCAAAGCATGCTGTCCCTTCCTTGTTGGGTCTCTTGCCCCCCTCTGTGCAGGCGGAGCACTTGTTGTCCATATCACAGTGCGAGCATCCAACAACGGCACATGGGAAGCACCCGCTCCCAGCCAGGTTGGGCTTCTTACTATTGTCACAAGAGGTGCACACAGCGGGGGTCATACCACCATCAGATGGAGCTGCTGGGGCTGTGCACTGGGAGCAGCCATCCACCCCAACGTATGCCTTAGCAGTATCACCAGTGCCTGTCAGTGTGCCAAGGGGGTTACCACATGCCAGGACAGACTGTTGAGCATTGGTTGCTTCTGGGACTACGAAGTACCTATTGTTGGCCGCTTCTGTGCATATCCCATTGTTACCTGCGGTCTTGCACATGTAGTTGCCAGGAGCCTTCTGAGTGCTATAACAGCCACCCATATAGAGGAAGTAGTTAGCAGCACATGATGTACATGTATGACTAGTACAAGTATTACTTTCTTTGTTATTAGTGCATAGTCCATCTATAGGAGCTTGTGAACTATCCCCACAGTATGAACAGTAGTGCTTTGTGGTGCCCTTATCATCAATTATCATGGCATCGCAGGCACCAGAGGTACCCCCGCAGGCCGTATCATCTTCACAAGTCCTGGTGCATGTGACCCCAGTTGAAGGGGTACCGCTCTGCTTGTAGTTCACCTTACAGGAGTTGCAGGTCAACGAGCTAGAGAAGGTGCACGTTGCACATCCATCGATGCCATCCTTAGCTGTATCACTACAAGGGACGCACTCACCGGGGCCACTGACTTTCATGAAGAACCCCTCCTTACAGGTCAAGCACTTATCGTCTCCAATTTGAGTGCAGGTGGCACAGTTGGGAGCACAGGCCTTACACTTGAAGGTGCCGGGCGCAGAATCGTAATATCCGGGTAAGCATCCGGTACAAGCGGGTGGTTGGTTGTTATTAGGTTTTGTGCACGCACTACAGCCCTCCAGTCCCTTATTTGTGTTCTCATTATCTCCGCTGGTATCGCTGCACAAGACACACGCAGCATCACCATCTGCCTTGAAGTGATCAGCATCCTGGCATCCAGAGCTCACATCAACGCACGTTGTGGT